ACGCACAGCCAAAAGAACGACTGTTTTGTGCTGCTAACGACCAATACTAACCACCCCTATCACTCGTTTTTTCGATTTTGGGAAAGTTAGCTGTGCTATGGCTAAAAAACTATTATTCTTGCGCCCAAAATCAAGTATACGCATTTTGGCAGTAGAGAGCCCGACTTTGTTGCAGTTTCTTAGCTCTAACTTTGCTCAGAAAAGACGCACAGCTAAAACAGTGACTGTTTTATTCAGCTTACAGCCACCACTTTAAGCCCCTATACCCACTTTTTACAGTAGTGTACTGCTCTTTTGCTGCGAGTGCTGATTTCAAGGCTAAAAAATCAAAATGCAATATTTGTTGCGGGTTTTTAGCTCTAGCTCGGCCAAAACAAGACGCACAGCCAAAAGAACGACTGTTTTGTGCTGCTAACGACCAATACTAACCACCCCTATCACTCGTTTTTCGATTTTGGGAAAGTCAATTTTGACCCAAATTTCGCATTTTTGATAAGGGGTACCATCATCAAAATTTTCAAAAATGGGCCCAAAATGAAGTTTCCCAGATTTGAATGCAAACCAATTGGGAATCATGGCAATCAAGTTACGAGCCATACGAGGTATTACATTCCTCATTTGGCCCATTTTTGGCTGTGCTATGGCCAAAAAACTGATTTTTTTATGCCCGAAATTATGCTACGTCTGTTGACAGCAGAGATCCTGGCTTTGTTGCAGTTTCTTAGCTCTAACTTTGCTCAGAAAAGACGCACAGCTAAAACAGTGACTGTTTTATTCAGCTTACAGCCACCACTTTAAGCCCCTATACCCACTTTTTACAGTGGTGTACTGCTCTTTTGCTGCGAGTGCTGATTTCATGGCTAAAAAATCAAAATGCAATATTTGTTGCGGGTCTTTAGCTCTAGCTCGGCCAAAACAAGACGCACAGCCAAAAGAACGACTGTTTTGTGCTGCTAACGACCAATACTAACCACCCCTATCACTCGTTTTTCGATTTTGGGAAAGTCAATTTTGACCCAAATTTCGCATTTTTGATAAGGGGTACCATCATCAAAATTTTCAAAAATGGGCCCAAAATGAAGTTTCCCAGATTTGAATGCAAACCAATTGGGAATCATGGCAATCAAGTTACGAGCCATACGAGGTATTACATTCCTCATTTGGCCCATTTTTGGCTGTGCTATGGCCAAAAAACTGATTTTTTTATGCCCGAAATTATGCTACGTCTGTTGACAGCAGGGATCCTGGCTTTGTTGCAGTTTCTTAGCTCTAACTTTGCTCAGAAAAGACGCACAGCTAAAACAGTGACTGTTTTATTCAGCTTACAGCCACCACTTTAAGCCCCTATACCCACTTTTTACAGTAGTGTACAGTTCTTTTGCTGCGAATGCTGATTTCAAGGCTAAAAAATCAAAATGCAATATTTGTTGCGGGTTTTTAGCTCTAGCTCGGCCAAAACAAGACGCACAGCCAAAAGAACGACTGTTTTGTGCTGCTAACGACCAATACTAACCACCCCTATCACTCGTTTTTCGATTTTGGGAAAGTCAATTTTGACCCAAATTTCGCATTTTTGATAAGGGGTACCTTCATCAAAATTTTCAAAAATGGGCCCAAAATGAAGTTTCCCAGATTTGAATGCAAACCAATTGGGAATAATGGCAATCAAGTTACGAGCCATACGAGGTATTACATTCCTCATTTGGCCCATTTTTGGCTGTGCTATTGCCAAAAAACTGATTTTTTATGCCCGAAATTATGCTACGTCTGTTGACAGCAGAGATCCTGGCTTTGTTGCAGTTTCTTAGCTCTAACTTTGCTCAGAAAAGACGCACAGCTAAAACAGTGACTGTTTTATTCAGCTTACAGCCACCACTTTAAGCCCCTATACCCACTTTTTACAGTAGTGTACAGTTCTTTTGCTGCGAATGCTGATTTCAAGGCTAAAAAATCAAAATGCAATATTTGTTGCGGGTTTTTAGCTCTAGCTCGGCCAAAACAAGACGCACAGCCAAAAGAACGACTGTTTTGTGCTGCTAACGACCAATACTAACCACCCCTATCACTCGTTTTTCGATTTTGGGAAAGTCAATTTTGACCCAAATTTCGCATTTTTGATAAGGGGTACCATCATCAAAATTTTCAAAAATGGGCCCAAAATGAAGTTTCCCAGATTTGAATGCAAACCAATTGGGAATCATGGCAATCAAGTTACGAGCCATACGAGGTATTACATTCCTCATTTGGCCCATTTTTGGCTGTGCTATTGCCAAAAAACTGATTTTTTATGCCCGAAATTATGCTACGTCTGTTGACAGCAGAGATCCTGGCTTTGTTGCAGTTTCTTAGCTCTAACTTTGCTCAGAAAAGACGCACAGCTAAAACAGTGACTGCTTTATTCAGCTTACAGCCACCACTTTAAGCCCCTATACCCACTTTTTACAGTAGTGTACTGCTCTTTTCCTGCGAGTGCTAATTTCAAGGCTAAAAAATCAAAATGCAATATTTGTTGCGGGTTTTTAGCTCTAGCTCGGCCAAAACAAGACGCACAGCCAAAAGAACGACTGTTTCGTGCTGCTAACGACCAACACTAACCACCCCTATCACTCCTTTTTCGATTTTGGGAAAGTTAGCTGTGCTATGGCTAAAAAACTATTATTCTTGCGCCCAAAATCAAGTATACGCATTTTGGCAGTAGAGAGCCCGACTTTGTTGCAGTTTCTTAGCTCTAACTTTGCTCAGAAAAGACGCACAGCTAAAACAGTGACTGTTTTATTCAGCTTACAGCCACCACTTTAAGCCCCTATACCCACTTTTTACAGTAGTGTACTGCTCTTTTCCTGCGAGTGCTAATTTCAAGGCTAAAAAATCAAAATGCAATATTTGTTGCGGGTTTTTAGCTCTAGCTCGGCCAAACCAAGACGCACAGCCAAAAGAACGACTGTTTTGTGCTGCTAACGACCAATACTAACCACCCCCTATCACTCGTTTTTCGATTTTGGGAAAGTCAATTTTGACCCAAATTTCGCATTTTTGATAAGGGGTACCATCATCAAAATTTTCAAAAATGGGCCCAAAATGAAGTTTCCCAGATTTGAATGCAAACCAATTGGGAATCATGGCAATCAAGTTACGAGCCATACGAGGTATTACATTCCTCATTTGGCCCATTTTTGGCTTTGCTATTGGCAAAAAACTGATTTTTTATGCCCGAAATTATGCTACGTCTGTTGACAGCAGAGATCCTGGCTTTGTTGCAGTTTCTTAGCTCTAACTTTGCTCAGAAAAGACGCACAGCTAATACAGTGACTGCTTTATTCAGCTTACAGCCACCACTTTAAGCCCCCTATACCCACTTTTTACAGTAGTGTACTGCTCTTTTCCTGCGAGTGCTAATTTCAAGGCTAAAAAATCAAAATGCAATATTTGTTGCGGGTTTTTAGCTCTAGCTCGGCCAAACCAAGACGCACAGCCAAAAGAACGACTGTTTTGTGCTGCTAACGACCAATACTAACCACCCCTATCACTCGTTTTTCGATTTTGGGAAAGTCAATTTTGACCCAAATTTCGCATTTTTGATAAGGGGTACCATCATCAAAATTTTCAAAAATGGGCCCAAAATGAAGTTTCCCAGATTTGAATGCAAACCAATTGGGAATCATGGCAATTAAGTTACGAGCCATACGAGGTATTACATTCCTCATTTGGCCCATTTTTGGCTGTGCTATTGCCAAAAAGCTGATTTTTTATGCCCGAAATTATGCTACGTCTGTTGACAGCAGAGATCCTGGCTTTGTTGCAGTTTCTTAGCTCTAACTTTGCTCAGAAAAGACGCACAGCTAAAACAGTGACTGTTTTATTCAGCTTACAGCCACCACTTGAAGCCCCTATACCCACTTTTTACAGTAGTGTACTGCTCTTTTGCTGCGAGTGCTGATTTCAAGGCTAAAAAATCAAAATGCAATATTTGTTGCGGGTTTTTAGCTCTAGCTCGGCCAAAACAAGACGCACAGCCAAAAGAACGACTGTTTTGTGCTGCTAACGACCAATACTAACCACCCCTATCACTCGTTTTTCGATTTTGGGAAAGTCAATTTTGACCCAAATTTCGCATTTTTGATAAGGGGTACCATCATCAAAATTTTCAAAAATGGGCCCAAAATGAAGTTTCCCAGATTTGAATGCAAACCAATTGGGAATCATGGCAATCAAGTTACGAGCCATACGAGGTATTACATTCCTCATTTGGCCCATTTTTGGCTTTGCTATTGGCAAAAAACTGATTTTTTATGCCCGAAATTATGCTACGTCTGTTGACAGCAGAGATCCTGGCTTTGTTGCAGTTTCTTAGCTCTAACTTTGCTCAGAAAAGACGCACAGCTAAAACAGTGACTGCTTTATTCAGCTTACAGCCACCACTTTAAGCCCCTATACCCACTTTTTACAGTAGTGTACTGCTCTTTTCCTGCGAGTGCTAATTTCAAGGCTAAAAAATCAAAATGCAATATTTGTTGCGGGTTTTTAGCTCTAGCTCGGCCAAACCAAGACGCACAGCCAAAAGAACGACTGTTTTGTGCTGCTAACGACCAATACTAACCACCCCTATCACTCGTTTTTCGATTTTGGGAAAGTCAATTTTGACCCAAATTTCGCATTTTTGATAAGGGGTACCATCATCAAAATTTTCAAAAATGGGCCCAAAATGAAGTTTCCCAGATTTGAATGCAAACCAATTGGGAATCATGGCAATTAAGTTACGAGCCATATGAGGTATTACATTCCTCATTTGGCCCATTTTTGGCTGTGCTATTGCCAAAATACTGATTTTTTATGCCCGAAATTATGCTACGTCTGTTGACAGCAGAGATCCTGGCTTTGTTGCAGTTTCTTAGCTCTAACTTTGCTCAGAAAAGACGCACAGCTAAAACAGTGACTGTTTTATTCAGCTTTTGATAAGGCTGTTCCCTACCCCCTCTCCTTTTTAAATTAAAATTAGAATATGCTGAAAGTCATTCTCATTTAATTGTTCTCCAAAAATTAAATTCATAAATTTATACAGGGTGGCAGATGGCGCTTAGCAACTAACTAAGTTAAGGTTTCCGAACTAGACTAAATTAGGCGTAGGATTCGTACTTAATCCGACTTACGGCTCAACTTGATTACTTTGTGCCAAGTTAGAGCAGAATGTGCGAATGCGTGTCGTGATGTCAACAGTGGCTAGTCAATGTTAAGTCTAATCGTTCATGGTTAATTTAAGTAGTATGCTTAATTCTAAAAACTATAACTAAGGCGATGTGTGTGTGTGTGTAGGGAGCTTTCTGTATCGTATATTCTGTCTTCGTGTGTCTCTGGCAATGTGTGGGAGTAAAAAAAAGTACAATAAATATGTAGGTTGATCCACTTTGCAACTGATGAGGCCATCATCTAGGGTTCATCCACAGGGCTCTGGCGTTGGTTGGGGTCCTGATGGATGGAAAATTGCATCTCAGAGTAAGTTGGAGCAACTTGCCTCCGCGGCGGCACAGTTTGTGGAGCGAGGCAGGAACTGGATGTGCTGCCAGGTGGCATTAAAGCTGAAAAAATAAAATACTTTTAGTATTTATATAATAAAAAGGAAAATAAACTCAAGCGCCTACAGATAACTCTCAGCCAGCTGGCTCTCTACAAGTGGCTTAATCCTGGCATAGTCTTTGTCCGCAATGGAGGTGCTGCAGTGCTGCTGCATGTAGGCCAGTGTAAATAGCTCGTTCTCGTTAAAAGATCTTAGCCCCGGTACTCTCAAGCGCCTGGTAAGGCCAAGGGCTTCATAGGTATTGACCTGATCAATGCCCGATCCTTGAATGGCACTGCCTGCATCGATGGCATTCACAAAGTTACTCAACGCCCTGGCCGCCGTTCGCGCTGCACTCAGTGTGACATGAAAGCTCTTAAGGGCATTACTCGACAACTCATTCAGTTCGTGGACCAATCGTGGTGGCTGTCCTGCCGCCAGGCAGTTCACATCCGGTTGCGCATACCGGATCTCCGGTGCTGCGTCACTGATATCCGTGCTTTGGGTATTGAACTGCAGCAGGAAGGTGGAAAAGTTATCGATCAGGGCCTCCAATATATCCGTGCCTATGCGGGCAAAGTTTACAGCTCTGCACGAATTGGAAAAGGAGAGAAACAATCATTACTAGGAGAAATCTCAAAATATCTTGAAATTTAAAGGTTAAATGAAAATATATCTGAATGTTATATTTTTCACATCATTAACACTTACACAGGATATCGGTAGTCGTAGTAATTGGAGCTGATCAATACCTTAGATACGAGAAGCATATTCAGCTTGTTGGAATAGGCGATAGCCTTTGGATTTTCATTTGTGTACATCTCGGAAACAATGCTGTCAAACAGAGCGAGATGGACGAAATTAGAGGAGAAAGTGTTAGAAAGTTTTTGGGTCAGTGGATATCCATTTCGCAAAACTTACACATCCACCATGCCCAGCGTGCCCAGCTTCTTCTCCATCTGCGAACGACGGAATGTCCAAATTCCCTCCAAATGCTCCACAAAATAAACATTATTAAGTATCAGTTCGTTGTAGTATTGCGCAAGGTAGTTGGGCTGCTGCAAGACTTCATCGGGTATTCCAAACTGGAGGCGCATCTCGTTAAGTTTCTTCTGGATAAATTGCCTGGCCGCTGGCTCCAACCATTTAGCTTGCTCCAGGGAATCCTTTAACTGATTTCGCAAACTAAAGAACATCAACTTGAGAAGCTCTTCATTGCCTTGGGTCTTGTTCAATCCTAAGCTTTTCGAGGTCACCGTTTCAAATTGTTGCCTTGGTGGCTGTTGCTGCAGTGCATCCACGGCAAAGGGCAGCCAATCACGCACTACCTTGCTACAGATAAGCCAACTGGGATAGCTGGCGGTTCGTCCATATAGGGCATGGTCGAAGTTTTCCGCCACGGTCCGATATTCCTTGGACAAATGGGGCAGCATTTTTCGGGCCAGTGACCAAATAATGAAGTTGTTAATTGGCCTATAAATGTAAAGATTTAATTAGCAATTTGATATCTTTTCAAAAATGTTTTTGAATTCTCAAATATATAACTTACTTTTTATCTGATGTAGTGAGTAGAATAGATAGAGCTTGCATAACTTCTACATCGCGGACCAACACCTCGGTGTCTTCAGTGATTTTGGTTTTTGGGAAAATGGCCTGCAAGGACTCTAGAATGGGCAGCTAATAGGGGATCGAAATGAACAATGATTTATTCGTTATGAGCCATAATGAATTATTACTACTTACAGAAGGTGCTTTTATTTTCAGATCGGCAAGACGCATAAGCTTATTCAGCTGACGGCTTCCATCAGCCTTGGCATCCTCTATGTGGTTCACAATACGACGTTCGTAATGGAAAATATCGTCTGCGAACAGATCAGCCTCCCGGGAAACGATTCCTAAATAAATAAAGAACATATTTAATCCATTAAATGATAAATTCAATTTCTATTTTTGTTTAAAACTCACCCATATTGATTGCAAAATCCCTGAGGAGCAGCTTATAGCCACGAACCACTTCCTCGTCGGCATCGTTACCATAAAAGTACTTATCGGGCAAACCAAGTTCTCCCTCGTCCAGGGTAATCACATAGTCATGAGGATTGCTATAGCCGTTCTCCACGCTGACGCGGTAGTAGGGGAAAATGCCATGTTTAGACTGTAGTACCACCAGGGCCCGGTCGCGATTCCAGGATTGTAGACGATTGGAATCACGAAATGCCTGCCAGCCATCTGGAAATTAATTAAGAGACAACAAATTAGTAGGGTCATGCAAATAGTTCTGGTTCTTGTGGAGACTGTCTCTGTTCTCGATGGAAACCCCCTTTCAGAAAGGCTATGCGCTAATAGAAATTCCCCAGAACCAAAAATCCATGAACATCCGTTGCATGCACACATTATAGCATAGATCTGCACACACACACACACAAACAACAAGTTTATATAGCCGAATATCGGTGGTTTATGGCAATTAAAAGCGCTAAAATGTTTGGCTGCTTGAAATTTTCAGGGCGCTCAGTCCCGTCTTCTCTTGCAATCATAAAATATGGAACCAAAAATTAAATAAAACAAAAAACAAACGGATAAATCAAAAAGCTGAAAAGGGAATTTTGAATGCCCTTTCGTTTGCGTTCAATTTAATGCAATAAAATATAACAATTATTTCCCATAACTACTATATACTAAATAGCAAAGCAATCTTGTTTGGACTTCGATTATTATATTTCATATTCTTAGAAATTCTATCACATATATTATGATTTAGTCTTACAAAAGGAACATTAACACCTTGAAGACTCTTCCCTTTAATTCAGCATTGTTCTGGATCACTAAGAGCTATACAAGAATGACCATCCAAAATCATCCTCGCAAGCTTCATCATCCAGTCAAGTGACATGCAGACATAGAAACTGATTGTGCCTCAGTTTGTTGACACCTGCAATTAGCACTTGTGGCAATCGATATTGATACAGAAAAAAAACAAAAAGAAATAAATCAAAATACCAGCCGTGCTAGCCGGATTTGTAGTTATAACACGGAGTTGGATTTTCGATTTTGGGATTTCTGATGTTATAGTTTTTTAACGATTTATTGCAAACCACTTTAATTAACTTCAATTAAAGGCGAATCTTGGCCGGTGTATAAAAAGTGACAGTTGCGAGTGTCTGGCATATCAATCCAGTGCAACAGCTCCAGAGCAACAGTTGCTCCTTCTCCTCATCCATCCATCCATCTTATTCAAGCATGAAGCAGTTTGTGGTAAGTAAAGAAGAGAATCTCCTCCAAGGGAGAGTAGAGTAGCAAGCTAATTTCGAATCCCTATACCCAATAGGTTTTGGCCGTTCTGGCTGTGATTGGCGGTTCTCTGGCCGCTCCTCGTCCGGATGTCAGCCATTTGGCTGGCTACAGCTACCAGGCCGGTGGCTACAACGGCGGCGGCGTGGTGGCCAACCAGGTCTTGAGTGCTCCCGTGACCACGGTGACCACCTCGTACCAGCCCACGGCAGCTGGCACTAACTACTTCAGCTCGGCCCCATCTGTTGGCCAACTGAACTACGGCTCCTCTAGCTCCTCGGGTGTGTCTAACTACCAGGTTGGAAGCTCTGGATCCTCAAACTATCAGGTGGAATCCTCCGGCAGTGGAATTGTGAGCGACAGCATCGGTCTGGCTGGTCTGCAGCCCGGACCCACCATCAACTACAACGAACAGGAGTCGTACATCAGCCATCTGGCCAACTTCCAGCCCGCCCAGATCAACAAGCACTTCTACTTCCACAGTGCTCCCGAGGATCACGATGAACAGCAGATCGTCCGCTATGTGAATGTGGGCAGGCCTCAGAAGAACTACCGTGTGGTGTTTATCAACGCACCCGCATCGACCACTAGCAAGGCCAAGATCATTGCCAACGTGGCTCCCGTGGAGGAGAAGACCGCTATCTATGTCCTGTCCAAGAAGTCCAATGCTCTGGATGTCAGCGCCGAGGTGGTTACACAACGCCCGGTGGCCAACAAGCCGGAGGTCTTCTTCGTCAAGTACAAGACTCCCCAGGAGGCGGCTCATGCCCAGCAGACCATTCAGGGTGAGTAGGCTAAGATAACTCTTTAGGAACTAGTTGGAGACATATTAGATAGTTCATTTCACTATTAAATGAATATTTATTTACCCAAACAGCCAACTATGATGCTCTGGGTGGATCCTCTGAGACCAGCAACGAGGGTGTGGTTCCCGTTTCCTCTGTGATTGGCAGCCTGGGCGATAATGGAGCATCCGGTGTGGTTACCGATGCCAGTGGCAGCTTGAACATCGTCGGCACTGGCGGAGTTCCCAGTGTGGATGGTGGAGCCAACTACGAGGCCGAGGGAAGCCAGCGTCAGGTGATCGGCACCGTGACCACCGGCACCAATGCCCAGGCCACTTATCTGCCCGTGAGGCCAGTGAGGAAGTAGATGAATCTTTTCTACCTTCATCTCTAGCCCAAACACTCATACACACCCACACCCACAAACACACACAATGATGGAGCCTCGAGGGATTCGGACTGGATGGGAAAGCCCCTTGGGTTTGGGGCCCATAGCAGTGGAATCCCGACGAGGAAACCTATGCGATTTTTCCTATTTAGTTTTGCCAGCGGCATTAATTCATATTTTTTGTGAATATTTTTTTTTAATAAAATATAAGAGTTCTCATAGGCATTCAAAAAATGTAAAAACCATTGGAGTTTTATTGGGTTAATTAATGTAAAGATGGGCTTCTCATTTGTTAGCCATGAAAATCATTGAAAAGATGGAAATCCCTGGAGGCAATCACCTGGATGAGCGACCCGTTGGACCGCCTGCAGCTTGCATAATCGGAAAGCCCGCGACATCGCCCAAAAATTCAATAAAGCGATAAACTAATCCATGTGACAGCGTCAACTATTTGGCAAGCTGCTCATAATTGTTCAACCCGACCGACTGGCCCGCGTTCAACCCGTTCAAATGTGCTGGCCATTGGCCGGCCAATCTCGGTGGGCCAACTCAACTCCACTCAACTGAACAAAAGCTCAAACGGACGCAAAGAAGCCACTCGGGCTAATAATAAATTAGCGACTTAAAAGAAACTCAACTCGGAATTAAAATTGAAATCGCTATCGGTATGCAGACCGCCAAGGTCGTCATTTAGGCCAATGCAAGTCACATTAAAATACCTAGGGGTATTAAACAAAATCGAATTAGCTATACTATATATATTTATATAGATATATTATGCGGGAAATGCTGACCACGCCCCACAAACTAAATTCATTATCAATTGCAGAGAGACAAAAAAATTGCACAACGACAAAAAGGAAGGGGGGAGAGAGCAGATACTATCTCTCCATATCTTTCTTGTAGATCTTGGCGATCTGCATATCAATGGGCGGCGGCCAGATCTTTTGCATAAAGATAATCACACCTACTAAATAAAACGGCGAGACGGACGGTAGCTGAAAAATACCCGAGGTCCGAAGAAGATTGAGATCGAAAGATCGAAGATTTGTCCCTCGATTCGATTTCTATTACTGTCATCATCAATAAAATGTTACATAAATTTCCAGCACAGCGAGCGATCACAGGTGGTTATAAATATGGAATGCCTAATTGATAATTATCATTTTGTTCGGTTTTCCATAATCCACAGGCGATATGCGATCTACGATCTGTGATCGCTCCGATCGGCTAATAGCTAAATTAGTCTACTAAAAATTGGAGTTGGAATTAGAATATGCAGTAATATCAAATGCCAATCGACCCTATTGTTTGTCACCTCAAAATTGTCAATCAGTTTTATGCTTTTATATTCTGCCATCAATCTCCGGGGCCATAAATCCATTCAAAGGCATTATTCAAATATGCTCGATGAGTGCAAATTATGTTTTATGTGTTTATTTTGGCAATATTTATGCGACCTCCAAAGCGCCAGGTGAATGTTGGTTCGAGTCTCGGCTGGCGCTCTGACTCAGCCGTCGCCTTTGCGCTGGGGTCACCTTTTATGGTGACAAAAACTAGCGAAACCATTGGGAAATTCCATCATGAAAATAAGAAGGCTAATCAGATAGTTTGCTCTTTTTTAGGCAACGGATATTAACGTTATCCCAATTCAGAATCGATATTATTTTTTGTATTAAAAATAAATGTATTTAAAATAACACCTACATCTAGTGAATATTTTAGCTGTAAGATCGAAACTAGTTGGTTTTTATTTTATTAAATTAGCAAAATAAAAAGGTATTCTTGGTAATAGAAGAGACAATTTCAAATCATAAAATGAGCTAAGAACTTATTAATGAAAACAACTAATTCTTCATTAGCTGTCTACATCCTTTTTTATTAGAACTAAGAAAGGGGTGGAAAAAGTTAACGCTTAAATTAAATTGATAAAACTAACTTAAAGAGCTAGGCTTGATATGTTATAAGCCTTTCATTTACCTATATGAAGTGCTTCCTTAGCTACATTAAATATTGAATTAAAACCAGAGGCACTTAGTTAAAAGAATTCCCTAGAAAACCGCCACAGCCTTTTGCAATCCTCAATCCTCAAACATTTATAATCGCAGGCATAAAATATTCATTGATTAATCCAACTGTTATAGATATTTGCAAATTAATTGTTAGGTCCGACTAGGCCCGAAACTAATGACAGACGTGAACACATAGTAAAGAAACCAAAAAAAAAACCCAGCAAACGTGTTTCTGACCAAGATTGATGCCGCCAGTGATGATGAGGTGCCGTTTAATGAGATTCGCTAGGCCCACCCATTCAATAGTTTTTGCAGGCTAAGATGGATAAATTATCGATTTACTAGTTATGAAGACGTATATTTAGATATTTGCTAATCCATCGTGAATGTCCAGCTTGAGTCCGTCGTACACCAGGGTCACCGCACCGGCCAAACAGTCAAGTTCAATGCCAGAGAAGACTCTTTGTCGAATATGAATGTAAACCATGGTTACTGTTTCTGTTTCGGTTGCGTTCGTTCTAATTTGAATAAGTTTTAGGTCAGATCACACGGCATACGTAGCAGTGGACCCATAGGCCCAGAGTAGATGATCATGCCTTGGGTATCGAGATGGCGATGATGTTATATGCGGCATTTGCATTTGCATAAACGGCCAAACAGCGACGCCGACAGAGGCGGCAACCATTGGACAACCGGAGCATATTTAAGACAAGTGGAGCGGCCCAAAATGCAATCATTGCCTCGCAGCAATTCGTCAACGAAACATCCCGAAAAGCAACCAGCGTTACTACCACAAAGGATTACCAACTATCTCAGGGGATTACACACACTTAGTGACACAAACACATCACAACCAATCGCCATGTTCGTCCAGCAAGTGCTAGTTAGCTGCCTGATCCTGGTGGCTCTGACCCAGGCCCGTCCCCAGTACGGTTACGAACAGCCCAGTTCGGAGCTCTTCATTGGTGGTGGCTCCTCTCCGGTTGGCAGTGTCGGAATCGGTGGTGGTTCGTCCGGTATCGGTGGCGGTCTCGTCAGCATCCAGCCACATCGTGGTGGTGACAAGTACCTTCCCCCAGCCAGTACCACCCAGGCACCGATTATCAACAAGAAATTCTATCTGGTATCCGCTCCCGAGGATCACAGCAACGATGGCAAGGTAAAGCATCTGGTCCTGGGTCGTCCACAGAAGAACTACCGTGTGGTCTTCATCAAGGCTCCAGCTGGCGATAATGCCAACGTGAAGTACTCTGCCGAATTCGCACCACAGGAGGAGAAGACCGTCATCTATGTGCTGAGCAAGAAGGACAACGATGTGGATGCCAGTGATATTGCCACACCAGCACCCACACAGCCCAGCAAGCCGGAGGTGTTCTTCATCAAGTACAAGACCGACGACGAGGCCAAGCAGGCACAGCAGGAGATCCAGGGTCAGTACGATAAGCTGGGTGGCACCAACGAATACCAGGAGGACAACAATGCTCCTATCACCTCGGTGATTGGCAGTCTCGATGGTCTGAATCCCGATGGTAGCTACAACTACCGCCAGATTGCCAACCGCCCGGCGGCTGTGGCGCCCAACGCACAGTATCTGCCCAGTCTGCTGAAGCACTAGAGGATTAGCACCTGCTGCACACCACTGCATCACCCATATATCAGAAAATCAGAAACGAAAACCCATTCCCGTGTTGCATATTTTTAAGGAATCACTCAATATTTTTTTCTATTTTTTTTTTTTGTTGTTATATCGAAATTGTTGTTAATAAAAAGCTTATATTAAAAAAATATCAAGCAAAGTGTTTTTAATCTGAGAGGAAAATGCGGCTAAGGAATAGCAACTATATTTCCTTGCCAAGTGGAGGAAGAGAAGAAAACATTATATTTTTTAACTTTCCTAAAGTGAAAAAAAGTTTTTTAACTTTTATAAAGGTAGTAAATCTAATCATTTCACAACTTCAAAATATCTTATAAACAAGAATGAAAGAAGTTTTACCCTTTTGCTTTGTTCGCATTGCCTAAGGTCAGGCATTTAAAAAATTAATAAAAATCGTATAAATAAATTGAAATGTCTCTTCGGCGCAATTAAATAAAGTCCGAAATCCAAATCAAAGTCAATGTTAAAAATAAATCGAGGCACAAAAATGTCGGCTTTGTTTTCCCCGATATTCAAATCAGCAGTCACATTTCAATATGTCCAAATCCAAATCCAAATCGAAGCCAAAGCTGCCGTTAAAATTTCAAACAGAAATTAGCTTAAATGAAGTGAGAAATCAAAATAAGCTCATCAAATTTAATTAAATAGTAGAGTTTTATATATATTTTGATTTTAAGCTCTTTCCTCTCTTTTTTTTTTTTTTTTTTGGTTTTATTGGCCGTTAAACTGACGCTGCATAAACTCGGGCCAAAGATCGATTGATTAATGTTGAATCGAAGCTAATGGCACCCCGAAGATACTCCACAAATCGTGAAATTGAACTGAGGAAATAAAACAACCAAGTGCAAACCGATTTGGGCATGAGAGGGAAGTTATCTCTCCTTTATTGGCTTTAGCATTAATATTAATTGACATTTAATTGCAGTAATAAAAAACCAAAATGTGTGAGAAAACACGGAGGCTTATAGTTAAGCAATGTTTTGTAAAAAGAACTTGGCTCGATAAATAAATAATGAAAGCAATTTCACAACCACCACAACCGATTAATCTTTGTGACCTCCCACTCCTTATCACACCATTATCATGCTGACCTCCCTCAAAAAGTCTCTTAGAAATGACCCCAAATGAATGCCCCACCGATGCTGAGCAACCTATACCAGGTAACATCTTCATAGATCAACCTGATCTATGGTGCATGGCACCGTATATGGCCAGACAATTTTTCTTAATAAAACCGAGCATAAATCAAATTAGCTGTACCATTTTGCTTAAATGCGACATGAAAGTGTGGGAATTACGCGTCAATTTATGCAAATCCAATGCACGCACACACATTGGCATGGTTTTCGGACCAGTTGCCAATATCGAAGATACCGCCGCAGCCACAGCCATTGTTGATATTTTAATTGTCTCTTGTTGACAACAACGAGCCGAAAACAAGAAAGAAAAAATATATAAAAAAAAGAGCTCAAATTAATCTACTAATCAGCGACGAGGCTGCGAACCAAATACAAATAACTGAAATCGGATTTGGATTCGGAAATGGCCGAAAGATGCAGATGGTAACAGAGTGCGAGACTGAGAGTTGGCCAACATCATTAGTCAAAAGTGAGGGCGTTGGATGTTGCGCCCCGGCGATAGGCAGCACTTCTTTTAGCCCGCCCAAAAGCCTTAAGCCACATAACCAACTCATAGTCAAAAATCAAAATCAAAATCCCAATCGATGATAAATGACCTGCAAATCGGTGGGATGTGAGAAGAGCATAACGAAAAGGTATGTCAAAACCGAAGCTAATCGGGGCAGAGGGAACATCAAACTTTAATTAATTACTTTTAAATTAAGTTAGGGGATTTTTCTTAGCGCGTAATCGAGTTTTCTAAAAAATTTTCAAGGCCACTGGGCCTTGAACTTGGCGGATTAAAGAACGAATGATGGTAAACATTATGTAAGCAACAAAGCATCTATAATACCTTTTGTAGATTAACTTAATAAAGGGAGTCAAAAGATGAGTTAAGTTAATTAATTCTAAAACGTTAAACTATTTTGTAAGAAAGCACAATGTGGATTTTGAAATGCATTCCCGCATTTTCACGCACAATTAATTTTGTGACCAAAAGTAAGTTCGTTGCCCAAGTCTTTTGTTTTGGCAGCTTTTGATGAGGCGATTTGCGGTCGGAAAACTATATGAAGAGCACAAATTTTCACAAATTAACTGTCCAATCGGCCTTTGCGATCTAAGTAGTTTTCTTTTAAAAGTCAAGCTCAGATGGAAAAACTAAAACAGTCGTCTTCAGAAAATCGCGAAATGTTGAACGTCGTCGTGTGGTTTTCACTTTCGTTAATGGGTCTTACCCTAGCTCAAGGATCACGTTCCTATTTACCGCCATCGAATCCGACCATGGAACCGATTATAACCAAGCAGTTCTATAGTATTTCCCCCGCCGAAGATCCCGAGGATTTCGAGCCAAAGACAAGGCATTTGGTCATTGGACAACCGCGCAGGAATTACCGTGTGATATTTATCCGAGCTCCTGGCGGAAATAGTGAGCGTGTAAAATATACGGCTGAGCTGGCACCTCAGGAAGAGCGTACAGTGATCTATGTGTTGACCCGAAAGCAACAGGAACTGGAGGCCACGGATATTGTGGCGCCTCAGGAGAAAACCCAGGCCGAACAGAAGCCAGATGTGTTCTTCATTAAATACAAAACTAACGACGAGGCTGCTGCCGCTCAAAAGGAAATCCAAACGCAATACGACCAACTTGGTGGGAATACCGAGATTTCAGCACCCTATGTGGCACCCATAAAATCAGTGATTGGATCTCTAAGTAGCCCCCAGTATCCAGCGGCTCCTTACCAAGATCCAGGTGCTTCCTATGGTTATCACTACGATAGACCCGCCTCCACAATCTTGGCGCCAGTGGAACGATCTCAATGAAACTCCGTTTATATCCGCCACTCGTTGAATATTCCACCCTATTTGCATATAATTGATGGGCCATTTCCACAAACGAATTCATCAAAGAGAAAAAGCTTGGCAAACGCGTAAATAAAAATGGTTTCTTTAAGTTTGTTTTTGTTTTTTTTCTGTGCGTAGTATAATTTTTGCTAACTTTTTATCTGATTTTCGGTTTTGTATTTAAAGATATTGGCAAAAGTGCTTTGACCCTGTGACAGAGGAGAATAGATCGTTAAAGGTTTGCGAAAGGCATATCAGTTGTCTAGAAAAGTGTAAATAAAACACTATGAAAAGTGGAAATTCTAGATAAATATTGTAGTGAAAAATGCGCAAAATATTTTAAGCAAGTTAATAAATGATAACCCTTTTAAAAGATATGCATATATGTGGACTTTTCAATATTCAACTTTACATTAGTTTCTCAGTTTTAGGGGCTCCAAGCTTTTGTCTCAACTTGATGGTTTGCAAAAATCGAAAAACGAACAATCTGCATAAATTTTGCAAGTCGCAACCGAAAAAAGAAACCGCAAAACGGCAATGCAGTTTTTTTTTATGATGTGTCTCCTCTTTGGCTCGGCTAGTTTATCTTCTTTTGGATTTATTTGCATTTGCATTTAATTAATGGGATTTTTTAAGCCATTTTTGGGCATCAACTGGGCGACCTTTTTTTGATTGGCAGCAGCAACAATTTGGCAGCAATTAATCAAGCCAAGCCAAGGTCGCAGCGAAAATTCGAAACTAAAAAGTGCGATTCTAAGAGTCTTCGTCTCTAACTGAGTCGCCTTTCCACACCACACCTCTTTTTACTTATTTTTCTTCTGCTCAAATTTATCATTTCAAGGTGGCCAAACTGTATAAAATAAATCAAAGACTATTGGTTTTTAGCCAAAAAAGCGCAAACATGAACAATGGCCCTAAAACGGCCCTGCCCGAAAACGCATTCAAATTATGGCAATTATATTGAAATTTTTCATCAACCAAACAGAAGACAGAAGAAGACAGTCGGCCGACGATTTGTGGTTTTGGAATTTCTGCTTTTAGCCGCCTTAACTAAAAATAGACCATGACACAACGCTATCTATGCATATTTTCGGATACCCTTTGTTGGGTGTTTAAAAAATCGAATAAACACTACCAATAAATGTAATAAAATTATACAGCTGATAGATAAATAAATATTAAAATAATATAAGTGCCTGGGGTATTTCCTGTTATCAGATTTTTGTTTTTGTGGGCAATTTAAATCCTTTGCGGCTCTTTGTTTGCCATGCCGCCAACGTATCAAAACTAATGATATAATTTATGGGCTAACAAAGATTTGTCAAAACTCCGAAGATCAAAGCGGAAACTTTTAAAACGTCCAACAATAATTGAGATGCTATTGCAACAACAGAAAGCCAACTAGTTTTATATGGTTGAAATACAAAAATAAAGTCAAGCCTAATGAGATACATTTAAGATGCTAACCAAATTGTAGTTTGATTTCTCTCATATTAGATACAAGAGTATACAGAATTCAGACTTATTCTTGCACTTCGAAATCAATGCCAATAAATTGCTGCGCCTGTGGCACGAAAAATAATAATGCTCTTAGTGATGCCATTTAAATTTACCAACATAATTAAGCTCTTGTTAACAATGGCTTAATACGTCAGACTAAAGTCCCATTGCGGAAGCAGGTTCTGTTCTAAGAACTGAGCACCACAAAAAAATTAAGAAAAATCACCGACGAAAAGAAAAGACCATAAAAAAGAACCAAGAGATTCTTTAAGGCATTTGTTTGACCAGCAAAGACAGCAAACAAATTGCGTCCATCAATCAAGATTGGTAAAGCCATAATTGGAAATGTGAACACATGTTGTTTGGGCCTTAAGAGTTTGGAAGAACGATAGAAATCGAATTGGTGAAGGAAAATGAAAGCACTTCCAATGAAAGTTTCAGAAACTTTCAGAAATTATATTACATAAAAACTTGCATTTTTAAACTTTAGATATGTTTATAGAAATTGTGGCATTTTCTGGGATCACAGTAACCCACTTAGTTAACTTCCTAGCCTGTTTGCTTGTCGACAATCATATTATCGCAAGTCTCCAAGCCGTGTAAGGAACTTCTACTACTACTAAAATACATATATATTTTTTTAAATATCAAAAATGAGTGTTACCTTCACTGTTACTTTTAGTCTGATTGATCCGCAAACTCCGGGCTCTATTAAAATAAATATCCTACCAAAGGATATTGAGACCATGGCCCACCGTGAGCTGGCTTTTCAGATCTTCATTCGATTCCTGATGGCTAACAATATCAATATTGATATCAATAAGAAGGAGATTGATGAAAAGATTGTCTCTAAGGTGAGTGGGCAATGAGTTCTTAAACTCATAATTACATTTTCTTGGCCTCTAGATACTGCAGAGCTTGGTAACTAGTAACAAAGATGAACGCGAATCTGCGGTCGCACTCATGCGTCACGTCTACTTAAAGTGCATCAAAATGCGTCCTTATATACGCCAGCAGATCAATATATTATTTCATCGATTTATTTACGTAAATGGAAACCTTCATGGAATTTCCGAGCTGTTGGAAATTGCCAACGAGTACGTTTCGTCTTTTTGCCTTATACCCTCTTAGTATTTATATTTATATTTGCGATTAGCATAATTAGTGGTTATAATACACCACTGAAGGCCGATATTGAGGACTTCCTGTTGAAGATCCTTTTGCCACTACACAATACCGATTCTCTGGCACAATATCACGGACAGCTATCGGATTGCGTTGTACTATTTGTCTCTAGGTATCCAGTTCTTACTGCCACCTTTGTTAGGAGCCTTATCAAGATTTGGCCAAAGACTTTCACTGAAAAAGAAATCTTGCTCCTCGACGAGATCGAAGACATTCTGGCCACTACCAGTCAGGAGGAGTTTTTAAAAATGCTGGTTCCGCTGTTCTGTCAGATTATAGAATGTGCTGTGAGTCCGTGCTATAAGGTAGGTCACTCTTGCAAGAACTTAACAAGCAAGATCAGGAAAGTTACTTGTCATTCCCAAAACCTTAGGTTGCTGAGCGTGCTCTTCTCCTATGCGGCAGCGACGGGATCATGAATCATATGGAAAAGAACCATAAGGCCATCATGCCCATCGTCTTCCCGGCCCTCTACAGAATCAGCCATCGTCATTGCAATGCTGAAATAAAGAAGCTCGTCTGCACGGTTCTGAAGATGTTCTTGAACATAAACAAGGACCTGTTCATGAAGCTTAAAAAGGGCATGACTACTTTGAAAGTAATGTGCGTTTCAGAATCTGCAATATAAACTCAGTTATTATAAAATTTTGTTTACAGTAATTCTCGAAAAGAAAACATCGTTATATTGGGTAATAACGAGGATTAAAGCCAATGAAAAGCATTCTGTATATTTTGTAAAAGCGAAAGCAAGTTAAATAAATGTCCGGAATTACTTTTTGATTGTTTTTATAGTAACTAACCAATGTCCTACCTAGAGACTATACTCAATTAGATTCTAACACTTTCGAAAGCCTGCCTTTTCAATGCTGATCAAATTAAGTCATAAACACGTTTCAACTTTGAAAGTAATGTGCGTTTCAGAATCTGCAATATAAACTCACAGTTATAAAATTTTGTTTACAGTAATTCTCGAAAAGAAAATCATCGTTATATTGGGTAATAACGAGGATTAAAGCCAATGAAAAGCATTCTGTATATTTTGTAAAAGCGAAAGCAAGTTAAATAAATGTCCGGAATTACTTTTTGATTGTTTTTATAGTAACTAACCAATGTCCTACCTAGAGACTATACTCAATTAGATTCTAACACTTTCGAAAGCCTGCCTTTTCAATGCTGATCAAATTAAGTCATAAACACGTTTCAACTTTTGGACATACTTGACAAACAGCTTAGGATCGATCAATCAATCTTGGAGTTTCATGCAAAATTTTGCATACAATTTGGAAATTGAGGGGAGATGATGATCACGGAACAATGCGACACAACGGAAAAAATGCAACCGAATTCGGTGTGCGTGTGTGTACGATGTGTGTTGTCGGTTGTGAATTTGAAAACGATATTGAATATTGATATTGATCCACCTGCGATTAACTTCGTCGACGACCGGCGGATATATATAAACTCGACTATGATTTATGATCGCACCGAATAGAAACAAAACGAACATCGATGGACAACAGGTCACATTAAAGGAAGCGTGAAAGAGACGTCAGCAGAGAGTGCGACAGAGAGGGTCAGACAAACAAGTCAAATGTCAGAGGTTCGGCATAGTCAAATAATTGAGCAATTAATTAAACCGGCGAAGAGAAAAAAATTATAGAAAAATAGTAAGAAGCGGAGGAACCAATATTCGGGGTATAAAAGGCCACAAATCATCAAGGGGGAGCATCATTAAGCCAACAACTGAAAACCACTCAACATGCGTCTATTTGTGGTAAGTTGGCTGGACTGGATTAGCTGGAGGATTGACAACAGGAATAACCACAGGATTAACAAGAGGATTATTCACTTTTTTTTTTTTTTTTTTCTAGACCCTTTGCTCTCTGTTGGCTCTCAGCCAGGCCAAGCCTCAGGGCTATAACTATGGCAGCGGAGTCTCCGGTTCTTTGACCACCTCCAGTGGAGGTTCTAGTGGCGGTTTCCTGACCGCTCCCAGCCACTCCTCGGTGGCTTCTTATGGGCCGCTGGGTGCCTTCCAGACCGCCAGCGTTGGCTCATTGGTCGGCAGCTCATCTGTCCCCCAGGCTGTCAGCCATTATAGTGGTGGCGGCAACGGGGGCACCTACTCGACCGGTGGTCATGGTGCAACCTACTCGACTGGCGGAAATGGAGCTACATACTCGACAGGTGGAAATGGAGCTACCTACTCGACAGGTGGAAACGGAGCTAGCTACTCGACTGGTGGTTCCTCCAACTATGGCGGTAGCTCCGGTAGCTCCTTCACTGGCTTTGGACCCTCGCCCAACATTGGATTTGGTGTTCTGGCCGGCTATCAGGCACCCACCTACCAGCAGCAGCAAGAACAAGAGGTTCAGCGTGGCTTCCAGGAGCCTATCATCCACAAGCAGTTCTTCACCGTCGCCGCTCCCGAAGAGCATGAGAATCTGGAGCGTTCCAAGCATCTGGTGATTGGACGCCCACAGAAGAACTACCGTGTGGTCTTCATCAAGGCCCCATCTTCGAGCAATGCCAACGTCAAACTGTCCGCCGAATATGCTCCCAAGGAGGAGAAGACCGTCATTTATGTGCTCAGCAAGAAGGACAACCAGCTGGAGGTCAACGATATTGCCACGCCCGCCCCCACGGTGCCCAGCAAGCCCGAGGTCTTCTTCATCAAGTACAAGACCGAGGCGGAGGCTTCTCATGCCCAGCAACAGATTCAGGGTGAGTGGATTCATGATTAATTCCTAGATTATCGTTAACTAATACACATCATCCTTTCCTCTGCAGCCGAATACGACAGGATCGAGGGAACTTCGGAGCACCAGGATGGTGGTGTGGCCCCTGCTCAGTCCGTGGTTGGCATTTTGGATGGTGGTGCTATTGGTGCTGCCAGCTCTGGCAGCTCTCAATACGTTTCCGGCAGCACTGGCTCCACTGGCGGCAGCTCGCACTACGTTTCCGGAGGCTCTGGCTCCACTGGTGGCAGCTACACCACCACTTCCACCTCTGGCGGCAGCTCCGGCGGAATCTCTGGCGGTATCACCGGTGGAACCATCTCCGGCGGCAGCATCATCAAGAACGCCCAGAGTGCCACCTATCTGCCACCCAATGGCAAATAGATGACCACTCGCATGGATGTTTAGCAACAATTTTACTGTACAGTTTTGCAATAGTCAATGGTATTTTTTTTTTGAAAACTTAAATAAAATCTTAACGAAATAGAAGAATTTAAATAAAGGTCAAGATTTCTTTGGTCACGGGAAGGTAGAAGAATTTCCTAAAAGCTTTAATAAGTCTTATGAAAAGTTCTTTAAAAACTGATATTGTCAACTATAATATGTGCGCCTAAAAGTATGTCATGACTTTTTACTAAAGCCTTAAGAATGTTAAAACTTGCTATTATTTGTAATATTTCATTTCAGAATCCTAATTTGAATTATACCAGCGGAAAATCACATTCATCACCGATACGATACCAATCTGTACTTGGTTTTGAACTCAAGAAAAGTCTAGTAAGTTATCTTAGCTATAATCCTAATTATATAGTTAATCCTAGAACTCACACACAGCGTTGATGGCTCGTTTCAGAAGCAGATCTGACTGGCTCTTGTCCAGGACATCTGTTTCGCGGCAACTATGATACAGACTGCTCACCGTGGACTCCACGGAACCGTCTTGCGAGTTCGGCAGCATTGCAATAAAGCGATTCAGTTCATTGAGTTCTGTGAAGAGATATTAGACATACATTAAAAGGGATACATTACAACAGGATTGAAGATAAACCTCAGCTCACCCTGATACTCATTGTAAGTCTCGTAGTTCCACTCGCCGCGTTTGATCACATAATAGTCGTGGTTGGCATAGTCGCTGGCAAAATTGCCACAGGCCCACTCGTACGTCTCGTGGCAAGGACTCTTCGAAGTGTTGGCCCACAGAAGCAGCTGCCGGCTGCTTTCCACGCACTCCTTCTCTAGGCAGAGTGGCGCCCGCAGATAGAAGGGCACCTCCGGCCAGAAGGCCAGCAGCAAGATGATGATCAGCAGGAGCAAGGCGCACAGGCAGGCGGTTGTCACATAGAGGATGCGTCGCTTCCGCGACAAGCTCATAAGTGCGTCGAAGGATCGTCGGCCTGGAAGCAGCAAGGCTATCATCGGGAATGGCCAAGGTTATGGACGATATGAAAATGAATGAAGTGAAATGATATTAAATGATTCATGAGTAGTGCTTTCGATAGCAAATTCTTACCTCGCAGTCCGTTGGCCGAAGGATGCGTTGAGTTGGGTGTGATAGCCGCCGGTGTCCTGCCACCAGCTCCTCCACCGCCGACCTCGTTGAGAGCATCCTGTCTCGCTGCCTCCAAATCCTTGGGCGTTAAATGGGATCCGTCGTCCATGTGTAACTTTTGCTGATTGGTGGTCAGCGGGGCCGTCTCACTGCCCTCGATCTGTTGAAGCTGCTGCTTGCCACCGATTTCGTCCTGGCTGTTGTGCAGCTTAAAACTGCGGTCATCTACCTCGTCAATGGCACAGATCGACGGTTTGTATTTTCCCGGATTGATTGCCATTGCTAGGAGTTTCCTCTCGAATTTCCACCCAGCTGATTTAAGTCTCCTCTCGTGAATTTCTCGTTGTGTCTCCCCTCAAATCAGGCCATTCGGCATTTTTAATCAGTTCTTAAGAAGCTCTGCAAGTGACGGAAGAGAGTACATTACAAGGAAATCAAACACACAAAATTCCAGGCAGCTTAACCGTCTTGTTAATCAAAAGATTACCTTGAGACATGATATAAGGCGCTATACTATATACGCCACCCAACCACCCAACTATGTGCCTCTAGCAATAAAGAAACCTTTTCGTTATGTGGAGCATCGGAGATAAGTGAAAATTACCCAGAGATAGCGGGCACTTGATGTATCAGATCCACAGTTGCGGTCAACAAAAGTGATCTTGAATTTATTGCTAATAAATATTCTTTAAAAATTTATCAAACTTTTTGTTTTTTTATTTAAATTTACCTTTTTCAAATGATTTAATACTTTTGATATTTCTTCTTGAAAAATATTTAATAAAGGCCATATCTTCTTCAATGCTTCTTAACTGTATGATAGTATATAAGTCCACAAGATCGGCGGCTATATATCTGCCTTTAAGCGCATACACTGTATATGTTGCATGCATTCTTGTTCAACATTTGACTTCTTTTCAATTTTAAATTGACAACAATTGCTGGCAATTTGCACTGGCTAAAGTCTTCGACTGGCGAAAATATATATCCGAATATGTGGGAGGGAGACTTCCAAAAGAAAGGGAATGAGACAGAAAGTCATTTGTGTGGAGACTATAGTTTGCGACATGCATAAATTTCTATTGAGCGCCGTGCAAATAATTAAAAATGCAGCGACGTCTCGCGATCTTAAAAAATTAAACTAGGTTAATTGATAATTGCACGAAAAATCTGTCTGGCAATGTATTCCAGTTTAATACACTATATTCTTTAAGAATCTCTTTTTTGTAAGAAACAAACCAGAGACCTAAGAAAACTAAACTGGATTAACTGGGATTTATGGTAAAAATCTCTCTGATTACATATTACAACCATTTTACTTCATCTAGACATTGATTGGGAATATCGATGGATATAGCACGATCTTCGAATCTAGCTCGGATCTACTTGTGTTGTTGACTGCTATAGTTTCGCTCCGCCGACCGCCAGAGGGCGTCACTTGCCATTGTTTCTCTGTGGTTATGCTAGACTTGAAATAGTTTTCCAGCTTTATTGTTTTCCCTGTGAAATGAAATCGTATAGCGTTTTTGTCATTTAATCCGCGAGGAAAGCAGCCAATTCACCCACACAAAAATAAAAACATGGGAGGCGGCAGGTTAATTATGAAACGGCAATGCACGCGAGTGTTTATGAAGCGCAATTTGAGCATCAGCACATGATGATGATCAGAAAGTCGCATGGCTAACAGGTTTTGCGAAGTACTTTTCAAGTTTATGATTTCTTTTGGCATTAGGAAATCTCTTTCAAAAATTCACCGGACATTGGGACTCTGTGAATCAGAACTCAATTTAATTAAATGAACCCTCAGCGCATAGGCATTTTCGAATATCGGAATATTCAATCTAGATTCCGTTTTTTAAGCCCCTGCAAATCGCCCTAGAGCCTTAAAAAAGCGATAAGTTGTGGTCAGTTGTGGGGATTTGGATGGAAAAAATAAGCAAACGCTAACAGAAAAAAAGAGCAATGAATATTTCTATTGGTTATCTTATCGAGTTGAGATTATTGCCTAATACATTGCTCATTTCTAGGCGCTGCTACTAAGGCCTTCTCATTGTTTTTTTTTATTTACCCCTGATAAGTCTCACTTTTATATATAGTTCACGGTTAGCATAAATCAATTTTGTAATTTTCGGTAAGATTAGTTTCGTAGATTGCCTAAGTGTTTAATTAAAAAGAGTAAATGTGGAGAAGAATTTTGGTAACCCATAAACAATTATCTCCATACCGTATATATCTCTGACTTTATCTGTCTAGCCCTATATAGCCTCTCGAGAACCTGAAGGTTACGTGGGAATGGCTGTTAGTCGACAATCTCAGGTTGTTGAGTAATGCTGAAAGAACACTTAACTCCTCACTTCTAGGTAACCATATTAAGCGATAAGATCTTTGAGAGAAGTCACATAAAGATAAACACGAATGACACACTAAGCTAAAAACTGACACTAAGATTTCATAAGCTTCATTGACGGAATTTCTAAAAATAATTTATATAAAACTAAAATTATTAAAAATATTCCAAAATATACGCAGTTAAATAACAAATACCATATGTGCCAAATTTGAGATAAAACACATTCCTTTTCAACAGTTTAATAAAAAGGAAACCCTTTTTCTTATGAAAAAATAACAACTTTTGGATTCGTTAATGTGATAAACAGTTTGGGTTTTAGCAATTCTAAACATACAATTCTGTTAAATGTATAGTTAACTGCATCTTTAAATCACTTTATCTGTTCTCACTTTCAACCCACTAAATTAATCATATTATCATGCTTTTTTCTGCAACTTCTCAAGTTTTATGGGCCACTTTTGTTGGCTCAAAAGACTTCTGCCGCAGTGGCAAATTTTTATTTAAAAAAAAAAACAAGAAAAACTATTGGGGACACACGCTCCACACAAGCAGCTGTAATACAAGCGCCAAAAACCAGACCTCCATTTCATCGGTCTTTATCAAGTTGCAATGGCTTTGATTTCAGTTTAATTTCTCCTTCTAAAGTTCCGATTTATGCTTATTTGGCTCAATTTGATTATGGGTTCCTAGGAATCTTGGTGGGTGGTGATTATCACAGAGGACAGAAGGCAGAAAGTGAAACTGAAGCAGAGTTTATCTCACAGCCACTAGAAAATAAGCCAAGAAGCTGCGTCGTCATTTAGTTTGGGGTGGAATCTCGATTATTATTCTTATTCTCGAGCGAAGCGCAATTGAAAGTTGAGACGCAATTCGATTGGGGATGGATTTAATAAGAAGTGAAGAGGTGTGGGAAATTCACAGAGATAAACTGACTTTGATAAAATCTCAGAAATCAAAAGAAAAGCAGCTCAATGAAAGTGCGAGTCAGCGGGTTTTTTCGAAACATAACAATACGAACTTGTTTTTAATATCTTAATAACGAAAATATTCACTGAAAAATATCTAAAATTAGATTGTTATTCTTTCCCCATTCCAGCTCATTACAATTATTAGGCAATAATTCATTAGAAAAATGAAATGAAGACATTATTCATTCACAGCATATGTAGGTATTTATTGTATACACTTATCGGCTTAATATTTCCGCTCCCCCACCTTCGAAGCGAAAAATGATCGGTGTTTCTTTTGTGTGACCAAAAAGAGACTCTGACTTTCCCCGCCTATGTATTTCCTTTCCAGTTTCCAGTTCGAGTTACCATATTTGAACATGCCGCGCATAAATCATGATCGACCATATAAATCTCAACAGATAACGAACAAAACTAAAGATAGCTGGTGGGGCAATAAATTTGCTGACCAATTTTGACAGGCAGTAAAATATAATACTGGGAATTAGAAGAAATCATACTTTTCGACCCCTTCTGACAAAATTTGACATCCGGTAAACAGATATTAGACATTCAAAATAATACAGGGAATTAGAAAATCAATTTGACTTTACGCGGCTAATTGAGTGTGGCGTATTTTGACAGCGATTTGCTCACCTGTCGTACGTAATTTATAAAGTTTTTTTGCTTTGCTATTGACATTTAATTTGAGTTAATGGCACGCCGCTTGTATTATCAAAAGTGTCGATTGGCCAGCTTTTGGGTGCGATGATAACCCTGTCGCACCCCCGACACCACCCACCCATCTCCTAGCGCAATCAGTTGTTAAATGTGTCAACAATTTGTTGTCGATCTAGTCGAAACCACTAAAAAGTTGACAAATTGAGAACTGCAGAATGTGAATGTTTGCTTATGCAACTTCGCTTTCGAACGAACAAACACTCCAAACATGAAACTGTAATTAATTGAGCTGCCCGAGAACATTGCAAAGCGCTTTTCCACACTATAGTATCAGTAAAACTAGTATACTAACCTTATTTAAGGTATTTTAAATCAATATTCATAAAAATAATATATAAAAATGTTTCTATTTGATTTAATTTTAATATAAACCTTTTATCTTGACACTTCTTAAGAGTTTTAAATATTTAACAAATTTATAAGGGACTGATAAATCTGTACAAAGTAATATTCTATCGACCACGACTGTAAGTAATTTAGCTTAAAGCTATCTCTGTCTGATCTTAACCCCCGTATGCAAAACCCACTCGAGCGCAAAGTTGAAACCGTAAAACGTTTAACGGAAAAAGGTGCGGTTAAGGTTAGCTTTTCGAGTGTTTTATTTTCTGTTCGATGGACAAAAAAGTGCGTAATGAGTGACGGAGACAATGGAAAAGTGGCGAATGAGGGCGGAGGCAGAAAAGTAGACATAATGCGGGGGAGTTTTGGGGTTTTAATACGCCCGATTTTGAACGTGATCATCACAAAAGGTCATACAACGAAAAGACAAACAAAAAAGCAGCGGGTTCACTTTTGCACAGGCTCAAAATGCACAATGCATAACGGTAATCCAAAATTAAGAGGGACCAAGCGGAAGAAGCGGTAGTAAGTACCAGTAAAACCCCGGAACTGTAACAGGAAGCACTTTAAATATCATGATTATGAACAAAATAAACAAATTATCAGAAAACAATTATTTTCTTTTAACCATATTCTGCTATTTAATAGAATAAAAACTAAAATATTAAATAATAACACCATGATAAAACGATTTTACATTTACGTTCGAAGAAATTTAAAATAAAGTTAAAAAAAGTGTACTTAATCCATAGAAAAAATAAATAATTTAAAATAATTTAATTGGAAAACTTTAACAAAAATGATTATAATCTATGTTGTTATTGATTTGGTTTATTTATTTTGCGACACCTTTAAATATGGATTACAAAAGCTGAGCGATCCGCAATCAGGCGTTAAGATCTGTAGATTTCTGCCCAAGATCAAGGTTATTAACGGTATATTCAATGTCACCGGCTTATTATCTCTAAATTATGATTTGTTGTTGTTTTTGGCCTCTGCCAGCGTCGGCATGGTCATTCTTACGCATTAATTACGGGAATTTCGGGAAAGGAAAATAAAAATAAAAAGAATTGACACGCAGGCGCATTTGCAACGAATGTGAAGGGAAAAGAGAAGACAAAAAAAGAGAGAGCGACACAGAACTGTTGTTATTACTGGTTATGCGTTCACACGAAAGGAGATCACGATATTCATTCATTACATTTATGAAACTCTGACGATCAACGATCAAATCTAATTAAAATTACCCACAGGTGTTTGTGCAATCATACGCTGTTTAAACGTCATTAGTTTAAACGAGGTGACAATATTATTGATCGTAATACCGATCGACGTGAGAACGAAGTATCTGATCGTTATTTTTTATATTTATTTTCTTTTTGTTTTTGCTTTGGCCACTTGCTAAACCGGTTCTGCCGGCATTTCATACACACACACTGCGACACTTTTCCACCTTCGAGCAACAACAAAAAAAAAACGGTGGCTTGAAGTGCGCTTACATTTACCCATACACACACACACATACGCGATGGGAAATTCCTCTAAAGAAATACGAAAAATCACTGGTTTTTACCTTTTTGTTTATAGCTCATTTGACACTCCGAATTATTGGATGGCGCTACGATTGAAATAATATTCAATTCAGTTTTCGAAAGCACACACTCTAAAAAAAAAGTAGATCCAACACACATACGCGCGATTTCTTTGAATTTTTACGCGCTCAGCAGCAACAACAAAAATCAAATTAACCGTTATGTTAGCCTTCTCAATGAAAACCGATTTGCGCGTTTTCTAAACTTAATTGTAGTATAATTCACATTTATACGGAACATCCAATACCGTTTCGTGATATTTTTCGCGGCGTTTCAAATGTTTTATGTTTTTTTAAACGGGGACCGACAACCAATTCAACTGCCGCACTTTTGTTTTGTGGCCATTAGTGTGACCGCGCCGATAATGATAAAAAATATTTTACAGGCTACAAATAAATACCAAGTCTTAAAAAATAAATACCTTTCACATGTGTATTGGATGTGGTGAAGAACTTCGCTAAGCCAAGGTAGAGACTCCACCCGGAAAAAAGCTGCCAGATAAATTCCTTTTTAAAAATTACTGGTTTTTGGCAATGAGAAATTTCCCTCTGCTGCACCGCAATTCATTACAAGAAATTAACAAATTAAAGTGCAACAACAATACCGTTGAAATAAACTCCATATATGCATTATTTTTACAACTCGACCGTCATTTTTATTTGTAATTTTAATCATTAAATTTAATACAGAAATTAGCAAAAAAAAAAAAGAATGGGGCAATAAATCATTTTTCATGACACGCATTAATAAGTACAGTTAATAAATTAAACAGTAGCGTATAATTGAACTAAACTAACTGTGAGCAGCGGGCGATACTAATTTTTAGTAATGGGTTTACGTGGTACAGACAGGGGTTTTATTTCAAGAGTACACTGCAAGAAGTCGGTCAGCGCTTCTCCCACTGTAATTTGGAAATAAATGCAATATTAATTTAAATATAACAATTCAACTGTTCTCCTTCGCACTTCGTTCGTTTGTTTTCATTTTTAGTATTTACACAGAGTTTACATTCAAGAATTACATAGATTAATCAATAATTTTTCATGTTTTTTTCAATAATTTCTTTTGCATTTTTCAACACATTTTGGCGTTGGTAACTTCTCATTCGACTGCAAACTTTGAGTTTGGCAAACAATTGTCCACAAAAAAAAAATTGGGTTTCACACTAGGAAAACGCCAAATATTTTGAAGACTTGATAATAGTTTTTAAAAAAAATATTAGAGTAGCACCTAATAAGTGTGGATTTTCTCTGTTTTAATTTTCATGCCTTGGCTGCTGCCTAAAAGTATGGGGCGTGGCAGTATAGGGCAGCACTAGGCTTAACACTCTTCCCTTTCTCGATTCAGAACTTATACCTTCGATATTTCCATATTGGCTATCACTTACATTCGCTCATTTGCATCATTCAGTCAATACGTTTCAGTCATTCACTCACTTAGCCTAGGTTCCTTTCGATTTCTAGCTTTCTTTCTTTAGTACAGATTAATATAGCACTTTGTTTAACTTTCCTCGAAATTTTTGCAAAGAACAAAAACACAAAAGTCTAAAAATAAAAAAAAATATATATGTTTGTTTTAGTTAAAAAACCTTTACGCATTAGAAAGTTCTTCATGTCGTGACTAGGCAAGTTTAAATATGTCGTATTTTTTTCTCCTTTACAATGTTCTCCCTCTTGTTTTCTGGAGATGGTTTTTGTTTTCTTTTCCAAGCAGCAAGTTTATCGCCCTCAACAAATGATCTATTTAGAGGGGTCTAAACACAGGGGATTATCCACTGGCACCTTCCATATCGACATCGCATGTTTTAAAACTCGACTAAGCGCTCGATTTTAGTACGTCTTAGAGCCGTTTCGCTATTTTTTTTTTAGTACGTTTTGGATTGGTTTTAGTGCGATGTTAGAAGTATTTCGTGGTTTTGTTAATTCTCTTGCTATTTTCGCTGCATTTCTTAAACTGAAGGACATCGTGGCACTCTACAGATGCTCATCGCCGTGATATCCATTCCGAAGTGGCTGACGCTCCTGTGAGTGATCCGTTGGACGGTTACGGTTAAAGAAGCCGCACTGTAATCATGAAATAAAGAGATTTACATTTAGGAATTCCAAAGATATACGTCTAGGAACTCACCTTGTACAGAAGCCAGACGAGGAGAAGGAAGATAAGCGCACCAGCACAGGCAGCCAAGACGACGACCCAGAGTGGCACCACATCGGGCACCTGCAGGGGTTCCGGTTCCGCCTTGTAGAAGATCTCATGTGTTTTGACTATCGCGTCCTTCGGCGCACCGATGAAAGGCAGCAGGGTGACATTGGCCACCGCCAATGTGGATACATTAAGCGGTACATTCGAGGCCAACTTCTCCATCGTTTTGGCCACCATGCGTGCCCTAATAGCCACGAAGGCGGCATCGCCATCTTCGGTGCCCAGATTAGTGACCACACATCGAATGCTCTTGCACTTGGCCGACTGGCAGGGTGAGTTCAAGTCGATTTGATGTGGCTTATCTGCTTCCTCATCTTTATCGTTTGATCTTCGGAAGCGGCGGGAACTGGAACTGGAACTAGAGCTGCTGCTCCAATGTCCTGGTGTTCCCTGCTGTAGGTTGTCCTCGTCATAGAAGTCTTCGTTTTCCCTGCCATAGTAGGGTTTGCTGCCCGAGGAGTAGGTGACATGATATCCACCGGGACTACCACTATATTGGGTCTGTCCCTGGTACGACGTCTGTCCCTGATAACCCTGACCCGGGTTTCGTGCCTGGAACTGAGCCTGATTTTGTCCTTGGTAGTGGCCCTGATTGGATGTCTGGAACTGGCCCTGGCTTTGGCCCAGACTTTGGCTGGGGTTCTGGTAATTACTTTGACTCCTGTACAGCTCGTTGTCCACATTGCCTCTGTTTAGGGTGCCCAGATCCAAAGTTCCGGTATGAAAATTGCCATTACTACCGCCAAATTGTGATTTATCATTAAAGGTAACTGGAGCTCCCAATCTAGATCCTCCGGAACCGGCCAAATAGATCTGCTGATTCTGCTGCGTTGGCCAAGCGCGATAGCTCGACGATGAGCTGCTGCTACTGGATTGCTGAGCTGGTCCGGCCACCTGTATATGACCTTGGGTGCTATGGCCACGCAATTGTGCTGATGGAGCACCGGATCCAGAAGAGGAGCTGCTTGTGGAGAATGTAGAGAAGCTAGTCTGATTTATTCTTGGTTCTTGAACCGCCTGACTGGCTCGATCACGGTGATCAAAGGACGCATCTCCGGTTGCTTCCAATGTGTCCTCATGCTGTCGTTCCTGGACCTGTTTGGGGCTCAATTTGTTTCCAGCATCAGCTTTATTACTGACTATAACTCCCTGTCCAAATACTTCTCCATGGGCCTTCTCCACAATAACACCGCCTGCGGAAGAAGTCGACCCTGAGGACTCACTAGATTGACCAGCGACCAGTGCTGAATTCGAAATGGCACCCTGAGCCTGCAGATACGACTTTCTTTGCAGCTTCTCGTCCAGCAAAAGATTGTACTCATTAACTCCTACTTCGTCGCATTGAATTTTGCCACCGGTCTCCGGCTGGTTCAGCAGATACATCAGGGGATCTCCAACGATTGTCTCATAGGGCAGATGGATAAAGACCTCTGCCTCTTCAATGATCGAGGGGCGATTGTTCCGGATCTCGTAAATGTGCACAACTTGCGGTCCAATGTCATCCTCCTTGGTGGCATTTTCCAGTTCCTTGTAATCGTCGGCCTTGTAGAGCTGGTAGTCCGGCAGTGAAGTACCCTTGATGTCAAGATCTGTGTCCACCCAAATACCAACGCTCTGTCGGATCTTGTTGTCAAAGTCGGACCCTGGCTTTTCCAGGTTCGTAGAGTTGACCTCCCAATAGAAGTCGTAACTGGACGAGCTGCCGTATTTCTCTTCTGGCACCAAACTGATCTTGAAGTGGGCCTAAAGTGGAGTTAAATACAGGTATTAGTTTGAACAGATATTTTGTATATCATTTTATCGGTAAACTCACAATCTTTCCAGACTCCAAAGGATTTCCAATGTCGCACTTCAGGGTGTGATTGTTTTCGGGAGTAGGCGGCGAACAGGTTATGGGCGTATCCTTCTTCTCTTTCAACTGCTGCAACTTCCTGAACTGCAAATCCGGTGGGGTAACCATATAGAAGGCAGCCTCGAAGGCATCCTCATTGGTATTCGCAATAAGAACCTCGATGACCAAAGGCTCGGGTGAACCAAAGAGATACTTGTCTACAGTGCTGCAAAATAAAGAAAAGACCATTAGCATGGGGATCTAGATGAGTTTACGGCCAGCTGTGGGCTTACTTGATTGTCAGCTTCAGATCTGGTTCGCAGATATTGTCGGGACCACAGTTCTTCTGGATATTGATAGCATCCCGCAGGACAATCTCACGGTTCTGATCGATCACCGGCTCCAGGATGCTACGTCTGCGTCTAACCATCGCATCCAAAGGACGACTACTGCGCAGATTGTAACGGGCTTCGACCTCCAGGGGCGTTAGCTTATCCTTGACATCGTCCAGCAGATAGACAGTCTCATTGAGACAGTACTTTTGGCCATAATTGAGGCGGATAGTTTGGTTCCTGATATTCTTGCCCTCGTCCCTCAAGAAGAACATGCGAGGATTGGGCAATTTCTTGGCATCCAACAGCCAGGATACATCGAAGTCCAGTTGCTCGGGCAGATTGCGACCTGTGTAACTCCAGCAGGTGGACAGGGGCATGCAGGGTACCTTCCTTTGATCTCTTATTAGCTGACAGTTCTTGTCGTCCAGACTGATCAGCTTTGAGTTGCTGGCAAAAGTGGTCTCGGCATTAACAGCGGCCACTGGTCGGGACTTGAAGATGAACACCTGATCGGAACTATAGGCGCCTACTGCAAGATCTGGATAGGTATTGCCATCCATATCGAGACCACCAGCCAAAGCGAATCCAAAGGTTCTAGGGTAGGGTGCTCCTTCGACAATCTGTTCGGATTTGATGATCTGTGACGGCTTTGCCAGTGGACCCAGTGGCGAGCCATGGAAGATGTAGACCACTCCACGGCCCTCGGGACCATCGTAGGGAGCACCAACAGCAAAGTCACCATAACCATCACCATTCACATCGCCCAATGTGGTCAGGGCCAGGCCAAACCTTCCCTTGCTATGCAAACCATCGCGAATGTGCTCCGTGGTCCATCTCTTCTCCTCGTTGGGGCCACCCTGCAACAGGATATAGACCCTACCCACATCGTATTTGCCCTCTACATTATCGGGATCTGTGTACATGGGTGCACCGATAAGCAAATCATCCAGACCATCACCATCCACATCGCTGGTGGCTAGAGAATAGCCAAAGTACTCGCCAATCTGACGGCCAGTGATATTAAAGATATTCGCCATATTCCAACGATTGACAACAATCCTTCCGACGAGATTACCACCACGTGGCATACCGATGGCCACATCCTCACTGCGGTCGCCATCGAAATCACCGGTGACCATCGAGTAACCCAAATAGGAGTCATCATTATTCGAGGAACTTTCTGCGGTGGAGAAGACCTGGTTCTCCGGCTTGGTCACATCGTGGGAACTGGCCGTACCTGTGGATCAGGGAAAATACTTTCGTTACTAACCAGGGTTTCTAAAGATACTCCTCGTTTTTCTTTTGGTGTTTTAGGGTGAGTTTGTTTTGCTTTAGTTGCGGTCAAAATAGTGGAATTTCATTTCAAATTATAGTTTTCAAAATATCTTTTGCTATTCTTGTGACCGCAACTGTTTGGCGCTATATGGGCATGCTGGGCATCAACAAACAACTATATCAACAATGATGGACACATGGTAAGATGGCACATGGAATTTTTAACTACTCCCAGCCAAGGAAGCCACAACAACAACAACGGCAATTACCACAAGATACTTCGCTACTTTTTTTGGATGATTACGTGTATATTGTATGATTACGGGGGCACTACAAACAAACATGCTGGGGAAACGTGCTGGGATTATGGTTAGTTTGCATTCCCAGTTAGAACAGTGAAAACCCGAAGTAAGCTACATGCACTTAAACTATAAATTATGCAGAGTTTTGGGCCAGACAAGAGATACGGTACGAGACAGACTGGAGAAAAGATAGTATACATAAGGAGTTAATCTACTTTTGATGTCGATTCAACTTAGATATTTCTATAATCTATAATCTACGTTGTTAAGTACTGATAGTTTTCAACCAAACAATATCACATAACCTTTTGTTCTAAGAAAACTTAAGCATTGAACTATTTCTAAGAAAAGTTGTCTAAAAAGTTGTAGGGATAGTAAGAAAAAAGCTTTTCGGTTTTATAAAATTTTGAAATATTTTGCAGAAAATGTAAATTTATCATTCTTCTGAAATTTCCGCAAAAATAGTTTTCGAAGAACCCGTTTTCCGAACTAAGAAATCCTTATTGAGAAACTTGAAAAAAAATTGTTGCATACTTTTTAGATATGCTTAAAGAGGATTTCTAATCCGTAGTGATTTCTGGGTATGGCTATTATATCCATAAGATCTCTCTCTGCCGTACCGTGACTCCTTTTGTCAAAGCCAGCCCTTTTATAAAACCCCAAGATCAGATGAAAGATAAACCGATTTATATAGACATTATTTTAACAATATCATTTTTTATCTTTCATCGAAATGATCCCAAAAAACAGAAAAGCAGTTAAGAACCAACCATTTAAGCGATTTGGCCAAAGCGAAAGCTACAGACATAGCTTTTTTAACCCTCTGAAACCATAGATATTAATAGGCAAAGCGTTCTAGAGACTTTTTGTTTGGAAATCATCGAACAAATCTATATAGTTTGCTTTATTTCGATGGATTGCCAAGGTTTATATTTTTTATATAATGATGAATGATGTGGGGTAGATAGTTTTGTATGAGTTTTGATTTGAGATATATTTTTTGATTATCAGACACCATTAATGGGACTCTCATTTGGAGTTTTTGTGAATGTGGGTGGTGGGTTGGTTTTTGTGTTTAGGTACTTTCTTTGTGTTGAGCTGTGTTAATGTTCGTAGGTACAGTTTCGGTTGAGTTTTGAGTTTGAGTTTTTGAGGCAGTGGGTGAGAAGCGTAGTTGCTGTTTGTTTTTATTTATTTTTGGCGTTTTTTGTATTATTATTATTATTACCTCCAGTGCCGAAGGGCTGATAAAGAGGCGGCTTAAATGGAAACTCGGCATCGGGCGGTATCGAGTAGGTTTGTCCTTTTTATGGTTTTTGTTTTTGGATTTATTTTTAATAGCAACAAAAGTTGTAGGGAAGAATGTTGATTGGGATTCAGGTAATCGGTATTCGGGTGATCGAGTGGTGCGGTTCGGTTTTTTTGGGAATCGGTACAGAATGCATTTCACATTTCACATTTTCATTTTTTAAGTTCGGTACAAAATCGCATGCATTTTGCCCCGACACACAGGATATATTGATTGAGTGTGTAGAGTGAGACAGAAGGTGGAGAGGAAGGAGCAAAAAATATAAAGAGAAAGAGAGAACATAATTTTGATTAATTAGATCAGGAAGAACATGACGCGTTATACGGTACAGGTACAGGTACAGGTACAGTTACAGTTACAATTACAGTTAAAATTACAGTTAAATTTACGTTTACAGTTAACGTTACAGTTACAGTAGAAACTTGTGTATCAAATACGGTACAGTAAATGCAGCTATAACTTCAACTTGGGTTAAATGGTACATTAAAATACGATTAACAATATTTACGATTCACGGTTATATATTGCTGACTCCTGCTGTCGAGTTGTGAATGATTTTGGAGTTAGCAAAACTATTCAATTTAAATTGTGTACCACTCAAAAGGTCAATGGGTACAATTTTGTACGATACAATATTGTTAGCTTCTGGCAGCGACAACAGTGCGACGTTAGGCCAATGGGGGGTTAAACGACTTTGAAGGACAACAACTCGACAACACAATATAAATGTAGCTCACTTATTCGATTCTACTAGTTTCGATAAATGTGCATTTAACAAGTGTAATTAGGCAATATAATCTTTATATTGATACAATATAAAAACAAAAAAAGTAGCTGACTATATTAATATTTCAAATCTTCTCCAGCTTGTTAAGTACACACTTATCGTTTCCTAAAATAAATACAAAGCCAGTTTAGTTTTACTTTTTAAATGTGCCAAAAGTGTAACCCAGTAAAGGTTCACTTCTAGCCATATTAAATGTAAAGTTTGCACTGACTTAATATATTTTTGATTTTACATTATATTTGTACCTATTGATACTTCATAGTTTATCTACTAGACTCTAGACTCTACAATGCGACATGCACTCTAGATACTACTTAGTCTATAGCTAAGACTAGCATTCCATCTTCTACAGATGCATATTGGATGATATAGCCCGCTTAGATCTACATTTCGAGGGTTAGAGACTGAGTTCCTAGTCAAAGAGGAACGGAAATAGGACCAGGTATTACGATACAAACATGTAACTAGACCCACAATATATAGAATATTCATTTAATTACTTAACTTTGTGTAAATTACTTAGGTTATGGACTTTCAACTGGCATTAAATTAAACACACGAGAAAGGATTCGTTTAACTAAACTAAGGGGTATACTAGGTTAATGCAATCACTTTGAGTTTGTACATCGGAGGAAGGCAATCAAAATTCAAGATTTTCGTGGACTTTATAGGCTAGGGAAACGAGGACGAGGACAAATGCTAAATGAAAAACGTGGGGGAAAACGAAATTTTAATTTCAAACCAGACTACTCGTGTATGTGTGTGTGTGTGTATGTTTGGGTCTATGTTCTATTGGGAAAATCTAAGGGTTTAGGGATATTACTTATAGCTCTATGTCTATGACTAAATACATTGGATAATCTTTAGATAGTCTTATTGAGACAGGAGATACTAGAAAGAACAGCAACTTCAAAATACATACAGTAAAAGTAACTCGTCTCAAGAGACAAAGAAAGGTATTGAGGTACGGATAAATAAATAAATAAATGTATAAATAAATAAATATAAATAAAAAAGAAGTAGAACAACGGTATACAGTACATGTGGGAAAAACGTGCACTTACCTTGCCAGTACCAACTGCCAGGTGCGCCGATGAACAAACGCGAGCCATTCTACAACGGGAGAAAAGAGGTTACTACAGATATCTGTATATATAGATGTACGTATATATATATATATATAATAGTCAATTCGAATGCTGGGGATGCAATTGTGAATGCAAATGTTATGCCACGATCCCAACGAGGTGCCAACTAAACGTGCCCATGTCTGTCCACCCGTCTGTCCTACCCAAACCATTCCATGCATATAATAACTCAATGAAACCCAAAAAAAAAAGAGTCAAGAAAAAGGGAGATCTAAAGATCGGGTTGGCGTCTTCATTTTCTTAGACGAACTTTGAATTCTCTTAGATTTCATTCTACTCTACTCTGTATTATAATAAGAAATATCTTATTATTTATATTATTATTAGAGCTTGCTAGATTTAAGACAGTTTGAGGCACTCTATAAACACCCCTTTTTGCTAAAACATAACTTTATTTAACCTGCCTTTAAACCAACTAAAACCCATGCATGGATAATCATTCCTCCCCCCGTTTTGCAAAGAGTATACCCATTGAATACTTACCCCGTTGATCGCTGCACTGAATCCAGCCTGACACGAGCCCTGGCGATGATAACCCCAGTTGTCTGAAACGAAAAGAGAGATGGAAATGCACAGCATAAGTGAGTGATTGGGCACAAAAAGAGGAGGCTGGGAGGCCAGTCACACGCAGTTGACCATTTAGGCATTGTGCGATTTCATCATAAATGTTCACAGGCCCTCGGGGGGTTTTGCTTGTGTTGTTGCTGTCGCTGGTCCCATAGTAACAAGGGGGGTACCGGTGTGTGGGACAATAAATTGCAAATAATTACCGATGCAATGCAATAAATTGCGGTGCTATTTGTCAGTCGGCGGACGAGAGAGTTGAACGAGCGTTGGAGCAACATAAAAGGATTAGAGCGCGCCTTTGGGGCAAGATCTTCGCCTGCCAAAGCGATGGACATTGAAATGAAAACACAACAATAAAAGCGGCAAACAAAAAGATCAAGACGAGGCAGGCACAAAGTGGGGACGGCATCCACACATCCACTCACATCCACTGCCACACATCCTTTTGTTGGCCCCGCCTTTTGTTTGTTTGTTTGTTTGTCCGGCAAAGTGTCTGGCGAATGTTGCCTTGCTACCAAATACGAAATCACGTAACATCAGCAAAAAGATCCAAAAAAAAAAAGAAAAGAGAATGAAACAGTAGAAAGTCGATGCCTAGAATACCCTACTACGAACCTAAGTTAAAAGCACTGTTTAAATCTGGTGGCGCCAGTGGCTAGACATTGAGTCTTTCAATGGCACCCTGAAGCCCTGAAAATAGCTATGAAAGTCTAGTTTAATATTAGCTATTATCTGTTTAAATATTGATATCCTTTACTTTAAGTAAAGGGTATTTCCCGCGACAACAACAACTTTATGTCGCATGCGCGGCCTCCGGCCAAAAGAGGCAGCAAAAGGGGAGACTTTGTTGGGGCAAAAACAACAGAGAAATCAACAGGCAGATCGTGCGTTTGATCAAATTAAACGATAACAATTTGTCTCGAAGTGTTTCAATTTGAGCTCTGCGACAGCAACATGTTGCTGCTGCTGCTGCTGCTGTTGCTGCTGGCACTGGGCAATCGCATAAGTCAACTTTTTGTTGCCGCTGCCGTTCGTAATCGTAACGCACACAGGTCCTCCTCGTACGTGAGCATACCCATGGCATTGTCTTCGGGGCAGTTGTGGTAGTAATTCCCATAATAAAATCGCCCCGTCTTGAATTACAATTAGTTTTTAGCAAGGGCACGCCGAGAACTCCGCTCCTTTTGCCGACATTTCAACTTGGCTGGCTTGGTTGGCTTGGCTTCTTGGCCACTCCACTCGATTGTTTTGTACACTTTTTTATTTTTTACGCTTTGATTTACCCTTTTTTCCTGTTGTTGTCTTCGGTCTGTGTGTTTCCTTTAACTATTTAGTTTGGCATTTTGTGCGTTAAGTTGGTATTTATTGCTTTCAGTGATGTCGGAATGTGCTGAATCGACTGTCAGGATGAGTTGATGTTGCTGTTGCTGTTGCTGCTGCTGCCGCTGCTGATGTTGCTGCTAATCATTTCACAACAACAGCATAATAACGCAACAACAAGACCACTGGGAATCAAGTTGGCCCACTCGCATGTGCTTAGAATCTAAAACAATGCCCTTGGCCGGGCCATATTGGCCCATGGATTGAGCAATCTCATAATTTGAATTCTAGGGCAATATTGCTTATATTTTAAGTATTTTATATTTCTTGATATCAACTAGCTATCACACAGAACGTGTTCGATAGGTTATTGTAAATTATTCTCAGTAAGAAATAGCTCATTACAGATGAACAGCCCAAAGTGGCTTAAATGATTTCCAGAATGAATCAGTTCCCTTTATTACAGCTATGTAGTTCCATTGACTCAGAGTTTTAACCAAATTCGATAATTTACTTAGCCATTCTACGAACCAATAAGCAAACAAGCAATAAAACTGAAAAGCAGAAAAGCAAAAGCAAGTCTTCCGTATGATAAACTAGTTCAAGAGTCACAACCCCGACTAATGGCCATATGCCAGCGGCACCGATATATAGAAAGACTCATATGTGTGTGTGTATATATCCGTATATATACGGATATAGCTCCTTTAAAATCCGAAAGATATATGCACATGTATATACGCAAGTTGAATGCTTTGCATCTGCGAGAAAATGCTAAAAATAATCACACCTCATCGAAACTTTGCGGAGGAGGAGGAGGGCGCGAATGCTGGCCCATGTGTGCGAGGTCTATATGTATATAGACCTAGATATAGTCGGTATAGACCGATGACTAACCAAACAAATTTGGCAGGCTGTCCCAAAAGGCAAAAAAGAGAAACAGAAAGCATAATAAAACTGAAAGCAAAGGAAAGTAATGTGAGGTGAAAGCAAGAAAAACAAATGCATCAGAACGAAAAACAAAATACAACTTGGAACATCAAATTAAATATTTTTAGATAGACCAAACATCGCACTACAAATTACATAGAGTGGGCTATGTATTTGTCCGCCTGTCAAGTCCCATAAATCTTTCATTCGATCCAGGTGCGTGGATATCTTCTGGGTTTACGATTTGATCTGATTTTTGGTTTACATTTCCCAAATGATGTTGAATTAGTCACTTAGATGGCTAAGTTGTGTAAGCGAGCATCGGAAATAGGTGCTACTAAAAGGGATCTTTCTTTACTTTCAAACAGCTGCAGACTAAGTTCCTTACAGAAGATATGTTTCTATCATTATTCATTAATAATCTTTATAACGTAAAGAAGGTAATAGTTAATAAGGTAATAGTTAAGGAAAATAGTTAAAGCCCTAAAAGTATTCTAAATAAAAGAAGAAAAAGGGAACTTTCTAATCAGGATAACTTATCATACAACATGTTTTCCCTCAATTCTACAAATAAATTTAAACCTTGGCTAAACCGATTTTTCACTTTCCCTCAAATTACCGTTATTCGATATGCCGAATACTACCCAAAAAATATATGTATAAAAAAAATAAAGCTAAAGTGAAGCAACAACAGCCGAAGGAATGCCAGCGACTGACAGTTTGAATTTCGCTTTTCAAGGGATTCCCTGACGCTCGAATTACAGAATCACACCAAATTGGTGGTCGAATTTACGGGACCGCCTCTGGTGTGGGTTGATGTTAATCCCTGCCCCGGTTTCAGTTCCTCTGATCCAATACTCACTTGTCCGGCAGGGGGAAACCTCGTAGAACTGCTCGAAGTTGTGCGAGGTGAAGCAGGTGCCCACGGGATCAATGCGGAACGCCCTCGATGGCGTCATCGTGTGGAAGACATAGCGCGGTGCACAGGCCTGCAATGAGAAATGGAGAAAATCAATCGAGATGAAGTACCTTGCACTGTAAGGAAAACTTATTGATCTGGAAAAGATAGGTATGAAATATGATAATGTAAACTGATGATATTATATTGGTTGGCGAACTCTTTAAGATCTCCTTTAACTACTATTATTACCTTATACTTATCTTCTAGCATTATTATCATTTGCTACAGTTTATTACTTTAAAGTTCAAAATCATAGAGGCACCAATGGTTTTTTTCAGGTGTACGTACTTGAAAGAGACAGGGGCAGGCATGGAAATTATTTGGTGAAGATGTGAGACAATGGCAGGCCAGCAGCAATGGCAAAGGCATGGAGCAGCGGCCCTCCTAAAATGGCCAAAGCGAATTAACAGACCCCATATCCCCCGGGCACAGTGTGGCCAAACTACCGAAAAAGTTATCTAATCTTTAGTTTAATTAAAATAATAATAGATCTTAGAGATTTCCTTGGTATCAACATACCATTTAAAGTAGCAAACACTGATCTTTGCACGATACTTAAAACTCCTTAAGCAATGTGACTATCAATTAATAAATTTAGGCCACTATTTTGTAAACTCAATATCTGAGATACCTTTTACCACTGTGCTTAGAGAGTGAGTTAGCCCCGACGCATTGGATCGCTTCGCATCCCAGCCGATCTGTGTGTTTATATAGTTTTATAATGTATAAATGGCTGGCAGTTGGACATAAAACACGCACGAGACTCGGGGTCTCAGCCATCTCTGTCGCAGTGCCGTTCCAAATATGGTCAGCGGTTGGAGTTTGTGGCATGAGGCATGAGGCATGGGGCATGGTGCAGGCGGGGAATAGCCGAGCCGAGCTGAGCCGGAGCAGGAGGCATCAACATCAGCGTCAAGATCTTAGGCCGGGCCATTGTCTCCGCACTGCAATTACTTTTACAAATTTATACATATTGTGCCATTTATGGCAACCAGTGGCTCTCTGTATCTGTCGCTTTTTCCGCCCCATCCTCCGTCCACCGTACTCCACCTCCGCCCCCTTTTTGGCAACTCTGACATAAACTCAAAATGACGCGCTATCGCCAAAAATGCATGCTGATCGGATATCGGATGGGAGCGGATGGAGAGGCCGAACCATTCAAATGCCCCATTGAATCACAAATCTATGGGCCAGGCCATATTATGCAAGCAGGCGCAGAAATGGACAAACAAAAAATCACAGTCCAGCTAACCCTACACTGCGAGAATATTAAACAACTAAATCTAAATGCTAAAAGACATGTGTAAGCCTCAGTTTTATCTAAGCAACTACTCCATCAGCTTAAGCTTACAATATCAGAAACCTTATACTGCTTACTATACAGATTATAATCATTCCAGAGTTTAACTACCATATTTATAATAAATACCCTATAAATAATACCCTATGTTTTCCTTAGTGCATCTGTAAGAATTGGATAAATAATAAAAACAAGACCCTGAGAGTTGGGCCCAGACAATCGACTTGCCGCTGGGCACTCGGGGGAGCGTTGAACAATTCAATTGAAATTCCCAACAATTGCCCGCGTGGACCATTGTCCATGCCATGATCAATAAGTTAATAGCAATTTCCTATTAAAAACTTTATTATCAGTTGGCCCGGCAGACAGATTCCTTTGCGGTTGGCTTGTACTCTCTGGCCGACAGCAGTTCGCGGTAAAATAGTTAGATATGCAAATGAGGAGCGGCCAAAAGGAGAGAATGGATCCCGAAAACAGGTCCCAGCTTGCCAGCTCTTCATTTCGAGCATTGAAATCAAAAATTATGGTTATGAATATGAGGTTTGTGGCCCATAGTGGGGGATGATATATACCAAATTGCTACCATTTAGAGATGCATTTTTTATTGCCAAGACATTTGTAAAACTATGGCAACGAAGTCGTTCACTATGTAGATTTGTTAATTCCATTTTGTAGGGTGAAAATCAAGTTAAACTTTGTAAATATTTATCTCCGATGACTCCCCAAATGAAATCCAATAAACAAATAAAGAAATTATTTATAAATCAATCCCGGGAAGATATGACTCCTCCGATTGTGAAAGTATTAAACAAATTGGGTCATTCTCAATTGCTGTGAATTTGGGCCAAGGATTGGCCAACGAATGGATGCTGTGGCATGAGATCACAGACCGACTTTTAGCTTCAATCAACAACTTGTCGCCGAGTGGGCGGGGTGGTCATCGCCGCCGCCCACAATGGCCATGATCGGCAATCAGCGGTACAACAACACCAAGGTGACATCACTATGAACTCACTCACTGCCCCCCCTCTCTCTCTTTCTTCATCACATATGGCCGTCTCTTTCGCAGCTGCCCTCGCCCGGGGGCATGTGCCGCATGTCGTGCAGTCTCGTTTCGCTACGTTTTTATTTTTCATACCTCGTGCTTGCAAATTTGCGGGTGTACTGGTGTAAGTCTGGTTAAGATAGTTTATAAAACCTAATTTCGGTTTTCAAACCACTTCTAGAAGTGTCTAAAAGTAGGAACGTTGGCTCTTGGAATACAAGCGACCAAGTTTCGGATTCAAAATAGATTGTTGCATACTTTTGAAGACTTTTGTAAGAGATAAGAGATGCTTTACAGACATTATCGTTTATAAATTACAAATCAACATAAAATCATATACAGATTTCTTCTAAGATTTAACATCTGCTATTTATATATTAATTCCAAAACTCTAAGTGCAGTATACAGACTTATTTTAGGTATGGCCAAGTCGGGTTAAGTTCTTGTTCTTTCCGAAAGATGTTGTTTGGTTTGCTGTGCTTCGATTGCGACATGATCATCGACACGATCTGTGAAATTGCCAGAGCTATTGAACTCAAATATGGCCCGGGCAGCACTCGCACACAGATATATATCGCTATATATATAGTAAATATGTAAGGATACAGAGGAAGTGAGGATCGGAGGACTGGAGTTGCCCATGGGCCTAGCCGATTTGGCATCTGCATCTGGCTCGAGGGGCCTCCAGATATTCTTTGGCATTCGCAATGGTAACGTCTGCATGTCGACCATGTCAAACGTGTTGACTTTTGACTTTAGTTGTTTTTTTTTTTTTGTGCCTTTGCTCCCACAACAACAACAACAACAACAGCGGGAACAGGAAGAACCGACGGCGTCTGCAAAAGTGCAGTTTAATGTCTCAAAAATTTATCGTTGGCGTTTTGGTATGCACTCTGCTCCAAACATGGGCAATAAACCACATAAACAAAAAAGAAACAAACAAAAATCGGCCAAAAAACAAAAGCCCAAATACAGAGACAGACAGAGACCTCAAAACTACTAAAGCCAAGCGAAAAGAAAGCCCAAACAAAGCCAACAGAAAAGTCGTTCAAAATATGTTAAGCTCGGAAGAAATAAGCCGGCAACACGACAAAACAATTTGGTTTTTAAAGAATGGAAAATGGTTGACATGGCTAAAAAATGAGCCAGGCTTAAAGGTCAACTCGAGGTACTTAAGGTTATAAAAACCGATTACGATTGATATTTGTCTTGACTGAACTTTAAGATCACTGAACTTCCTTTTACTAAAAGGAAAGGAAGGTAAGAATTTCGAAAAAAGATTTAATTCATTTTTAATATTAATTTTAAAGGGAACTAAACCAACTCTGTTAAACCCTAAAAACACATTTCAACATTCAATGTGTTCTAGGATTACTTAAAGCCATAGCCAAAGGCCATAGTAAACCATCGACTGATGTAATGCGAGGGATGATGATGATGATGTGGGCCCAGGTAATACCGATGGGGCACTTGGGGCAACAAAAAACCAATCGATGGATGACCTGCTCCTCCCTATCCGGTTAATGGGCATTTGAAGGCCAGTCCCAGTCCCAGACCCAGTTCCAGGTTCCCATTTCACGTTTACTATTTTGGCGGAAGTGACCTGACCTGGTCATAACAACAAAAACAAAGCAAAGAAAAGGAAAAAAATAAACCAGAATAGGAATAAAGAAAAAATAAGGACGTACTGGCCATCAATGTTAACGGCTATTGGTGCGTTAAAGTTAATTGAGAACTAAAGTGAAAATCAAATGTTTATGCTGGGTGGGCGGTCAACAAGCGGCCAACAAAAAGCCACCGCCAACGCAATTAACAAAAGTTGCGAGACGTGGCGCACCTTAGAGAGTCCGAGTTCCCAAAGCAGAAAAGCACACGACCACAGCGGCAAGGCAAAGTTGCACAAAGAAAAACTTATTTTCGATAAAGAAAATATTTCAAAATATTTAAAAAGATTTTTAAAAGAACGATCGCTTTGGAGTAACTAAATAGTATCAACATTATTCTATATATTTTCCAAACTAAAGCAAAACAAAGACCTCTACGATTTCTCTCTGTGCACCAAACAAAGCACTGTATCTGGGCATTGGTATCTTATTAGAGTTTTCTATCTGCCTTGGTTTTCTTTTGTGGTCTACTTGACGCAATCCACCGGTGAACCAACCGCAGTGATGACAAAATCACTGAAATCGAAATCCAAATCCAAATCCAAAGCCATTGAGAACCATAGTCTTACCAAAAACACCCACTGAAATCTAACGGCAAAGCACACACAACAACGTTAGACTGCCATAAAAAAAAGTTAATTTTCTTCAGAGATTTTCTTATGACATTTGATGGAAAAGGTGTCAGTTACGCGATAACTGAGATAGGTGGTGGGCGAGCTATGGAGCTCTATAGCTCTATGAATACCATTCAGTTTTCCCTTGCACTTTCAATGCAATTTGACATTTTAACGAGCCAATGATGATGCCATCATCGATGGACATTAAAATCGGACAAGGTTTTCCAGCGGTTTCAGATACTACATATACAGGTTGTCTTGCGGTCGGCGGAAAATGAAAGTCCTCACATTGACTCACATTGTTGTTTGGCTCATAAAAAATGGGTTTTAAAGTGCGATAATTGGGTTTATCGGTGGGCTATAAAGGGCAAAGCCTTTAGCTAATTATAAAACCATAAATGGAGTCAAGGTGCCTCTAAAAATGAAAGTCACGATTGCACTACAATGTAGAATGAGTGAATCAGTATTCATCTTAGTTTATATAAATCTAAAATATATCTTTCCTTAAACTTACCACAACCAAATCACTATCCCGAGCAGTGGCCACTGTGGCGCCCAGCCATTGGTAGGATTTCCTGTCCACGACCTCTTTATCCACATTTCGATTGTTGCCTGATTGTGGGAAGAAAGAAAATCACATTATTAACTCTGCAAATAACAGTCACATATATTTTGGCAAATCAAAATTGCAAGACAGCGACAAAGAAGGAAAAAAAAACCTAAATTTCAAATGTACATAAAAAAGCGGGATAAATATTAAGAACTGAGACAGCGAGAAACAAAGACGAAGACGAAATAATTCAGACAAAATGTGGACGGAAATGAGTAATTTAGTGAAATTAATATGTATTCTTGAAGGAGGGGAGAAAGGCAAACTAATTAAGCTACACTGAGAGCACAAAACACTTGAGTACAACGTGGATAATGATGATGGTCACTTCCTTTGGTCAGTGATTTATGACAGTAATTTTCAGCAGCTGAATTGAGGTGCTACTCGTATGGGTTGATCAAATATTTGCCACATTTATAAACTGTGCTGACTGTACAACATTTTTCTAAGAGGGTGCCACTTACATTTAATGAGGGATAACAAATAAATCCATCGAAATATTAGAATTAAAAGTATGAATGAGATAAAATATTAATGAAAGATAAACTTAAAAATAAGCATCCTAAATGATTCACCGGGATGATATTATAAATAGCAAAATCCCAAGAACTTAAACTGAATCACCGAAAAAAACCAAAAGATGTAAATGAGAGTCTAATTAATCATTGATTATTGAAACGGAAATACATATACTTCCGCACTTTCATATTTATGAATATTTAGTCATGAAATCAACGTTTGTTTTTTTTAAGATGAAAGGTGAATAAGGTCTAATAACTAATGGATGGATGACAGGGCCGAATGAATCACAGAGCTGAAACACTTTAGTAGATGACCAAACCAAAACGAACCTGCCAGCTGAATGAAGCACCTGTTGACTCCTTTTTATATTATTTTTTAGTTAGCCACCACATTAAGCATGAGTTTGAGCAGAGATTTATATATTATTTTAGCGATATTGAATGGGAGGAGCCAAGGGGGAGCAGGGATTGGGAATTTATGGGACACACCCCCTGAGAGGTTCGCCAACATCCATTATCGAGTCTGCCGTCTGATGGGGCACGTGTCAATAACTTTTCATCCAAGGTGTTTGCCATTTTCTTCTCTTTTCTTTCTTTTTTTATTTTTTTTTATTTTGCAAAATCAAATTGCAAATTTATGGCAGAAAAAGCGAAGGCCCGCGAGTTAATGGGAAAAATATGCAAAAACTTTGGAGCCAGAAGAGGAAGTATACCGAGTAAGTTTATCATTTCCGTTTTATGCCCAGGATGTGTTTCTCTTCCCGGCGAATTGTCTAAAAATATATTATTGCACATTTTGTAGATTTTTTTTTATTTTGTTTCTTTCTGCTGCCACCGCACATTGCACATTCTTCGCATTTTGCATACTAAAAGGTTGCGCATGCGTGTAGGCCATAAATAAACTAATTGCGATTTGTGCTTCCCTGGCGCCAGTTTCTTGCGGGGATCGGCGCCAACTTCTCCTGTTCTAGAGAACTCTCATCTCCTCATGAGGAGCCCCAAACAGACACAGACTCGTAAAGGGTACCCCCGGATTTAAGTGTTTTTAAAGTCTTTTCGGAGTGTTTTCTTTTCCTCGATTAAATTACCTTTGGAGTCGAATGGCACCAATTTGCAGTCGTCATCGTTCAGGCTGCATTTGAAAACGCCGCCGGCCTCCGTCACGCCCTGCTGGTAACGGGATGTGTCGAATTTGGGAGCTCCAACGATCAAGCTGACACTGAAATGGTAAAAAATATAAGTTAATATTGAGTATATATTTGCTATGAAATGTATTCAGAAAGGCAAGGCCTAAGTTGTGATACAAAATGTTCATAGGGGAGGCACATAAAATATCTCTAATTAAAAACTGAACAATTTGCTTGATCATCAGCCCCCACTTCAGAGTTTATGCGATTCTTTTAACACTTTAAATTGGATTCTTGAAATTCCCTCAACTAAGCCGACTATAACCATCCCTATTTGGCATTTGCCATTTGGCAACCCGCACCCTCGATCTTTTCCTCCCCATTGGCATTGGCTTTGAAATTCTGAGAGTCAGTGGCTCTGGCTGATATTTCTGGTGGTTCTGCAAGTTATGGTAGTTCCAGTGGCTCTACAGATGTACACAAGTTCTCCTCCAGGGGCAGCAGTTCATCATGGCACGCACATTGACAGCTGTCATTAGCATTGAATGCGGAAGTGCGGCGAGCAGAAAAGAAAAGGGTGCCCACTCGATGGTCGGCGGCTTTAACCCTAGGGTGCACTAAATGGGACTTCATTGAAATTGAAAATAATAAAACGGAAAGTGAATGTGTGCACGGGCAGAAAATTTCCCTTAAATCTGACTTAAAAATGTTATTAAAATGAAGAAAGTATCTCAAACATTCACTGCTTTTTCAAATATCTTTACTTAATTTATGAAATATATACAAAATGTGTAAATAAAATAGTTAACTTTTACATTTTCTCCCTGTGTAGGCCAACTTTTACGGATGCTATAGAAGGCACGCCGCAAACGGTCCAAATCAAACACTTGAGAGTTGATTAAAATCCACCCAACCCCCTAAACCCCACCCCCTTGAGGATCCGCCCCCTTATTGGCCGACCTGCCCGGCCCACATGCAACAATTTGACGCTTCACTAAAGCAAAAATCGCACAGATGCGTGAAACTCGAGAGGGAGCGACCCAAAGAAGATCGCGGACGGAACTTCCTATGAATGGGCGAGTAAGTACACTGAGCGAAAGATTGACAGGCAATTTGGTAGGTAAATAAATAATAATGGAGAACTAAAATGTATCCTTGAAGAATTCAAACAACTTTTCTATTAATATTATCTTTACTTTTGATATCATAAATTATAAACTCTAAATTTCTCCAAGTGCAACTCCATAAACGAATGAATGAAATGGGTCTTTGGAAGTTGGCAATCTGTTCTTTCTAGCGGCATTTGCAATGTATTTAAAAATAATTTAAATTACACAAATAGCCAGCTGCATTTTATTACAGAGTAAGGCAAAAACATAACGTTTTTAAGTAGTATTAGTAGTAGAAGTAGTAGTAGTGGTAGTAGTCTTAGTAAGTAGTAGTCGTAGTAGTAGTAGTAGTTGAAATTTCCAACAAAAAGCTCTACTTAGTAAGTTGACTTTTCGCTCCTCTCAATTCCGAATTTGAGTATCTTTCTAAGTTCTGTATCTAGATTGAGTGCTGACATCATTGGCATTCATCGATCGGCGTCGATTCGATCATTCTCTCTCCCGTCGTTGATTATAATTAATATTAATTTATGGACAGAAAAAAACACTCAAATGACAGAAACTCAAAAAACAGGTTCTCCTCCCTTCTCCAGCCATTTTTTCGTTTCTTGTTTGGCTTTTGAGGGGGCGCCTTTGCATTTGCATTTGCATTTCATTTTATTTCATTTCAAATGATTCAATGAACAACGAAATTTCTGAAAAAAAGAGACCTTTCTTCAGTCAATGATTAATGCATATTTGTTTATTCGACTCATTTCAATTGATTTCCAGAAACTCACTCTACCCCCCATATATTTATTTTCATACATGAGGTCGATCGCACTTTGATAGACTCGAAACGTTAGAGGGAAAACTATATTGATATTTATTCTACTTCCAAGTTAAGTTGATGAAATATTTTTATCTTTTTTGTAACTGTTTTGATTTTATGACTATTCTCTATCTCTTGATATTGCATGATAATTTTTTCCCCATTGCCAAAGCAACTTACGAGGCAGTCAAGCGTTCGGGCTTACGTAATTTTTAATTTGTAAATTGTAGAGCACGCGTCAGCCCGGAATGCGATGATATTGTTCTGGTGTTCAGTGGACCCTATAGAGATCAAAAACCCCCGACCAGCCTCTAAAATAATCGGCAATCAATGCGAGTCAATTGAAAAGTGAAAAAATAAATAAAATAACATACGGCCAGGCGCCAAACCAACAAATGCGATTGTTCGATTTTTAATTACGATACACATTGAATGTCTCAATTGGAAGGGAAAGCCACACGAGAAACAGGATAGATCTAAAACCAATTTTCCACACACATGTCTTGAAAACCAAATTCAGGGAAAACAGAAGGAGAGGATACAATACAAAACACACAAATACCAATACAAATGAAAATGGAATGGAAAACCTTCTGTTGGATCGCGCCTTGAATGCTAAATTGAGGCCCGTCTTGAATTACCTTCGACATTGACTTCGACGTCGCGTGCAGCAGCAACGGCAACAGCAGCAGCAGCCGCAATAAAAATAATGTTTTAAAAATAACATTTTACGAAAATTACCGCCCCTCTCAAACCCCCGACTTCCGACTCATTCGCTGAACACATGCTCGCAGGATGTGACGGCCATACATATCCAGATATATATTTACAATATATATATATATATATAATTGAGTATGTGTTGCAGTGCAATTTCTAGACCTTCTCCATTTCAGTTTCCGAGTGAAGATGTGGGTGCCGGGCTCGTGTGAAGCTGCGCATGCTTCCTGCCACACATTTTCACTCCTGAATGAATTTCATTTACAGTGCCACAGGAAAGTGAGCGAACAGCAGACTCATGAGCTCAAAAGACAGCTGCAGGAGATTGTATATATAATATATTTGAACCCAATCGACTGGCATTGAAATCTAGAAATATTATTGTTGACCCTTTTCTGTCCTGATTTTATGCCCAAAAGTCAAGTATTTTGACCATTACGAAGCTATTAATTATCCAAATGTGAAATGTTGTACCTCATTAGATTCGTTATTAAATTTGCAACAAAACTGCATTCACACCTAAAATTCTTAAGTTTTTTGTATTTTTCGCAAAAAAAAAAGATGATGTTACGAAATTTTCGAGTATCAGACCAAAAGTTATAGGGGTGCTAGATGCGATCATTAGCTGCTCAAAACTGTATGATTTATAGCTGTGATTCTGGTTTTGGTAAAGTTAGAGCATAACATCTACAAAAAATATTGAAGTTTTTGTTTAAAATCCTTAAGATGCTTTTTTGCCCAAAAATCTCTATTCTAACTACATATAAGCTTAGAAATCTTTGATATTTGTTTACTTAAATGGTTTTCTTTTGTCAGCAGAAAATTTTTTGAGAGATCACTCCAATTTCCGCTGATCTAGTCAACTCAAAAGATTATACTAGTCGAGTTCTGAAAAGTTTTAGTTTAGAAATATTTGAATTTCAACCCGGCTACGGAAATGCTTTTGTTTTCCATACTTTGAACCCTACATCCGCAGATCAAAGTTGACTTTTTAGGGGCACTGTAACCTTTTCAAATACAACGCGAAGTAAATAAGGGGGGAAACCTTTCATATTAAAAGGAAAAAAAAAAACAGCCAACTCACTTGCGGAGTCAGGCCGCGTTAAAGGAACCGAAACGATCGGATCTGTAAACTGCGATATGAGGGTGAGGATCGAAACCGAAAAGCCGGGGGAAAATGTTTGGGAAAACAAAAGTGGGCAACGGTGAGGGCGTGTCGGCGCTAAACATGTGTGCGCCCCCCTGAAGATCTGGGAAAAAGTGGGAAAAAAAATAGGGAAAATTGAAACCCTTGCACACGTGACAGGCCCGGCGTTTGTTTTGTCCATTGAGCGATTTAGCATTTTCGATTTACCATTTTCCATTATCCATTTCCCCGTACCTAAGGGCGTGCGTGTGTATGTGTGTGCGGTTTCCCATCACCTTTTTTTTTAACACATTGACACTTCCGTTTTTCCCTGGGCCCCGTGTATAGCCAGCTGATCTGCGATAGGTGATAGACGAATGGAGTATCTGCGATCTACGATAGATAGATATCTACTCCACCACTCGAGACTCCGCAATCAAGCGGCAATTAAGGCGGTTTGGCCAAACAAATGAAAATGCCAAAGTATCAGCGTACAGAGAAAAGAATAAAGGTAATACAAAATTGTATAATATAATATTAACATTTCGAATATTAAAGGAACTTATAAAAAGATAGATAATTCTACAACATGCCCGTATAAAATCTGTAATATTTTTCTCAGTGCACTTACGGCATAAATGTCTGAAATCAATTACAGTTCTCATTGCCTGCCGACGTTTTTGCCATTTCATAACCACAACAAAAAGGCCGAGAGACAAAAACGATCCATTCGATCGCCGAGCTGCAGCTGACAGTAGTTTATTTGAGTTTATGCAATAGATCGATTGCCCAGAGACCCGGGCTGCAGCCCACTTACTGGAGAACAGATAGAGATGGAGACCCTAAATGAACTCCTCAAGTGATCTTCGGCTGCGATCGATGTTGGTGGGCTACTGGAGAAGTAGCTAAAAATAATACCAAGGGGTGACTCTAGAGAGATGCTATCTACAAGATTCGGTTACTAAACAACTCAGAGATATTGTATTTAACTTGCCTAAAAGGTTTTCAATTCCATATTTGATCTTTAAAGCAAATAAAACTCATTAAATTTAAGTAAAAACTATACTTGACTTTGCCAACGATTTCACTTTGTTAGCAATATAGCAATTTGACCAAGAAGCTGAACTACATATAACGTTCTGATGAAAGGATCCCAAAAGCAGTCAAGGCATGGGGAACGGGGTCAGGCTAATGAGTTGGCCTGGCCATTATACATCTATAAGGAAACTTGTGGTCAAGCCAAGCTACCCACCAACCGATCGACTCTCGTTCTGGATAACGGACAAACGACTTTATTTGGCCAATTGGGTGAAGCGGCGGCGACAACCTTGCCGTTTGTATCTAAACACTTGACCGTAAATAGAACAGATACACTCGGAAAACTATGTCGCACCAAGAGATACAGGTACAGGTACAGGTACCAAGATACAGATACAAAGATACACATACGTTATCCGCAAGGTGGCAATGAAGATATAAAGTCGCGTATAGAATGCCTCCGCAGATACGGATATACACTGTATTAATTGCCAACGATTCATTCTGCGCTCTCAGGGCAAACCACATACTCGCTACAATACATATTGGCCAACAGCTTTTAGGCCGTTGTTGCCTTATAAACAATAACCACAACAAGTTACTTAGCCACCTTTTGTGTTTACCACTTTCCTCACTTCGTTGTCTTTGGTCTTACTGAAGTTTAGCACACAATTATCTCACGAGAAGAGCAGAATGGAACCAGGTAATTTTAAGCTTTTAGGCCTTAAAATAATAATGCCCTTCGTCAGCTGGGTAGTTCCCTATTTTCAGCGACCCAAGATTATATTATTCTCAAGAACCGAATCAAATTCCCCCTGCTCTGCTAGACTAGGCTATACTGTATAAGGTTCGGTGGAACAGATAGTGCTATCAATATTGTCGGAGGAATGTTTAGTATTTGAGCTCACATTATGTCATTTTAATTTAATTGCTTTTTATACCTTTTCAGGTTTGTTTTCAGCAAACAAATAAGTAACTCAATGCCATGCTAAACATTTTGAGATCATTCCCAAAGAGCATTCATAGTTCAGCGATGTTGAGGCTAAAAGCCGGTTGGTGCTAACTTTTTGTTCTGTATTTGGTATCTATGTATCTGTATCTTCAGGTGTCGCCTCTTCTGGGGCAGGGTCTAACCAAAATCGGTGTGTGTTTGCGTCTGTTTATTGAATTGTAAACATTTTTAACGCTGCATTTAAATAATTTTCGTTGCTTTTAAGTGCACTTAGCGCGGCAGCTCATTCTTTTTCCTTCTTTTTTTTTTTTTGGAACTTAAGACTGGCGTATATGTGTATATATATGGATTATAGAGACTTATGGCGAAGAAAGAAGTGCAAACGGCCAAAAGGCCATTCACACACGTAGCCAGATGCTGTTGCCCTGATAGCCCGGTCGCCACTCCATCCGCTCTTTCACCCAGCCACTCTCTCTATCGATGGTACGTATCTTCAATTCTTCAGTAGACTTCGTCTCGGTTCTTCTGTCCTCGAACTCTCTCTATAGTAGACCCCAAATAGCACTCCTCTTCTTAACCATCCAACTAACGTGCGAAAAGTTCAAGGAGACCAGCGTTGAATCCCACCATACACAGGGATTATAATTTATCTTAAAATATCTATCGAAATATATCATTTTGTTCTCTTAAAAGAATTTCATTTTAAAAATTAGCAACTAATCTCATAGCTTCCAAAGTATCTTTGAATGAATATAATAGTAAATTAAATCGCCAATTACAAACCACTACCTACGATTTTCTCTGAGTGTCAGACTGAGACTATGCGATTAACACGGTCCATCAAGCTGAACTTAGTGGGTTCAGAAAGGCTATCGCCCCAATCGAACGGCTCACATGAATAGCGTGAAAGTATTGGCTGGGCTGTGCATGGGCGGGCAATATGGTATGCCTTTTTTCGCCATTTGTCAGGGGGTCAAAGGCACATCTAAGAAGACCCAAATAAACTTTCCGCTTGAAGTTTAATAAAAGTCAAAAGTGTCCCAGATAGATTTAAATGGACAGACAGACAGGGCAGTGCAATGGGCCCGGCACTGCGCCACAATCTCATCTTATTATTTATCAATGAATCTTTATTCCATCTTCTTTGAAATGGGAAAAACGCTATCTTGTGGCGATTGAAATTAATGGGCGTTTAGCATTCTGGATGGATATTTACACGCTCCTCGAGATAGGAGAAGCGGCGGTTGCGTGCTGAGAGCGTTCTGAAGATAGCTGGAATCTCTACTCCCAGATTAACATGTCACTGGATTATCTCTACAAGTAGACGGGCTGCGAAAAAAATAATATACAAACTAAGAAAATGGTCTCTCGAGACCAAAGTCTTGCCAAATGGTATCTCTCGAGTTACTGAGTGAAATTGATAGCATTCATATAGTTACTCAAATCTAAATCTGTATAGAATAAAGGATAGTATTTATTAAAAATAAAGAGCCTCGAAATGATTTCACTGAAATATTTTACATTCTTACTCATTTTTCACAGATTAGGACCTTGAATAATGGCTCTTAAAATAAGTGTAAACCCGGAAACATTATTACTTTCGTTGATTTCACTTATCACATTTAAGAAAATGACGAACTTCTGATTACAACATTTTCAATGCAGTGAATGTTCTTCCCTTTTCATATCGGCATTTGTATGACTTACAACACAATCTTGAAACATTCTTTTACAAGAACCCAAAATGTGGTTGACTTAACAAGAACTGACACTTTTTTAAAAATTATTACAATTCCTCTAAGAAGCATGAATGAAAATAAAAATGGGAAACTTTCTTCCGATATTTTTTAAGTAATTTTAAGAACACAATACCATAAGTAAGAGTAGCAGCAGTGCAGTGAAAGTGATTAGAAGATAGTAACCGGAAACTAAAGACTGAAAAAATATGTTAAGCCTGCTCAAATCTCATACGATTTACTTATCAGAAACGAGAATGTGTTTAAAGCACATTTCTCCCAATGAAGATAATTTATTGAAGAGAAATGTCAAGAGGGTCGTTTCAAGATAAAGTCGAATAAATGACCCTATTTGGGAGCTGTAATGCAGAACAAAGGGGAACTTCGGCGTAAAAGATAAATCCCATAAGATGTAGAACTTATTTTAATTAAGATTTAGATAGCATTTTCATAACTTACTTGTTTTGATTGCCGTAGTATCCACCTCGACTTTTGTGCATCGCAATGCTAAAGCCGAACATTGTATTGGAGGATTGCCGGAAGCGGACGTAACTGGGCAGATCGAGGTTATAGCCATGGGCGGTTATCGCGATCAGTAACAGGATCGGGATCATCATCATCATCCCGCTCCGGTGGAACAAAACTCCACTCATTTTGCACTTCGTTTTGTATATCTTTATTTTTCTATTTAAACTTTCTTTTTTTCGGTGAGTTGTGTTTTCAGAATTTGTACTTTCTTTCGAATCGATTTCGTTGGTTTCGCATCCAAGAACTTTGCACTTTTACGCCTGCATCTTCACAGCTGTCGATCAAGATCGAGAATCATTATTATAACAAAACATATGGTCAAAAGAGACACACACACACGCGGCTTTATTTATTATATAAACTCAACCTTGGCCGAAATGAATTGAGATTCCAAAACCAAAGCTAAAACCAAAAAAAAAACGAGCATAAAACACAAAAGCCAAAAACAAAAAAAGACTATTCTTCAACTCAGCAAATGCTGAGTATCTCGGTGTCTCCATATCTCTATCTCTATGGTTTCTCTCTCTCTCTCTCTCTCTCTCTGTCTCAACATTAACATCAAGATCTCTTGGCCTTGGGAAATTGCGAGGTGGGCGGAGTGGTTAGGGCTAAATGTCGGCTAGAAATCGGATGTCGAGGCAATTACGGGTATTCCAAATCGGTCTTTATTACACGGTTGAGTTCCATTTCATATTATTTCTTGAGTTTCAATGACAAAAATGCAATAAAATGAATTTATCGATTTTCTTACATTGTCATTCTTTCATTTTCATTGATTTCCATTAATAATTAGTTTTTAGTATTAAAAATCCACTTTATCTTTGCAAAGTTTGCACTTCTTTCACAAATAATATTTTTTTAAAAAGCACAAAAGGTTTTGCCATTTAAGCTTTATTTTAGGGTATCGCTCAGGTCGATTATTTATCTTTTGGCTAATTTTTAAAATCTGATTTGTTGTTTTTAGACATTTTTGACGGTTGTTTGCCTTTTAGCTGTATGCTTAGATTTTGGCGCGTTCTACAGCATCTCAATGGTGACGTAATGGGCCGTCAAACAGGTTGCCCAAAATAACAAAATAACGGCCAAAAGGCATTAGACTTTTAGCCAGGCCAAAACCAGCTAGCTCTTCCTACACAAATTAAGTTTCTAGATCATTTTCAAAGGCAATTTGAAGATAAATAAATAAATTAAACAGACAGATGTGTTTTTTTCCGTGTAACTAAGTTGCAACAAAAACAAGTTGTAGGCGGTGTAGGCAGGTGACATTTGACACATTTTCCACCATACATAATGCCCAGTTTTTCCGTCGGGTGTGGGCGACTCGAGTTCATTGATGGGCGGCTGCCATTCATAGACAAGAAAATGAATTATAATTTAAAAAAAAAAAAAAGCACAAAAAATTAGCTGTAGAACACCATATGGTGTAGGCAATTTAACATTCAACAAATTGATCATGCGGCTGGCATTCACAATGACTAGCGAATGTGCCAATATAAATAAGACAGTTAATTTTCTGGCCCACAAATTGCAGGCTAAAAACAAATTGATATTCGTTGCCAGGCGAACTCAATTGTAAACTGAAAGTCGCAAAAATTTGCATAAAAAAGTTCCGAGCAATTTGCATTTAAATGGAAAAGACAAACACAAATCTGGCATTAAAGCTTAGAAAGTTTCTAAAAATATACCCATTGGCTCTGCTAGGTTCTTGATGTTTATTTATTTACTATTTTCATTTAAGTATTTAGTTTAGTTTTAGTTTGAGTTTGAAATAGATTTATAAGCAAAGTTTTCAGCAATTTAACGTAATTAGTTGCAGTCTTTGCTGGAAAGGCCTTACAATCTTGCCCAGATGGTTAAGATATGAATACGAAAAAAACACATCAAATTAGTGGAAAAAACACACACCCGATCATTTATCTAAAAATAAATCTAAAAAGTTGGATGCTGTGTGCTACGCCCAGCAGAGACCGCCTATATCTAGGTATATATGCACATGTATATATATAGACGTGCATATACAGATCGTTTTCTACACTGCACAAAAAAGAAGAAGGTGCAAATACAGCTGAGACATCAGTGGACTTGCTTCACTTTATTGATTTTGGCTATTTGCGTTTTTTTTTTGTTTATATACATATATATTTATATATATATTATATAGTACATCATTATTTTGTGAGTGCACTTTTCTTCACTGGTGCTTCATCACTTGAAAAAAATGTTTAAAGCAAATTTTAGCGCGTCGCGTGTTACGTTTTTATTATCTCTCTCTTTTCTTTTCTTTTTTTTTTTTTGTTGGTAATTAGTGTAGTTCACTTTTATTTTTATATATATTATTTTTTTGCTCTACCTCGACAGCGAACGCAGCAAGATTTAAACCACGACTAATGGCGCAAAATATCTGTAAGATACATCTTAGCGCAGCCATAGATACATAGGTGAATAGCTCGTACGAGATCGCCTACTCATTGGAGACTATAGTATGTAGTCTCTAGACTCGGGAGAGCAACATACAAAAAACAACCTCAAAGCTCTCTAACAACCAAAATGATAGCAAAAGTTTATTTTTTCATTATCTATGTGCGAGCATCCCACTCGAAAAAATAATGTTCAAAGGTGAATTTCGTGTGGGAAGACTGTAATTTCCGTTAGCAAAAGTTTCGACCATTTGATGTGTCATTTTTGTTGGTCTATATGCAATGGATGTTCAGGGATAGATCTGTTTATCAGGTCAATATATTAAATATATTTAGTTATTAAGTTCTAAAACAGCAAAATCAATATTTTAAATGTTTTTGATTATGATGTTAAAATCAATTTTCAGGTAAAATCCACTTTTAAATTAGTTTTCAGAGCTAAACAACATTTTCTTGGGTGCCTTTTATGCGTACATTAATTCTCCCTCGAAATTAGAACGCTGCAGTGAAAATAAGTTCCCTCATTTATCCAGATGGCTTAGATTCGCAATCACGAGATCTCGGAATGTATTGCAATCCGACTATTCAGACTTTTTGCCGGCAATCCGAGGCAGAGCAAAATATGCCCATGCAAATTAATTAAATGAAAAACAAACAAACAATTAAACCTCCGAATGTCACTAAACAGTTTTAGATATACAAATATATATATCAAATGTCACAGTTTCGCCTTTCAATTACCATCGATTTGGGATTTGCGTACGCGAATTTGAATTTTTAAACTAAATCGAATCTGGCGCCCGTTAAATATCCGTTCCGATCGCGAGCGCTCTGCAGTTCACATCAGCCAAGTTTCGCTTCACGCGACCGAATGCAGCGAGTAGATAGACAACAATCCCTCAGATACTATTTCAAATTCAGAGGCAGCGATGCCGGACCGTTGGCGTTTTTGAATGGAAGTGCGGGAAATGAGATTTGATATTGCTCAGAACACACACATTTATAAACATAAATTTTTTAAACTAATATCCTTTTTTTAAATTTGATTTTCATAATAACTAAAGTAATATTATAGAACAGTTAGAATGCTTTGTTTGAAATTCCTTCACCTTTTTTATACTTATATTAAATGACTTCATTTTATATATTTATGTAATGGCAAACGAAAACGAATCATTTACAGTTATTTAAACGAGGGGATAAGGACATAAATTGCTAATTCCAAATTAATTTACTAAGAGTATAAAGTGCTGCCAGATGGATTTACAAGCGGTGCCACATGTTTTTAAAAGCCCTGCCACAGCGCCAGCAGATCAGCCGTTTGGTCGTATATTTTAAGTGTATGACTGAGAGACTGCCGTCGGTCACACTGGCAGATTACGCGACCGAAAGGCTGCGTTTTACTTTCCCGATTGAATTGCCTGAATTTTTTGTGATAAAATAACAGACTTAAGATGCACAAGGTGATTCGACAGATGGCCCAACTGCGCTTGCAGGCGCCACAGGGAGCAGTGCTCCTTAGATCGGGGGAAATTCTAAACACAATATCGCCACCACCTGCCCAACAAGTGAAATCCCTACACACGGGAGCTTCCGCCGGATTTCTATGTGCCAAGTGGAATAAGCACAACTACGGACCACGAAAATGGCTGGAATACAATAAGACAGTGCATCCACCTCAGGAGACTGACGAGGAGCCAAGGAAAGCGGTAAATAGCGATCGGATTACCCGTCTGATAGATAAGCAATCTATAATCCTTTGGTATCCACTTTTTCAGTACATCTGCCATATGCGCAACAATATCAAATACAGTCCGGACAAGATGTGGTACATTGCCGCCTTTGTCCGCGGAATGTCCGTGGATGAGGCCCTCAAACAGCTGAACTTTGTGCTCAAAAAGGGTGCCACTGATGTGAAGGAGACCATTTTGGAGGCCCAGCAAATGGCTGTGGAACGACACAATGTCGAGTACAAGAGCAATTTATGGATAGGTAAGCAGTGGAAGATAAATATTGGTCTGAACTTCCACCACCTTGCAATAATTACTTGAAGTAATGGATTAAAATAGAATTTTATCCCAAAAAATTACCCAGTTCCGCATAGTTTGTCCGATTATTAGACCTGTTTTCAGTTTTGTTTTCTCTATCTTTTGTTTACAGCTGATAAACAGGTTAACAAGTGTTAGAGAACCAAGTATTAACTAAGATATTTCTTGATATGAGACTTATTTTTTTTATTATTCTTACCTTCCAGCCGAATCCTTTGTGGGCAAGGGACGTGTGTTTAAGGGCGTGAGGCGCCACGGCCGCGGTCGCTACGGCAAGGTGGAGTACAAGCACTGCCATTACTTCCTCAGATTAGAGGAGGGTGAGCCGCCGCAGCACTACTACCAGGAGCCGCAGACGCCGGAGCAGCAGTACGAGCAATGGATGGTGCAGATGCGCAGCCGGAAGATTATCAACTCATTGTAGCCTCCTAAAAACACCCACTTCCACTGTATCAATCCTTACTTTTCCAGTTCTCCTCTGCCATCGCGTCCACACATTAAGCATTTTTGTTTTGTTTTTAGAAGATTGTTTAATAAAAATAAAAACAAACGAAAAATGTGTAAGAAATGTGTATTCTAATTGGATTTTTTTTTGGATAGAAAGGGTGTTAATCTTTTCTCAGAAAACTTAAAGTTTTTATTATTTAAAATAAATAATTTCACGTTAGTTAATAGCTTCAATACAGGAATGTGCTTCTTATGCTTAGAATAAATTAAAGAAAATGTCTGCTCTAGGCGACGACTAGAGATAATTTATTCTAAGTAAGCTTATACTTAATGGTTAATCACTAACCAATAGGGGGGAGGTGATAATTTATTGTTATATTCAAAAATATATAAAAGGTGATAAAGGTTATCCTTGTCCAGATAATTCTGGCAGTAAATATTCATTTTATTTTATTATTTAGTTTTTGATTTTTTTTTTTGTCATTTCTGTTTAATGTATTGTGTCTTTAAGTTATTTATGTAGTAACTTCTTCAGATTTTCTTATTATTTTATGGCCTTTTCGGAACTTATTACATTATTTAGCCTCTTCTAGCCAAATACTATTACTACTATACTTATTTTTTTTAAATTTTGAACAGACTGACCTTCATTCCCCATTTTGAAATGTATATGCCTTACTCCTGCTCGACTTCCTCTTCGTCTTGCAGGGTCTGTGCCAGCAATTCCTCGATGGGGTTCTCGATCAGTGATTTGGTAACCTTTTCAAGGGCCACCGGTTGCCGTTCCCGAACCGCCTCCTCGTCATCCTTGTCTAACTGCAGGCAAGCCAGCTTTGACAGTCGCGAATGCTTGCTGCGTCCAGCATCGCGTCGTCGCTTGCGAGGATTAGACTTTAGTTTCTCTGCGGTCCCCTTTTTCGTATCCTTTTTCTTTTTACCATCTTTGTGATCCCTGAGCAAATGTTTGGCCAGATTCTGGGCACTGCTAAAGCAGCGTCCGCATTCCACGGTCTGACACTCGAAACGTCTGCCCGAATGTGCGGACAGCATGTGCTGGCGAAGATTCCTTAAGTACGAGTAGCTCTTACCGCAGCCTTCCTCTGTGCAGGTGAATGAAGCAGCGGAGGCCTCCTTTTCCTCCACCTCCTGATGTTTCGTCTCGATGTGACGTTTGAGATCGCTGGGCTTGTCAAAGATGCTATCGCAACGCTCGCATTTATGCCGATTCCTGCCGTGCAACGTATCGCGGCAATGTTTCGTGTACAGCGTCCACTTGTTGAACTTCTGTGGACAACCGGGACACTCGTACTGCTTGCAGGTGGGCTCATGACTCTGGCACTGCCACTCCTGATAGAATCCCCGCAAGCATTTCGAGCAACTAAAGGGATACGCCAGCGTGTGCTCCCTGATCTCATGACGCTTAAGTTTTAGTTTTTGGGAAAACTTGGCGCTGCAATAGCTGCACGGATAGACCCGTGGACACTCGTGGGTTTCGCGCATGTGACGGGTCATATTGCTGACTGAGATGAACATCTTACCGCAATCTTCAAGGGCGCACTTAACGGTCTTCTGGGCTGCCGCCTCAGGACGCTCGTGGGTACTTCTTAGATGCCTTTTCAAGTGCGTCACTATGGAGTAGGTTTTGTCGCAGCCCTCGTACGAACAGGCGTGCTTCTTCTGCAATGGTCGAGGGTTACTATCTACTATTTAAAACGAATGAAAGGTCTATACTGACAATTCCCGTGTGGTGATATTCATGGCGGTCCAATTGGTCTAGCCGCTTGAATGTGGCCTCACATTTTGGCACGCTGCACGTGTATTTCGCCAATCCCACGCTGTTCCGGCGCACCTGGCGCTGCTTGAACTCCTCCAGGACCGTTTCCATATCACTATCGCTGGCAATTTGTTTTCCAGGCGACATTTTTTAATTAATGTATCACAATATCTTATTTCTAGTTAGTTTTCCGGCGTTACTATCGTATGTATCGTACCTATCGCAAATATAGTCAGTGCTGTGAAAAGTGTTAAAGGTAAGGTACAAGTGTTGTTTTGCGAAAATAAATATGTTAGTATTTTAGTATTTTTTTTTCGATAAAATTTCTGTGTAATATTAATTAATTTTAACGGGAATGATATTTTATTAAATGTTTCTTAGCCCAGAAAAATGTAGCTAACCAATTTGATCAAATTTCTAAAAATAAGAGCCTGAAAAATAAGCTGTATTAAAAGTTTTGTGTTTACCAACACGCACTACCTATCGATAGGTGCAGACATAAAACGCTTTCCGATATCGATAACCATCTTGTTTAGTCAAAGGGAAAACAGAGGGAAACAAAGCAAAGCAGTGGGAAAGAAAAACTTGTGAGAAGAGAAACGTAGAAGGCCAGAGCATCAAAAAGCAGGAACGGTTTGAATTTGATTGCAAATCACGAGAGATAGAGCAAGATCAGGATGAACAACGGATTCAGCACCGGTGAGGAGGACAGCCGTGGTCATACGGACCAAACCTGCTGCCTGATCGACGACATGGAGCGATGTCGCAACCAAGCCGGCTATGCCAGCTACTCCAAGCGGATCCAGAAGACGGTGGCCCAGAAGCGGCTCAAGCTCAGCAGTGATCCGGCCGCACAGCACATCTACATCTGCGACCACCACAAGGAGCGCATACAGTCGGTGCGCACGAAAAGACGCCGCAAGGACAGCGAGGACGACAGCAATGAGACGGACACGGATCTGCACGAATTTCCAGATCTCTATCAGCTGGGCGTGAGCACGCTGCGTCGCTACAAGCGCCACTTCAAGGTCCAAACGCGGCAGGGAATGAAGCGGGCACAGCTGGCAGATGTAAGTTTAGCCTTTATTATGGTTATCATGAGTGGAGTATCCAAGAGATTCCTTTGATATTCCTCACTTCTTGTGCTTTTGCGAACCTAATATAATTAGTAAATTAAATAGGGATAATTGTGGGCTCGCTTCCACAATTTTTTCTGTACTATTTCCTTGCATTTTATTTAGTTATTAAGGACTTATAATTAATCAAGATACTTTTCACCTTTTTTTGTTTAGACCATTATGAAGCACTTCAAGACAATACCCATCAAAGAGAAGGAAATCATCACGTTCTTTGTTTACATGGTGAAAATGGGCTCGAATAAGCTGGACCAGAAAAACGGCCTTGGCAACGACACCACCTGAAGGCGCGTCGGCGGGCGTAGGGAGGAAGACGACGCCGACGACGTCTACTCCTTCTAACGCTGGCCAACCGCCAATTAACACATCTCACATTGTTGCTGCATTTGCTGGACGTCAGCATTGTTCACCCGAATAAGGAAAAAAACGAAAATACTGATAGCGAAATGTCCTTCTCATCTTTAAATCCAAAACTTACACTTAAACCTACACCACTGCCCAAAATCCTTTCCTCAACTTCTTCCCGGAATACGAATAATATTCAACATATAACATATAATTGCAATGAAAGAATGTAAGGAAAAAGGCAACTGGTGCTCCCAAAAAATATTATAGCGCGATAAAAACTAATCATAAACTAAACAAACAAAATTTACAAAACTAATTGTAGCCTTGGTCCGTTGTTAATAGCTCTATATACACGCATTACATTAAATAAACTATGTAAATTTACAAGAAAATTAACAGAAAACACACAACACTGAATCAGATAGCAATTCGTATTATAAGGCTTGAAGACATGGCGACGCGAATGTTGTTCATTTAATCGTTTGTATTATAAATCATTTTAAGTGGGGATGGCTAGTAAACAACAGTAAACCAAACAAAAAAAAAAAATAAACCTTAAATGAATCGAAGCACAATTAGACTACAATTAAAGTAAATAGAAACGGAAGTCAACAAAATATTGATATAAGAGAGTAAATGAAATAATTTGCAATATTTAACTATAAACATCATCTCGTTTGCCCCAGCGGATTGGAAATATATTTAGAGCTCTAGTCTAAGTCTAAAACGAACATCGGTTCCATAAATCAATTGGAATTCCGCATTAAACGATTTCTGTTAAAGCCTAGACTGATTTTAGCCATACATTTAAGCCTAAATAAACTTAATAGAAAGCATTTTCACTTAACTCCATGACTATCATATCGGCTAGATAACTTGCTTGGCTTCCTCCTCGGAGTCACTGTGATCTGGAAGAGATTTAGGAAGTTATCAAATTGATTCTGGCTTATATTACTTTTGTTGCAAGCATACTTTGTTTCTTTGCGAGTTGCTTTTTATTGGCCTTGTTTTTGCTGCGATTTTGTTTGGCTTTGCCTGCCTTCGATATGGATGCCTCTGATGGTGTGGGCAGTTCCTGCAAGTCTTCATCCTGGGGCAGCCAACTGCTGGAGTCCACGGGGGCGTCTATGAATATTTATATTGAATGAATTTGGGAAACTTTTCTCATACACAGAAAGACTCACCTATTTCCTTTTTGGGCGGGTCTTCCTCCTCGATCTCAGGCTTGTCAATACATTTGGTATCCACGTCCATTTTCTCACTGGTACGAACCTGTTGATCCTGCTTTTGATGACCCATCAGTTTTCTAAAACTCAGCTTTGGCTGCGTATCACCAATCAGTGCTGCCAGTCCCTGGATAAATCGACCTCCTTGCAATCGGCGCTCCTCGTCCAGCGACAAAGCTTTGCGTATGAAGTCGACCAGGGACTTAGCGCGGGTTGCTGCATTTCGGGCACATTGCATGATTGTTCGAACATTTGTGGGTGCAGTGCCTCCAGCATTCAGAGTACAAAGCTCCTGGTACGAATTGAAGCTCAAAACAATCACCGAATCTGCTCCGTTTTCCTCCAGCAACGTTGGATCCACTATTGGCTGGTTACTGCTCTTGTAAATGCAATATGTGACACTCACAGGATAGTGAAGAAACAGCAATGGAATGAATTCTCGCTCCTTTTCTGTATAAATATGCAGCTCGTCGTCTGCAAAGGTAACGTCCGGTCGACGAAAATGCATTAAAGCAGCCAAGGTGGCTATGGTGCTGGCATCTATAAAAAAGAAAAGCGGATTTACGCTTTACTTATTAATCAATAAAGATCACTTTCTGAGTAACTAAGAAAGTCTCTTTTCGGATTAGGGCACTTACCATACAGATTACCGTCGTGATTAAGCACATTAATATCAACGCGGATGCACCACACATGCTGCTCGGCGGCCACACACAGTGACTCCAGGTCGACACACCTGGAACTGCGGAAGGTCCTTTCAAGCAGGGAGTTTAGGGTGAGCGAACGCGGCTCATGTGTGCTCTGCACTTCGTCTAGAAAAGCCACACCGCCGAGGTTCACGTTTAATAGGAGCTTGCCCTCGTTAGGCCGGGAGGTGGTCGGAGCGCCTAGGTCGCAAGTCACGTTGGTCAGCACCTTCGTCTCGCCCAGGGACACCGCAACAGTTCCCCAATCCGCACCGAAGGTCAGTTCCACATCGCGGCATTCGTTGGAGCGCCGGCCGTCAAAGCGCTGGTTCTGCTTCACCGCCAATTGAATGAAGTTCCGCTCCGGCTTTGTTTTGCCCGGCTCAAAGAGATTGGCGTTCATAAACATCCTGATTTTTCGTGGTAGAGGATCAAATTCTTTAGTTTCACTTTGTTTTGGATGTTTACGATTTGGCCGGCTTTTAAAAACGTGCAGACAACTTGGACGGCGTTGCCACTCTCTTGAAAAGTTAACGGATCCGGAACCACTTGCAACGGAACTAAAACCTCGCAACTTTTAGCTTTAAAGTCATCAAAATAAAAAATACAACAATTTCACATAACTTGTAATAATGAATCTTAATTTGTATATACAGCATTAGGTCACCATATTTATTTTAAAGAACGTGACTAGTTCACCTGCTCAGAACTCACTCGCGAATCGAAAATCGAACTAGAATGTAAGCAGCGTTCGTTTTGACAGTTCTAGTATGTCTGGCAACGCTATCACTGAGTGTGAGTTCTTTTTTGTGCTGGTTTACAACATAAAAGTGCTGCTCGCTTGAAGTTCATAGAATAAAAAAATATAAATCATTTACAAGAGGGCGCCCAGAAGAGGCATCGCCTTTCCTAAACGGTTAAGACGGTGGATAACCATCCGATTTCCTGATTAATTCCAATATCAAAACCAAGAGTTTGGTCCAAAGTGCGTGCGATTGTGTTGGTGCGTTTAGTTTCGTGTGTGTGTGTGCGTGTGTCGTCGTAGCAGCAGCACCAAAAGTAGAAGAAGCAGAATAAGCAGCAGCAGAAAAGGAGCAGCGGAAGAGGAAGAGAAGGTAGTCCAGGCATTTGCCGGAACGGGAAAGGAACCGTAGCTTGGTACACTCGCCCCAAAGGAGAACGACAGAGAGAGAGTACGACAGTGAGAAATGCAACAACAACCGGAGTCGGGCGGCGAGGAGAGCTGGTTGGAGGAGCAGTGTCACCGCGAAATCCACGGTCAGCACGACGAATTCGAACGGGAATATGTGCGTCAGCGGGACAACAATCTGAGCACCGTTTGGGGAGCATTCCAAGACTCGGCCACAGCCGTTGCCCAGCTCTACAGAGGTGAGGAGCCTGTTATCCCTTCCAAGGGCGTAGGCTTCGGCTTATATGCTCCAACATTTTGCCTTTTTTATTTCAGTTTTTGTTGCTGTTCTTTGTGTTTCCATTCTGTCTGTCCATCTGTGTGCTGTGTTTGTGTGTGTGTGCAGTCTCTCTTCAAAAATAGTTTTGGGCGAGGTATTAATAGAACAGCAAGAAGAAGATGAGGCAAGCAGCCCGGCTTTCATGAAAATGCAACTCCCCATCTCGCTCACACCTCAATACTACGCATTATCAAAATGCAGAAAGGGCTCTAGTGTTGTTGTTGATATGGCTTGTTGTAAAGGGGGGAGATGCAATAGAACAGGGAGTAAAAGAAAGAAAGAGAGACAGGGAGAGATGGAGGGCTAGAAAAGAGAGATAGCGATAGGCAAGTGCAATGGCAATGGAATAGGGAGAGGATGAAAAGGGCAGAGGCGTCGCCTTAAAAAATTTTCATTCCCCAATTGCTGATGCCCCTTTTGTTGTTGTTGATATCATTAATCAACATGTGCGTGAAGGCTCATCTGTTTGTCTGCTAGTGTGTGCGTGAGGGTCGAACAGCTGTTTTGCTGTCGTCATTGTTTTAGGTTGGCGAAATGAAAACGAAAGAACGCAACAAAATGGAAGATTAATCTCTCTCGCTCTTTGCTTTCCAATTGTATATATATTTTTTATTTTGTTGCAAATTATATTTGAGAGCCTATTGCCATCCCTTTTGCACCGCTTTCTTTCTTTTCCTTCGGGTCGATAACGCCTGTTCTCGTTCGCTCTATTTCTCGTTCCTTTTCGTCCTTCCGTGCAGCAGGTGTGCAAGGAGCAGTGGACGAAAGAAAAAGAAAAAACGATCGAAAAGGCGGACCGGACATGTTTGTTTTCCTTTCTGCATTCTTTTTGCAAGGATCGTATTTAAGTCGTCCATTTTCCATTCCACTAGCTTCTTATTTGTATGTACATAGTATATACAAAATGATCACATCCTATATTATATATTATTATTCAGTCCCATATTAGACAAATTGTTTTTTTTTTAACCAAAATAGTTAATCGATCGAAATCTTTTTTCTTTGCGATGCCGAACATGCCAAGATGTAAAGTACCGTTTCATCATCTTATAAATTCTGTGTTGCCTTTTGGGTATACCAAATTTCATCACATATTTTAATAGCATCATGTATCAATTATAAAAAAAAAAACCATACTGTGAAGCGGGAGAAACATTAGGTCATGAAATATATTTATCTAGATATTCAAAGATTTTTAATAAGGAATGTATTACTTGTAGAGCGCTCATCGAACACATTTTCCTCAGACACAGGCGCCCTTTGGCTGCCATTCCAAACCGCAGCTGGCACTGTGACAACACTTTACAAAGGTTTGATTTGTCCAATTTAACGTATTCCAAATTATAACTAATTGTGATCTTACACAGAATCATGTGATGGTCTCAAACGCACCAGCGACGCTGCCATTCAGTGCGGCTACCAAAGACGCACTCGCGAATTGGCCGATTGGGCGCGCAGCAAAAAACGCCGGATGATAAGGCGCGAGGATCTTTTGGCCTATCTGGCCGGAAAACCCCTACCGCCATCTAATTCAAATCCACATGCCAATCGTCGGTGAGTCGCCGTTGAAATTATCCCAGAACTAGCCAAATTAAAGTTATGTTTTTCTCTCTGTTCTCTGAAGGTCGCCGAAACCGGAGCATCACCATCAGAGCGGCAGCGGTGGCTCTGGCCTTGGATTTCATAGCTCCGGACTGGGATTGACTAGCGGTCCGCCGACAGTCCCAGGTGGTGGACATCTACTGTCAGCCGGAGCAGTCGGTGGTCGTCAGGAGGGAACTGGCGGTGCCACCGGCGGCGGTATCGGCGATGACTTGCACACCTTTAAGGAGGCCTTGGTTTTGCGTCCACGGTTAGTTCAAAGAATTGCCTAGAATTTTCTAGTTATTGGTACAAATATTGCAAGATTATCACTGAGAGTGTGTTTTCGAGTCCAACTACTGCCAGTTTTTGAATGTAACATAGACGAAGGCAATAGGAAAGAAAAGCATACAATGTTTGGCAATAGCATTGAGGACCGGTTTTAGTTATCTTTCCAAAAATTGAAAACTTATATTGATAGAGCAAAGTAAAATAAAATACGAAAGGCGATTGTATTAGTTATTGAATGTAAAAAACAATGAATTAGAATAGAAAAGAAAATAAACCCAATAAATTCTGTTTAGGACTGACAATTGAACGGGTAAAGTAACTAATGAATTTTCTTTACATTTCAGTGGCCCGGAACTCTTTGCATTTGTTGCCAACGAAATAGCGCGCCATTGCAAAAGGCCCGGTAGCCCCATCGACGACAAAATGGACATTTGCCATTACAGCAGTAAACGCCAGCGCTTCATGTAATCCACTAGCAATCGCGATCCCAGCCCAAAGTAAAGCTACCGGTCATCAAAACACCAACCAAGCCTCTCCACCATTTGGAACTGAAAAAAGGAAACATTGCGCGGAAATTGCATGAACACGGCTTACGGGAAAATAAAATTGTAAATGTATGTTTCGTTTTTCCGTAAAGATAGTTGCCTGTCATTTTTTTTTTTTATAAAAGAACCCCTTTTCCCTCACTCCTTAGCACCTACATATAGCAATTGTACGTAAAACACACACAAAAATCACACATTAATAATATTAAGTTATAATTTAGTTAATAGCACTTAAGTAAAAAGTCATGCTGACAATGATGACAGCAGAAGATGTTTATGTTGGTGAAGATAATGTCGATATCGGACATTATTACACAAACTGTTGATCATTGTCATTATGCACTGCAACAAACGGAGTGAAGAGAAGTCTAGGAGTACGATATCTGTTATATGCCAGCTGTGCGTCTGATTTAAAATTAAGCAAAACAGTAATAGCGAATGGTATTGTAAAATTTATAACCCCTTTTTGCGTTATGCAAACCACAAATGAAGCTGTGTAAATAATATAACTGAGAGACACCACAAGAAAACCCGAAGAAGAAAAATAATGTTACATATATATATGTATATACATAAACATATATATATATACGCTATTTGTATATGATACTTAAAGCCGCCTACACCGCCTCATTTCATCCAACTCCCAATGCAGCTGAAGATGCTATTTGCATGTGGTGTCTTCCCCCCGAAACAGAAAACAAAATTCCACCTAAAACAATTTCTAATCTAAAACGAAACAATTATACCCTTAACTGAAGGATGGCGGAAAAAGCGAATAATCTGATCAAGCTATTGGTATTGTCCAGCTCGTTAATTTGTTGAAAATATGTAGTTCCCCCTGAAGCTGATATCAGGCTATCGAAATATGCCGGGAAAAGTCGAGCTAGCCGTGCCAATAGTTCGGTCAGATTGAAGAGGTTGTTAGAAACCCAAATGAAAACTATGATATACAATCTCTGTGGTGATTGTAACTTCAAGCTAGCCAGGTTATACCATATACACACAACATCTATTTATACATATAGCTATGTATATGAATAGCATACGATGACGTAACATTGATTTCTGTAGTTTGGCATATGGAATAATGAACAATCCGGAATCAGAAAATTACTAAAGAAAATTATACAAGAAGCTCGCTAAATTAATAGTGTATCGGCGCGAAGTCCAGCTGCAATCGAGAGTCGGAAATAGAAGTCCTATGAAAATAATGCGTTGTAATTATATGTACTAAAACATAAAGAATTATTTAAAAAAAAAAAAACAAAAAAAATTTAAAAGAAGATCATTAAAAGAAAAAAAACTACAAGAAACCCGAAAACAAAATTGTAAGTTAAATAAAAACGTATGAAAAAAACAAAAAATATGAAAGTATATTGTTTTTATTTTGAGAAGGGAATCGGCCAGTTCCTTACTATACTAGAAAAAATCCCTTGCCTTTTTCAACATAAAATCCTTTTATAAATGAGATAAATAGCATCTACTATTTCACATTGAAATTCATTGCTATTTTTATTTCGTATATCATTAATATTAATTACATTTTGTATATATCTTGTGTATATATATATATAATTTTATTTCCATGTAATTTATGTTTCGTTTGTTGATTTTGTTGACTGCTCAAAGCTGGCGAATATGTTCGATTCGAAGGTTATCTCGAGTGAGCTACGAAAATTAAGCGGGAGCCGCAACAAAAAGTCATTTCTGGGATTTTTCCACCATAAACGAAAATCTCAAGAAACAGTGAGTTATTTAATTTTGTTGTAACGCCATAATCTGATTTGAAAACACGAAGTTTTATTTTCGATCAATAATATAAAATGCGCTGTTTCCCATGAACAAGTGCTAAGGTTTTTAGTAGATCAAGCGATGAAAATGTGTGCCAGTTGCAGCTCTAATTATAAACATTTATGGAACAAATATAACTCGCTTTTTTTTTTTTTTGTAGATTTTTTGATTTTTGATAATCTTTCAACAGCAACAGAAAACAAAAGACCAGAACACAGGGTTTCGTCTAGCATAGTTGTATAGGATATTGATTTTGGGGTGGGGAATCGATTCGATTTCTCGGGATCAAACAACAATTCAGAGTTAGCAAGATTTCCTTCTCTATAATTATGTGGTTTATTAAATACATATGGATATTTCTTCATATTGTATATTATATATAATTCATTTGATTTACTTAATTGCTATGCATGTGTGTGCCATTTTAAAACAGAAAAAATATATATGTGTATTGCCTTGTTCCCAATTTCTTGATTCTTTCAAATTTCGTTGAATCGAAATTAAGAAAATAGGATTTTTAACCAAATTAAAAGTTAAAATTTATAAATTTAACTTTTAAACCATAGTTAATCGATCTATACCATAATAACTTTTTATTTTCAATTCAATTAATTTCGATTTCACTAAATTTGAGCAAAGTTAAAAAAAGGGAACAGGGTTGATATAGATCTGTATAATTTCTTGTATTCCATTAAAGGATAGGTCAGCGAAACAAGTTGATCAGAGGGAATTTCAGAGGAGAATTAACAATAAATTAGATTGGTATGTAATGCGTCCTATCTTTCATCTGCGGAATGTCCTTTACGTGCGTGTATGTTCGTGTGTAAGTACTCAAAATTTGAATATTTCACTTTAGTTTTTGCAGTGTTCGTGTTCGTGTTCATGTATAACTTGATTTAAACTTAGCTTTTTTTACTTGCATTATCTCGACGTTAACAAATTACATTTTAGAATAATTTTCATAAAAATTATCATTATGTTCATTTATACAATTAACAACCAGGCTAAATAGTTTGCTATAAATCCCCGCCCACTGAGAACTCTTCCCATTTCTCCATTATCATTGACCTCCAATTAGAGCGAGAGGCAATTGTAGAGATAGACAACGAGAGTGAGAAGGGGCGGGGAAACTAATACACAATTTCAATTTAATTAAAAATCTTTAACTTTAACGCGTGACGCCTTTGCTGAATGTTCTGTTCAATCTTTTGGTCGTATTAAAAACGAAAATAATTTGTTGTAAATGGAGAATAAAAAAAAACATCTGAAGTTCCTTAACAAATAAAGTTCTGGGGGGTAGAAGCGCAGCAGCAGCAGGAACAGGAGGATGTCTATCTAGAACTGCACCCAGTTGGCATTGGCCGAGTTCTGTTGTCCTTGGTTGCCGCTGAAAATTGGAATGAATTTCTCATTACAATTACGAATTTAATCATTTCAAAATTAGTCATCATAGATATATAAATATATGACAAAAACGAAAAGATATGAAATAAGTATGCTGCATAATTCAGTTAAGGCTCACCCGGCGGATGCGTAGTCGGTCCATTCAGATCCTCCAGCGGCAGGTCTGTGGGCGGGCGAGACGCCTGGACTTTGTCGTACCGTCGTGGCTGCAGCGGCGGCCGGTGGTGGAGCGATCTTTCCAAGGCCACCAGGAGGTGGTGGCAGGACACCCGACGAGCCCTTGTTTTTACCAGTGCGCGAGGAGCCCTCGGAGCCATCCTTTTTCTGAAATAAAAAAGGGAAAGCAATTAATATTTTAGTTCACAATTTTTAAAGCTCAAATCGTATTTATATTTCGATTATATAAACCATAAACATAATTATCAAATTTCAGCAGTTCAGATAAGCCGATTCAAAAAAAAGAGATGAATGCGCACATTTTCTGCCAGATGGCTTTGAATGTGAGACGTTGCTTTTCCGGTTATGAAACTGATAAACATTCTCTTAGCTATTGTACAGATGCCTTTGGCGCTTTTCTAAGATTATAAAAATGTAACTTAAAAGTTCTTACACTTTACAATTTCTATTAATGTTTATATATTTTAAAAATTTAAGCTGAACCTACCGTTATTCTCATATTTATCTTGATGGTTTCGCCCTCCTTGAATCCTAGATCCAGTTCTTGCTTCGGCTCTGTTTTCTCCTTTTCAATCTGCTCCTGATTCTTTACCCACTTGAAGTGATCCTGTAGCGCCACATTTAAATCAAATGAGTCCGATCGATCCCCAAAGCCGAGCCCTAGGAATGCCGATCGTCCATTATCGTCCTGCACCCGGATAACAAAGTACCGGGAGCTGTCGGAAACCGCCTCGATGGCCACGCCGGGATATGTGTCGATGGGGCAATTGGCGAACAGTGCGCCGCTGGTCTTGTCTTCCAGCTTCAGGATAACGGCGGTACCCTTGGCCACCAGTCGCATCCTGCCCGTCCAGGTTGGTTCCTTCAGGTTCCAGTCAGCCGCTCTGTGAAGTTTAAAGAATGACAAAATTTTAACTATATTATCAATAAAAAAATTTTAATTCTTCATTCGACATAACGCATTTTTATAAATTTTTAAAAAGCTGCTATGACGAGACTTATGGAGTTATCTGGTTAAAATTACTTGTGTGAAGAAATTAGAAGCACTTCATTATTTGAAAATGTGGATTATATACGTAATATTAATAAATAAAATTATAATTTTATAATACAAATAGTGCAATGCCAATAGATTTTTAAGGAAATAAGCAACCGTATAAAACTCAGATAATTGACGAATGGCAATTTATTACATGTTATTTATGCCATAAATTATAATAGGAAAAACCGGTAGAATGTGATTCTTTTCGACTATTTCACCAGAATTTCGATTCAAGTGGTTTTATAGGGATTTGTAACCCCAATATTCGAGGTATTCCGTAAATTTGTTATTTGCTCACCTGAGCGCAGTTAACTGTGAAATAAACAGCAACAAAAGGAAAACAAAGAGAGCAGCACCAATAGCAACAATTACACACACGCCAGTGAAGCTTTTTCATTCCCCCTCCCCGCTTTGTATATGTGTATTTTGACTTTTTTTGGGATACGTGTAAGTGAAAATGTTCAACAATAATTGCACAGGAAAAAAATCAATTGGAATTGAACTTCAGAGGCACAACAAAAACAACAAAAATTCGAGGCGCTTGTAACCTTGGCTAAAAACATAATTAATGCATTCACAAAGCACCAATATATATATATAAATAAATATATATATGCGTATGTGCAATGTGGGGACGTTGAAATGCACGAAAAACGTTCAATTTGTATTCTTGTAAAATCAAAAGAAAGGGGCGAAAAAAAGTAGTCACCTCTTTTCCATTCCTATTTGTCGACTTACCTATAGCCTCGATTGCTCGCACGGGGCGGTATTTTGTAGATAAACACCTCCGGCTTTACGATCAGCACACTTTCGTATTCCATCTTTTTCGAAATTCAACTATTTTTGATTTTGTTTATTATCTGAATTTTGCCAAGTGTTTTTTTAAGCTTTTTTTGGGTAATGTGACCGCCACACGATAACTTAAATATGTCCAATGACCTCAAAAATATACTAAAATACCTTACTTTTAACTACTAAATTTAAAAAATAGTGCATTTATGGTCACACTGCAAAATGGCGATGAACAATCGAGTGCGAATTGTTGTGGTTGGCGATTCGGGTAAATAATTTATATAAACGACTCTACTTACCACTAGTTCATGAAATATTGTCTTCCTAGGTGTGGGCAAGACCTGCCTGACGCACCTGATCGCTCACAACGAGTCTCTGATCCGCCCCGGATGGACTGTGGGCTGCAATATCCAGGTGAAGATTCATGAGTTCAAGGAGGGCACCGCCCGCCAATGTCCCTACTTTGTAGAGCTTTTTGATGTTGGTGGATCCTTGAGCCATAAGAACACCCGAAGCGTCTTCTATACGGGCGTCCATGGGATTATCCTAGTCCATGACCTTACCAATGGCAAGTCTCAGGAGCAGCTGCTCGATTGGCTGTACGAAATCGTAAACAAGGAAGGCAAGGACACGTACAAGTCTCGTGGAAATTCCCTGCCACCATCGCCACCGGCTCCGTTAAGTAGCTTCTCGTCGAACACTTCCGGCACGGACGGGCACATCCGATTTGACATGGAGGAGTTTTTGGGTGCCACACAAACGCCTATTCTAGTCATGGGTACAAAGCTAGATCTCATTGATGAGAAGCGAAATCCCAAGACGGCTGTGAAGAAGGCCGGAGGAATAGGTGCGACTACGTATTGATAATTATTTAAATTGCTCACCTATTAACTTTTCTCTCCTTTATTTTCAAACAGCCGATAAATGTGGAGCCGAGGAGATCTGGCTAAATTGCCGGGACAACCGTAGTCTGGCTGCTGGAACCACCGATGCCGTGAAACTTTCTCGTTTCTTCGACTGTGTGATTGAAAAACGCGAATCCTTGGGCGGTACTAGTAGCCACGTTTTCGGAATGGGTAGCTATACTGCCGGCAGTCCACCGGATAGACGACGTTATGGCCCGACAAGTGGAAAACTGGAACCGAGCGCAGTTCCTCTTCTGGAGACCAACGACCTCAAGTGATTAATGCATTCAATGTTAGATTTAAGTCAGGTTGTATATATTGTACGAGTATCATTAAAAACTAAATGCAATATTTATTCATCTCTAGAATCTGCATGCTTTTCTCAACTTTCTAGCTCTTATAGTTTTCGAGATCTTTGCGGATCTCTTGAACCCTATTAAAAAGAATATATTCTTTATAGAATCAGAACTCTTTCCTTTTACCTTTACGAGTGGCGCAAGTGGTATCCTGCCACGCCCACAAATCGCAAAAAACTAAAATTGTTGAAATCTCAGGAACTATTGGAGCTAGAAAGTTGAAATTCAGAAAGTATAATCTTTAGATGCCAGCGCATCTTATTGTGGTTCTACTATCCGGCCACACCCACCCACAAGGCTCAAAAGACGGTTTTCGGATTTTCTAGAAAAGCTGATATCTCGGTGACTATAAGAGATAGAAAGTTCGGATTAAGCATGTAGGTTTTTATGATGCTCCCAATGCGAATTGTTCCGATCAAGCCACGCCCACAAAACCTGAAAAACCAAAAATGCAAAATTCTCGAAAACTATAGAGCTACAAAATTTTGCTTAGGAACACGTATTTAAGAGATGCCTCTGCAACTTGCCACGAAGTTGCATCCGGCCACGCGCACTCTAACGCCCACAAACCGCGGAAAACCGTGGCGTCTATAATATTATTATGATTGCCTTCGTATGACCTTGTATTACTTATTTCTGTTAATATCTATCGATTTACCAAAGATTTTTCAAATCGGAACATTATTTTTTAAATGTTTACAACATCAGCAAGTCTTTTGATTAAATTAGACATATCTAAGTTAATATAGAAATTATATTAAATGCCCTCTTTTGTGGATAGAGCTCTAAAAAAAACTTATCCCGTCCTGAGCATGTCGCGATACCATTCGGGGACGATTTGGTGTTCCGGACCGCGCAACACTTCGTAGTATGCACCTCTTTTTTGGAAAGTAACCTGTACCACGGCAAACGAATCGTCAATGACAAATAGCAGATTCTTAAGCTCTCGTAGAAACTGGTCGAGGAACCAGGCCATGGCCGATGGATTCCACGGTTTCCTGCGAGCCAGTGAAGGGACATCAAACTCCTTGATCTCCTGAACCTTTCCCTCGGGGTCGCGTAGTCCCGCGTAGATCCTTGTGATGCCCACCAAAAACGATTGACTCCACCAGTTGGCCGACTTATAGTTATCAAAGCTGCGCAATTGCTTATGGGTCATATTGTGAGCGCTAGTCTTTAACTCTACAAAATTTAGAGAATTCAGCACTTTGGGATCTTTGAAGTCACTATTAATGATTAAACAAGTAGTAATACATATATACGCCTATGTTTGTTAATTCAAAAGAAACTGCAGAAACTTACACTGGTACCTGGCTAACCACACAGTCCATTTCAGCGCCAAATAGCAGTTCGATTTCGTTTAGCTTTCCCTGGAACATGGCCATGAACTCCTCGCATTCATTAACCGGCTTATTGGTTACTGGTTTGCATTGCGGCTGGGGACTTGTAAGACACTGCTCGAACTTAAAGCCCCATGAGCACATGTCCAGCTGGGCCCTAGTCATACTCATATTTTCTAGCCGCTGTTCTGGAGTGTCCTCTTTGGCCATGTAAATGTTGCCATTGATGAGAGTGGCCTTAATGCGGAAAATACGATTCCAATCGTATTGCATGCACATAATCTGTCGTAAAATTCCGCGTAATGTGATAAAGTCCGTGTCCAGTGCAAAATTTCCCGAATTGGAATGTCGCGGGTGGAGCAGCTGGTCCTTGTGCCGCTGGATGTAGGTAAGCACAAATTCCAGATCTTTGACCGCGGAATCGTTTGGTTTGCGTATCACGTCTTCTATCCCAGCATTCAGATCGATCGGCAGTTGGGGCCATGATGGGTATACCAAGTAACTGGCGCCGCTGTCGTCGTCCACATATTCCCGGTTAGCGTTGATGCTGCAGACCCCAATGCATTTCGGTCGGCTCATAGACGGAAACGGTCGATCATACCGTTCGCCGAACTGGATCTGCCTCCATGGGACATTGATAAAGCCTGTGTTATCGGCCATTTTTTGAAAGTATATTATTTGTTAGGGCGAAGATTCAGTGTGACCGCCACGGCCATGCCAGTAATATACTAAAACAAAAACATACTTATTAAATAAACCAAAATACAAAAGAAATACATACCAATCTAGTATTTTTCTGCACTCAAACACGCAAATCCAAATGTAATGTTATTCTTTTAGTTTATTTATTTTTGCATTTATTTAAAAACAAGAAACCCGATTGGCAAATGAAGCATCTGCTGGAAGATCCCTTAGTCCTGGTCGACCTGCGGGCACTGCCGGAAAAGTCTGGTTTTGTGGAGAATCGTCTGGATCCTGAAAAGAATCCTGACCAGAATCCCGCTCCCGTTGAAGGATTGCCAGATTCTGGAGATGACTTGTTGAAAGAGAAGGACACGCTCTGTCAGTTGGCCTGCAGCCTGCACAAGCTGTCCAAAGATGACCACATAGTTATTGATCGGTACGTTACACTATCTTTAATTGGTCGGCTTAAGTCACACATCCTTCAATTTTGTCCAGCAAGCGCAATCAGGTTATACGCACGGATGCGGTGACCCAGCAGATGACAATTTACCGCTGCCCAGATCCCACAGGTATGGGCATTTGTCCACCGATTGCAAAAAATAACCCGAATCCAGCCTCAAAAGTCGGTAGACCCTTGAAACGAGTCAGTTCTGCTGTAACCACAGCTCGCATGGCTAAAAAGCCGCATGCGTTGGAACAGAAACCTGATCCCGACACACATCGCACTCGTTCTGGACGACAGGTGCGCAGCTGCATGCCTCAGCCGGCTCCTGTTATCAGTGGCCCAGCAGTTACCGAGCCCAGTTCCGCTCAGATGCTGGAGATGCTTGTGGCGGATTTGAGGGACAAGGACTACCGTGCACCCATGCCAGCCCCCAAGAGTAACAACAGCAGCCAGGAACCTGCGATGACGACCACGCCCCGAGCAGTGCCAAAGAATGCCGTTTGCCCGGGCTGTGGGAAGATCTTCTTGGGCCGCCGACTGCAGCGGCACTTTGTTAAATTCCCGGAGCACATGCCACGTCCTGGCGAGCAGCCACCAGCTGCAGCAGCAGCAGGAACTCCCCCCACTTCCACACCTTCGCTTTTCGGCCTTCTGACCGCCCAACTGCAACGGCATTCGCATCTAAGCGAGGATCAGCGCTCCGATCTCTTCCTGAACGAACTGAACGACTTCGTCGAGCAGCTGCAACTGCGTAGCCAGCGTCTAATAAGAAATACATCGGGATTGCATTTTGTAAATTCCCGGATTGCACGAGTTTTGGGTATACCCGAGGGTCAATATGCCCTGGATATGTCCGCTATGGAATCGCAGCATTCACCGATACCAGAACCAGAAGGTGCTGCTTTAGTCGCCAACGGAGGCGGCGGAGGAGCGCGAAATCTAGTAGTTTATGCCGAATTAAGCATGTCGCTGGACGATCCGCTTACGGACGAAGCTGCACAACGTCTAAACCTATCGGCGGGTGGTCAACTTCATCCGCCATCGGAAGAAAGCCTGCTCAGAAATGTCAGCGATCTTATGCAACCGCCAGTGGCAGCTGCCCCACCGACTGTAAATCATGGCTACGATCATGCCAGTGATAACGCCGTAGAGGCCCTAACCATGAAGGAAACGCCCAACACGGAGGCCATACTTGATCTCAACGTGGACTTTTTCCAATTCAATCCGAATTAGGATATCACTTTTTTAAATGATTTTCTCAAAATAACGATGTCTAGGGTATGCTGATCTGAATTTATAAGTGATAAAAGAGGTATCGTAGGATAAAGTGCTAGAAAACTAGAAAGAGATTATACGGTGGGTGCACCTTAAAAATATATGTAAATTAGAATGAAAATCCATGAAAATTTCAATTAAATTCCTTTTCCTAAATTAACTATGTTAAGGAAGGTAAATATTGTTATGTAAATATATAAATAATAGATATAAAATTGTATATTTTTACTGAAGATCAATATTCAAACTGTATAATTGAAAAAACTCATTAAGTTTTTTTACCAATGAATTGTTTTATATGGACGTACCATTAATGAAAATCCGAATATTTTAGAATTAGTATGTTAGTGTTAATGGATATGTGGCCAGGAAGGTCAATTGCTTTTTGGAATTATTTATGAAGTATATAACTAGCTCACGAAAGATGCCTATTAAATAAATTTTACCACTTTTGGTTTTGAAAATGAATGGTTTAATATTATTTGCCAGATCATTTCCTTGGTGATACAAAATCTCGATCAATTTATTTTAATATTGCTTGCTAGCCTCATATTTGTGATTACTACACATGGGCTATTTGTTTACTAGAGTCTATAATATTTTTGATTACAAATGCTTAGGTGAAGGTCGTGCGTGTATCCATGTTTACTTTTAGGTGTAAAGTTTACTAATGCTGCAGCCATGTAATCGTATTTTCTGGTCATCTGCTTGATTTTTGATGTGTTGGGTGGCGAGGGTTATAAAATCAATTTGGCAGTTATCACTGCAAATGGAAGACCTTGTTTGCTTTGGGTCAATATGATTAGAGCTGATGACCGCAATGGAATTGCAAGTGCAGCAAGTTGAGTTAGCAGCGACCTATAAATACTGCTGATCCATAGATTTCAGGATACAGTAAATGATGAAGAAGTTGACAGATAGCAGGCGGCGCAACAGTGGCTCCTCGATGTGGAAGAAGGTGTCTGATTCGGATGACGACGACGACGACAATACTATCTGTAGCTGTGCGGCCATTAAGAGGAGTGTGGTCTACTATTTGAAAAATAGCACCCTTCATGGCCTAAAGTACATCGCCGAGGAGAGCATCACCATTCCAGAACGGTTTGTTTGTTATATACCTATAAATATAAAAAAAATCTACGATAATAACCATAAGAAATCAGATTTTAATAAGAACTAATTAATATTCGAAGTGATTTGTTAGATAATGAAGTCAATAGATAAAGAGCTTATGACTTTTCGGCTGGAGGATTAGTATTGACGCAGCTCACCTTAAGGTTATCAGTGCAATGTTTCCGTTTTCTGGCGATACAAGAATCTTTAGCTTTATCGGGACTTGACCAGAGAATCTGCATGGTCTTCAAAATGGCATTCAGTTCCCCTTGGAGGCACTTAAAATTGTAGATATCCAAAGATGGCGATTTAAACGCAGGATTACAGAAGTGATGCCAGGATTCCTTTTCCATATCGGTATCCATCTCTTGACACATAGCTTCTATAAGTACTATGGATTTTGTCCACAAAAGTGTGAAAACTAAAATTAAAATTTACTTACTTTTTTTTAATTGTTCAACTCCGGATGAGGAAAAAGTCGGAATCAGGCAAAGCAGGGAACAATATTTTGTATTTTATATGACATAGATCCTAGAGGTTTCTGTATCAATGTATTAAAACTACATTTTCTATACCTTCTTCCAGTGTGTTCTTCGGCATTGCTTTTGTACTGGTGGTAATCTTGTCCGGATTTTTCATCTCCAACGTGTACGTAAAGTGGAGCGCTTCGCCCATTATTATTTCGACCAGTGCCAAGCAAAAGCTAACCAGTAATATGCCCTTTCCGGCGATCACGATCTGTAATCTTAACCAGGCACTGCTGAGTCAAGTGGATCGCATTGCCCGGACCAGCACAAATTTCTCCCTACTTATGGGTTTGTGTGACCAGGGCGGTGATACGACCATCTCCTATATCGGAACCTGGAAGTACTTTAAGGCGATCCTGGTGGAGGTGGCCCAGCCGTGCGAGAAGATGCTGTTGTACTGCAGTTTTGGTTCACGGGAAGAAGAGTGCTCCCTGCTCTTTAATTCAATATTAACCGACGATGGCCTGTGTTGTAATTTTAATGCCCTGGATCCATCGTATCTCATCCGGAATTATAGCGACGATGTTAGGTGGGAACCGGCTCAGCCAAATTCGCGTTATGAACCCATCGATTGGACGCCTGAGAAGGGATATGCCCGCAAGCTGCCCGAGTTTTACTATCCGCGCACCTCGGGTGGCACCGGCATTCGCATGGGTCTCACTGTGGTGTTGAATGCCTCCATAGCGGAGTACTACTGCACCAAGTCCATGAGTGTGGGATTTAAGGTACGTCGGTAGATCCATAACCTATTTATTTTTATATATTTTTTTGTACTTTTAAAAACATTTTAAGGTCCTTGTTCACAATCCTGCCGAACTGCCGAAGGTGAGCAACTATGGATTCGTGGTGACTGCTGGACGTGAGGCGAGAATACCCATTGAACCGGTTTATGAGGATGCCCTGCCCACGATACGATCCATTAAGAAATCGGTGCGTCGTTGCCTTTTCTCCGATGAAAATGATTTGGCCTACTATCGGACATATTCGCGAAAGAACTGTGAGTTGGAGTGCGAGGCGAAGTTGCTGCTTCGCGAATGCAGCTGTGTCTTGTACTATCTGCCCCGGATCGATCCAATGGCGAGGGTGTGTGGACCCAATGATAATCTCTGTACGGATCGTGTACAAACGGAGATCGAATCATCGATGACAAACCTAACCTGCGAAAGTTGCTGGCCAGGTTGCTTTGAGCTCACGTATAAGGCCACCCTATCAACCGCATCGATCGTCTCGGATCCACGTTTTCAGGCCGGCGAAAATCTACCTGACTATATCTTCCATGGACCATATAGCAATGCCAGCGAGATTTCCATTCTGCACTTCTACTACATGACCAATATATTCCGGAGCACCACCAAGTCCGAGATGTTTGGCTTTACCGAGTTTTTGTGTGAGTTTTAAAATTCATAAAAAAAGCATTCAACTAATATTTAAAAAAATAATATTTAACATTCAGCTAATACCGGTGGTCTTTTGGGCCTCTTCATGGGCTTCAGCATTTTCTCAGTGATCGAGATATTCTTCTATATCACTGTTCGTCCCTACTGTGCCTCCCGGACCCTCCAGCAGCGCCATAAGCGTCGCCTGGAGCAGCTTCGCTGGCTGACTCCGGTGCGGGTGCCCGGACGTAGAATTCCACGCCTACGAATTCGAGGTGGCTTTATCCGAAATCCTCTGCAACCGCCCGCCTACAGTGATTTGCAGAAGAGCCGCGGAAATGTTGGCAAATCAAAGACAAACAAGAGGAGTATCTGGCAAACGTTGCAGGTTCGCCCAGTGGATCGAGTGGATGTGGAGCCACCAGTCTATCCGTACCTGGATTAAGAGCATCTGGAGTGACATATGCACAGAGAAAAATCTATTTTCCTGAAATTTGGAATAAGTAAACAGTAAAAAATTTAAAGGATTTTGAAAAATATGTTCATATTTAGACACATTGAATGTTAGATGTTTAAATAAACTTGCACGTTGTAATAATTTATATTAATGAATAAAATTCTTACACTGTTTTTGGATTTTCTCTGTATGTAGCCGTGTTCCCAGTGTTCTTATTTATTGTTCTGCTGGAATAGTCCGATGTTTATGGCCCAGAAAGCAGTACAACAATAAATAGACCCGTGGCAAAGGCAACAAAAAAGGCCAACGAACGCCGAATCCATGGGTGACGTGACTTCAGCAGCACTGGAAAAAAATGTATTATTATTGAAATGAATCCACGTTAACAATAAAAGTTATTGAAACTGAAAAAATTCTTGAATAATTCTTAATTACCACTTTTTCGCTCCGTGCAGACAAGGACAGGGGGCGGGAATGTAGTTCTGCACCGGAAACAAGGGCTGCGCCCACTGCGATTGCGGATATCGGATAATGGCGCTAATCGCCACGCGACTCCAATTTTAATTGATACCTTACTCGGTTTCTCGGATTTTCTCTACCCAGTTAAATAAGTCGCTGGATTTTTGGACTAACTTCAAGGCTTATACTCGAAATTTCAAAAATGTTCTTTTTACCAAGTTTTTTTCATTTCCTAATGTGTACAGGTTTGAAGATAGAAAATGTATAAAAAATATTAAAGTTATATTAATTAAATTTACTATATAATGGTATCTAAAAATCAAATAAAACCACTATGCTTTTTCATTTACTCCTCCAGGGCATTCAGAATTCGTCTTATACATTCCCATGCCCTTGTTTCCCTTTGCCGTATTGTGTGCCAATTGAAACTTAATTGAGATACAATTTTGGTATTGGCCAAATTTCGTTCCGCATTTTTTTGTTTTGGCCAACGAAATTCGAACATGAAACGAGCAAGAATTTCACAGGCTGATGTCACTTCTTGGTTGTTGGCTTTTTTCCGGATTTTGACGAGCTATTTTCTGGGCAGAGTGGGGTAGAAGGGAGTGCGGGTTTGTGGGGGCCAGGCCAAGTGACACCACCCGAATCGAATCGCTCTGTGGGATCTCCTGAAAATCCTCACTCATCAATGTCAAGTGGTCGAATATGTTTCGGTTTCTGCGAGTTCTCGACTTCACATCTCATCTCACATTCACTCTAAGTACATAAGTGCCTCATTTAGCTATTCCCCTTATATTTTCTTTTTATATTTAAGATACACTCCCTCTTCAGTTTTCCCTTTTTCGTATGGTAAACCCCGTCACCCCGAGAATCTTTATTACACGGGCCAGATGGAAAATCTCACATAGCGCTGGCATTTTCAATTCTTTTTTCGTTGTTCAATTTTTTGGGAATTTCCTCTTTTTGTATGGGGATTGTAAACAAACAAGTGGCGGATTGTTTATAGATTTAGACATAGAAGTAGTGGAAAAAAGGGTTGGGTTTTTCACTAAATTATAACTAAAGTTAAGTTAATTTGAAATACAAAAATGTATCATAAATCAACATTAAATTACTTAAATTGTATATGAGTTTAAATTGGGTTTTGTCATTTAAGAAATATAACTTTCTGTTGGATTTTTATAAATTTTAAAAAGAGTATCAAAGATTTCTCAAGTTGTTGATTTAAAATCTTCTGCTTAGACACCCTTTAAACCCATTAATGAGAACTGAGACTACGCTACTTGCTGGCCAGCCAGCTAGCCCATAAACTCTACTTTTCGCCATTGTATTATTTTTGGTTCGAATAATCTGTGTGTCTCGGACTATATATCCATCTCGAAACATTTCACTTTCGCTGCTTGCACTTGCCTCCAGTTTTATGGGGATATATTTTATCCGACGGTGATTCATGGGATCCATGCCACCGCAGACATTCCCGCAAAACTAACAACTAACATGTGTCCGCCAGTTCGGGGAATCAGGAAAACTATCCGTTCGAATGGATAAAAGATATGGATTTTGGATTTCAAATTTGAATTACTTTGGCAATGCGAGGAATGCTCTGTGGAAGATCTTTGATTTTCCGCTAAACTTTCCTTTACTTTGTTAGTTTTCCTTAGAATAAAATTGATAAATGCCCTAATCTTTTTTTGTTTTTGATGTTTCGATTCGTTTAATTGTGGTAAAATAAAACAATGATATGCACTGCTCACCTACATGGAAAACTGAAAACTACGCCCGGCAACGCCAGTCATTTCCTTTTGGTTATTTATCTTGTTTGGACAGTCTAGGTGGAAATTATAAGACCAACTGAGGAATTTATAAAAATAACTTGGAACTATAATAAATAATTTGGGAATATAATAAAAAATTAGACTAATAACCAAACGATGTAGTTGTGTAAAAATTGAAAAATTATAGAAATCCATTAAATAGTCCTATAAATTTTTGACTTTCCTGGGACTTATATGATCGTCGCACACTGTATGTGGATGCTCGAATGTTTATGCTAACGGCAGCAACAATTGGCCGGCCCACGTGGGTGGATTTGGATTCGGATCTGTATATAGCTGCGGCTATAGCTATGAGGTGGCATGGGATGGTAATGGTAATGGTAATGTTAATGGGAAATGGGGCCGGGCTCTGCGCTTGCCTCTCTGCCAACGTCGCTGCCGCAGCATCTCCGGACGGCATCTCCGGCGGAAAAAGTGAGAATTCAGTCGGAAACTGAACGTCGCGAACGCCGCCGCCATCCAAAATTGTCGCTGCCAAAGTCGCGACAACTTGCAACACCTTTAAACCAACATACCAGCAATATCATAATCAAAATCATATAACCAATCGAAATCGAAATCGAAGTTCATCTGTTAAAAAGAATTCAAGGAAATCAAACCGTGTCACTTTTTTATTATTTTGTATATTTTTTTTTTTGGAATTTTTTACTGTGCGTGCATCGGCATAAACATTGGAATCGCCAGCTGGTGGCATCAAAAAGCTGGAGAGGTGGTGCTAATCCCATAAAGAGCACAATAAAATCAGCGAAAGTTGCAAAATGCATTCCACGGCATGCGGCGTAGGTGCCTCGGCCACAAATCTCTCAACACTGCAATCGTAAGTTCACCTGGGGTCAACTTGAAGTCTAGAAATGTTTTCTTAAATATTAATATTATTAAATAATGCCTAATTCTTAAACAAAACTTAAGGCAACTATCATCTTGATATATTTTTAAATGCATAAATTCATTAAATTCATAACTTTAGCTAGCTATGTTTATTCTATGCTGTTTCTTAGGCCATTACCGAGTTAATTTTTAATATTTTTAATAGCACTTTCAAGGTTTCTATTTTTGGGTTTTCACTTATGTTCCTCAAATTAAATGCATTAAACAAACATTCTGGTATGCTCTCAAAGGTAATCCAAAGATGTGTTTACATAAATCTTGAAAACGTCTGAGAGAATTCAAGGTAATCAAAGACCGAATCGTTTTCAAATTGTTTACATTAACATGCCATCCTTTTTTTTCGTGTGTACGATTGTTTCCTTTGGATATTTTTGTTGTTGTTAGTTCAAACTTTAAGTTTCGTGGATCTCAGTGGACCGCAAAACAATCCATCAAAAACAAGACAAAAAAATGCCAGAGGAAATGGGGGCGCGGAAAAACCAACAAGTAAAATGTTGTGTTTTCACTTTTTTTTTTTTGTTGTTTTTGGAGGATGAAAAAAGGAGGCGGTAAATCGGTGGAAAACTGATAGGCGGGGTCACATGCTGTGCCGTAAAGTAGCTCGCAAGAAGCGTAATGTAAACAATTACTCACTCCGCTCGTTTACCACTTTTCCGCTTTTCCGCTGCCCATCGATGTGTGTCAGACGAACCGAAAATAGTTCTATCAGGATGATTGGGGGCGTCGGTGGCGTGGCGGGGCGTGGCATGCCACATGAAAGCGCAACAGAATGTGGAGCACTTCAAAAACCAAAAGAAAACAAAAACATGGAGTACCAGAAAAGAACATAGATTTCCACGACCATTTAATGAGCCTGCCAAGTGCCTCCATCTCTGTGTTTTTCTTTTAGCTTTTCTTTAAAGGAGGCGGGGGATTAATGGGTAGTGCCGATCATATTGCAGCCCAATTCACAAGTCCCAGATAGACAAGTGACAAGTTCAAATGTGCACTGGAAAAAACAGAAAAAATAGGGTCTACTTTATGATTTGTGGAGTTTTTTTTGGGAATAATTAGGTATTAGGATGTGAAATGTTAGCTAATTCATAATTTGTGTCTAAATATATTATTATTCTAATCTTATTCTTAATTATCTTAACAATATTTAATATATCATTAATAATACATTAATTTGAAGAATAATTATATAAACATAATAAATAATTTAAAGAAAACCTAATAATTTTCCATTTGGCTCTTTTCTTTGAGTGTAAACTGTGAAAATGTACAAAATATAAATCTCAACTTCCGCGCCCCTCATTCCAAATGCGAGTGCGAGTGAGAGCCTAGATGGGGCCAAGGTTATCTGGTTAAATAAATTAATGACGTCATCGCGTCGGCGTCGCCAACAACCAACGCACCAAAACATAAATATGTACAAATTAAAACTGCAAGTGATGGATGTATATTTTACCTCTGCATTCGCACCTTAAAAAACAGACAACGAGCTATTTACCATTCATTCAGTTTGGGTTGGGCCTGTGACCATTGATGGACAGTTTCGCTGGGGATCGTATCGTAGATGCAGCGATAATGTACATATATACGGAAGCTCCATCATTCCATTTAGCGTTATGAATAAATAAATGGGGTTTACCAATTTTTATGGAAAATACCAAAGATTTTAATGAATTATTAAGGTTACAAAGTTAACTACTTTCGTTAGAAGATTCCTCTAAAATAAAACCAAACTATTCATGATCTTGCTCTATCTTTTCATATCTGCAATCCCTCTATATACATTCCAATTTTTAGCTAGTTTTCGATCTTTTTTAACTTAAACACCCACGCAAACATGTGTTTTCAGTAGCTGTGATTTGGTATGCAAATCGATATCAAGGGGAAGAATGGAAATCATAAAAAACAAACCAAAAAGGGCAGTTTAAGCAGGGTCAAGTGTTGAGTTTAATATTATATAATATAAATAGTGGGATGATTCCTCGTGATGGATTCCCTGTAATTAGTCCATTGTCATGTGAATTGATGCGATGCCGCCCACAAGTTGGCGCTTCAAGTACAGTGAAGCCCCTCTGGACACTCCTCCCTTTTCGATTTTAAGTCCACAATGCACTTGACAAATGATTTTTGCGTGTCAATTTAAAGGTGACCAGATTAAGGCCATATCTTTGTTAATATTGTCAGGCAAACAGGCTACACCGGACAAAATAAGTTAGATTTATATTCAATAAATATCTTTAAATTTCTATAATCTCTCGTACTATCTTCAGAGTTATGATCTGTATCCCTCTGATAAAAACCAATTTTCATTTTGAGCTTCTAGACTTCCTTATGAATAGATTAGTTTTCTCCGAGTATATCCAAACTGCGCTCAACTGCTGATAATTTGTGCAATTTGTTGACACACATTTTAATTTTTTCCGTGCGCTCTTTTTCGTTCGCCGTCTGGTACTTTTGATTTGTCTCTGGATTCAGCTACTATATAGTAGATATAGTAGATATAGAATATGACTAGTATGGCCACAAAATGCACGCTTTAGCAGCACGACATCGCGCATGTGATAATAAATAGTAGTGTTTCGCTAGCCACACATGAGTATTTGTATCTATGTATCTTTGTATCTATGTATCTTTGTGCAATTGACATGCTTCCATGATCAACATCATCATCATCATCATCATCCTCCTTTTGGCGTTTGGCGTTGCCTTTTGTCCGCTGGTGCAGCTCTTATCACCGACAGACAACTGCAAATGTCAAACTGCAGCGGAAATCTGCGTGCCCCCACAAAGACACACACACACACACAGTCACAGCATGGAAAATAAAAAATAAAAATAAAAAATAAGAATGGCATACACATGACCAGCGGATGTGTGGAGACGATGGCCAAACGATGACCACTCCAGCAAACACGAACGTCGGAACAATCAGGCAACAATTGCGGTCAGCCGATTAGCTCAGTTAATAGTTATATGCATTTACAGATAATATAACAAAAAAGCAATCTTATAAAGATACTTTGTATATATTTGAAATTGTATACTAAACTGATAAGCTTCTGTGTTTTATCAATTATTGAAAAATGTATAATTTTCAGAAGAATTAAAGGGAAGTAAGGTTATATATTTAACCACCACTGTAGCTCAAAGCAAACCTGCTTACTACTATTTGATTTCACCTGTTTCAACATAAAGTGCCGTCAATTCCATCTAGTCTCAAAAACAGACATTCGAAAGATACTCAAAGGGTGCTGAAATATCAAAGAGCAACAGATAAAGAAATAAATCAAAGAAATAAATCAAAATTGCCAAGAGCAGTAAATATGAGGAGGACAGTATCCTTAGAGCTAAACTCAATTTCCCGAACCTTGGTGGCGGATTGCAATTAAAGTGATTTGATGATGTCATTGAATTGTCTCACATTTTCCGATTTTCCCTCCATGTTATCACAAACTATATCACTTTTTTTTGCCGTTGGTTTGGTTTTGTTTCGGTTTGTTTGTTCGGTTGAGCCTGTTTTGTCGCCTCGCGTCGCTTTGTGTGTCCATTTTTGTGTGTCACTGTCAACAAATTGCTCTTAATGGTTCGCCGGCGGGTGGGTGGTGGCCACGCCCCCGGGAATCACTGCAAAAAAAAAAAAACAGATAAATAAAATTTAAACCAAAAACCAACCAGAACTCACCGAAGGTAGCATCCAGAATGTTGAGCTGTGTGTCCATCGGGGTCGTCTAATTTTTTGTGATTTCCGCACCGCCAGCAACAATTTGCACTGCAGCTAGGAGCAACAAAAAAAATAATAATAAAATATAGTAACAACAAAAACAAAAAAACAATAAGAGCAACAGCAGCTGCGCTGCGGCAGAAACGCAATTTCGCTGCCCACTCGGCTAGACGAAAGGCAGTCGCAGTCAGAGATGCTCAAAATTTTGTGAGATATAAGCTAGACAAATACTTTTAATTTAACTATATATATTACAAATTTTTACGAAGAAAAAACATACTGAAAATATCACATTTTCGCAAAAAGTTATGATGTTACTTACTTACTTACCCTTATCGAAAATGCGAAATTTGGTTTCTCCTTATTTCCTCCTTTAAGTGACAGTATTATGCCCATAACTAACCCACTCGTGGTCCGAATCTGGAACGGCATATCTCGTTGAATTAAATTATTAATTGAATTGAATAAATTATTAAATTTACAACAAAACTGCATTCACACCTAAAAATCTCAATTTATGTCAATTTTTTGGAAAAATTAACGATGTTACCCCTTATCAAAAATGCGAAATTTTGAAAAAAATGGATTTCTTGAAAATGAACTAAAAAATGATAGGGAAAGTTAGTATTGATCTTCAGCATCAGAAAACAGTTATTCTTTTAGCTGTGGGTCTTCTTTTCGCAAAGTTATAGCTTAAAACCGCAACAAAATGGGTCAATCTTCAGTCGAAAGGCGTATACTTAATATTCCGTCACTTTTTAAATTTTACTATACTAGCAACTTCAAGACTGGAAAAGAAGTATTTTTCAACTAGAAAAAAACTTTACAGAGGGCGGAATACCAGATAGATGGCCAGCTTTGGCTCTGTCGACGTCGCCGCCAAGCGCTGCCGCTGCGCCAGCGTCATCGTCATCGTTAGCGGTCGTTCTTAATTCAGTTGACCAACAGACGCAGACGACGTCGCAGACGCGACACGCGACTAAAAAAATATTTTAAAAAATAAAAAGAAGTTAAAAATATAATTGAAAATTATAGAATTCCTACACAATTATATATAGCCGCGATATATATATATATATAATTTTGCGTAGATCCCACGCAAAGAATCGTTACTGAGCTAAGCGATTTATTCAGTGAAAACTTGAAAAAAAAACGCGCGCGTTTTCAAAAGAAAATCGCACGATTTGAAAAAAAGGTGACAAAATCATAATTTTTTTTTATTCCATTTTGTTGTTGTTGTTGCTGTGGTGCGTGTGCGTATCAGGATTGTAAAATCAAAATGTGATATATTTTTGTTGTATTTTTTATTTTTATTTTATTTTATTTTTGTTCGGTTTAATGCTGGGCCGGCATTCGCCAGGTTCGCCCACCTGAAAAAACTGTCCACCACAGAGTAGAAAAAAGATATATATATATATATATATGTATGTGTATGGATATCTATGTATATACGTATAAAAAATACGTTGGCAGCAACAAGTCCAAGTCCAAGTCTAGGGCCAAAAACACGGCGTGTCTTTTCCGTTTCATTTTGCAATTATTATATTTAAAAATAACCGAAAAGCAGCAACGAAACAAAGGCGTCGGCCAAAGAATGAAAACCAAATAAATGCCAGACGCCAGAAATGCCGCCAAAATAAAAAAATATATAATAATATTAAACAAAAAAAATGGCAGAACATTTGAAAAGCAAACACTTGTTGAGATGCACTCTTGTTGTTGTTTTTGTTGAAGGTCATTGAAGTTTACATATATATATATTAAAGTGTGTGTGCGTGTGCTGCGTTTATGGTTTATAGTTGATAAATTTTGGGAATGAGACGATAGTTTGATAAATTCCCAAAATGCAAAAAGTTTCCGAGTAGAACCTTCTTATATAGCAGCTTGTCACGATAATTTTTTATTTTATAAAAAAAAGGTTTTTTTTTAAAAAGAATGGAATTTTACTGAAAATGACTCAAAGCCTTTGATAGCACTGAAAAAATGGTAGAAAAAACTATATTAGCAAACCGGAAGTAAAAACAAGAATAACTCAAGAAAAAATTTCAAGAGAAAGCTAGCCAAAGGAAGTTGAAGTGACCGGAGAATTCCTAAAAATATTTTATCTTTTATTTTTCATTCCTATGCTATCTGCAAAAATATAAGATTTGGTTGTCATAAAGCCCTCGTATTTATTATTGGGTCTCAAGATCCCTGACCTTAACTTTGGGGTTGAGTGAAAGTAATAAAGATAAAATCGTGGAAGAAACATACAAGAGTAAAAAACTGAGAATAGGTCGAGAGTTCAGACTCCCTTTGTTTTTGAATTATCTTTAGAACCCTGAACTCTCCCTATTTGTGGTTTCTGTTTCTGTTTTCTTACAGTCTATTCTAAGTGCAGTGTTTGTTTGGCTTATTTTTGGTTTGTTTTTGATGAATCTAATTCCCAAGAGACCGCTCAATTGTTAGCTCAACAGATCTGGGATCGAGCCACTTAGTCTAACAGTAATCGACGCTAAACGCCGTCTCGTTTGGAAGCCTCTTGCTGATTGCTGACAACTTAATCAACGTAAAAAATAAAAAAATAGAAAAAATAAGAGGGAAAAAAAGAAAGAAAAAAAGAAAACACGATGCCAGCTAATATCTGGATCTGGGTGTCTATCTATAATACAGCCCATCCACACTATAATATATATATAATACATATACATATATATAGTATATGTGCACCGGCATATATAATATATAAAGAGTGCGCTACTTATCTGGTGGCAGAAGCGTCCCTGAACTTTGGGCGAGATCAATTTGCACTGTCACCAATTTGGATTGGAAAAATGCGAAATGTGTCAAAATCCGTAAATCCACAACGATCCATGGACTCCTTCACAATGACAGATCTTTGTTCTATAGTACTTGATCTATGGGAATGTTTCCTTGCCTCTTGTCTCGGTTTGGTCTTTTGTTTTTGTTTTTGCGGCGGAGGACTGTGAAAATTGCCATTTAGTTTGACTGAATTGATTAGCTTTGTGCTCGAAGGGTTAGGAAAAGTGAAATAAATTTAAAGCTTATGACATAATAAGAACTCAAATTATTATTTACAAAAATAAACTTTAAACATATACTTTTTAGACCAATTTTACGCCAATTTTAATTCAAAGATATTTTTATGGTACTAAAATTATTACAAAAATTTGTTGATTTGACTTGACTCCAAGTTATTTCCCTTAAGATTTATTAGCACAACTGAGACAAATTTCTTAACACATTGGCTATTAAGTTTTTAATTGAATTGGTCAGTTGGATACTTCCTTGACGATCTCTCACGTTAATGGCTGTTCTAGATTTATGAATTTCGCTTTGGACCATCCAATACTCACTGCCCATCCGATTTCGAAAGATGTTTTTTGAGAAGATGTGAACAAAACAGAGTAAAAATAGTTCCGAGCCTCGTAAAGTCAGAAATGGGGTCACTTTGGGGTCTGCGGGTGCAAAAAACTGAAATGTTTTGCCTTTTTGGTCAGCTTTTGACATACAAAATTTGGTGTAAGCACTATAATTTTTAAACAATTTTTGTGTGTCGCCAAAAAGCGTTAATCATTTGGAGTTAAATTATGCCCACTTTGTATATAGCATTGGCCCTTGGCAAGTTTTGATTTATTTGCGACGGTCTCCGTGCATTTCAATCGTATTTGTTTTGTCAAATTGTTGATTTAATTGCCCACCGAAACGATTCGTTTGGCATCCGAAATGCAAATTGGATTGGTGCCGCCATTTGATTGGGCTTGGATATGCCCGATCAACCGTGATCTATGGCCATATGCCCTTGCCCCCTTGAAATGCAAACAATTATCTAGTATTATTTGTGGAAGCCTACTCGAAAAAACCATGTGTGCTTAGTTAAAATCTTTCATGGAATGAATCTAAAGGGAGCTGTTCTTTTTCTATATTTCTATATAAATATATAATAATGTAAATCTTTCTCTGTAATAGCTGACCCATATCTTTAATTTTCCCTCATCCCCTCGATACTTCCTCATTTTAACATTTTACTGCGTCGGATGCTTTGGAATTTCCTTCCTTCGATAAGAAGCCGGTTAAAGATGAAAGTCAGGCATTCTTTTGCCTTGTAAATATAATGGGTAATTAATATAATGTATACATATATATCTAAAACATATGTATGGACATGGATGTACTTATTAATGATATAGCTTGTCGGTCACTTCCCTTATAAGTCTGTGTGCCCACCCTACGAAACTATCCAATGGCCATAATGTTTGCCATTTCATTTTGAATTTTCGAAATTAATGAACATTGATCAGTCTTTGCACGTACGAATAATGATAGACAGTATTAATGACGATTTTCAATTAGTTGGATGGCTGCTAATAAGGCTTGAAGGCGCTGCGCATGCGCCAAAATCAAAAACTTAAGTTGTTAGAAATTAAATTGAAGAAAGTTTATAAAATATTTGTTGTTGAAAGAATTAGGAATGGGTTTTTAAAATAAAAAATAAACATCACAAAAGCATTACCCTTCTTCATTAATTAGTTTAAAATTCCTACGAATTGAGTAATTATCCTTGCCTAATGACCACCACCACCAACACGCCACCTGTCGGTTCGGTTCATGCAAACCACTAAGTGCAAATAGCAATCAATATAAAAAAGATGGGGGAGAAAAAAAAGGAAATATTTGCGGGTATTTAATTTGCTTTCGTCATGGCATGGCAACTCTATTTTGGTTCCCTGTGCCATTATTTCTCTTCGGGTTCTCGTGGGCGCAGCGAGGAACAAGTGGATCGTAAACCCCAATTGCATTCCGTATGCCTCATAATTGTGGTTTGTTCTTTGGCCCACCGACCATTTAACGAAAACGAAACGAAATTAAATGCAGTTGACCCAAAAATAGCGCGAATGCCTGACTGCCAGGCCTCGCAAAATCGGCAACAGAACAGTATTATTAACCAGAAAAGAGAAGAAAATTCATGGGGAGCATTAAAAAATAAAGGGTCTTACATATATAAATGTATTTGTACTAATTTTTAAAGCTTCTTCTCTTTCTAACCCATAAACCATGCCAAATTTGAGTGGTAAACAAGAGTGATTTACTTACTGCTTCCATTTGAGTGGGCACCTTTTGAGCACCCTGTTTTACGAGGGGCTTTCCCTCTTAAGCAAGTGTCGTCATCAGTCTGAGGTGGGTTAAAGGGGGCGGCTTTTGGTGCGTTTTTGAGAGGTTAAAACGGGGTTGGGTGGGGCGGCGTCTGTGTAAGTGCGATTGGCGACGTCAACAATTACAAATGTAGCCCAGGTCAGGACCGCGGTGCATAGGCGCTGGGGCTCTGTCCGACGTTTTTTTTTTTTCCACATATATGTTTTTTTTTTTAGTATTGCTGCCAGCAATTAACCCAATTCCCGCGAGCAATGACTTTAACCCAACACCACCCATTTCCGCCCACAAAATCCCGCGAACCACGCGAGCTCACAATCACAACATTCAATTATGGTTATGGTCGAAACAACACAAGGAAATCCACTCGCTCGATTGAGGGAAATGCATTTCCCAATGCCTCTGTCTCTGTCACTGCCGCCGTCGCCGTCACCGTTGCCGTCGCAGTCGACGTCGACGTTTGTCTGACCCATTTTTTATACGGGACACGCCCACCCAAGGAACATGGCGGGGGCGGTAGCCGGTGGGTGGTGTCGGGTAGCCGAGCACACAAGCCACATCCTGCCATCAAAGTTGGCGATGACGACAGCGATATAGTTGTTGTTTGAGTTGTGAAAGTGAAGCTTCGTTATGAGAAAGTTTTACTTTTTGAAATCTTTTTATAGCTAAAGAGTTTTATGGGGTAAACTAACGACGTTTCAGGCTTTTTGGACTTGACAGTTGCTTTCGTATATCTTGGGTTATTCTATTTAGAATATCTAATTTACCTTACGTATGCTTCACTGTAGTTGTCGTTGCCTTTTGTCGATGACTGAGAATCGCTTGAGATTGTCGGTGCTTTGAGCGCTTTCATTTTCAGTTTCAGTTGGTGCTGAAGCCTGCTGGCGAAAACTGTTGCATATTTTCGAGCGCTAAGGACATTAACTGTTGCATCTGTTTAAACATTTTGTTTGTTTGTTTATTTGACCAACCAGCTCCAGCACAGCGGGGACGGGAACAGGAACAGGAGCCGGTGCAGGAGCAGCAGCGGATGCCCACAAAATGGTGCACCATAGCAACGAGGATGCCATGAACAAGATTCCACTGAAGTCCGCCGGAGGATTGGACTCGGACGAGGAGAAGAATGGAGGCGAACTTATGCAGGACACAGCTGCCGCCGAAGAGGCGCGACGCGAACAGATGTGAGCATATAAAAAAAAAGGAAATTAACACTAAAATATATCGTCACAAGTATTCTTGCCTTTACACATAAAAATCCCATTTAATTAACCTTCTTTAAGTGGAATAAGGAAGTTGTAGTTAGCGTCTTGTCCTGTTGGATTTGTAGATAAATCTGGATAGTTTATCAAAGGTTCCACAGAAGTAATTTAATAAAGGCGTCGAACAAAACAAAACAAACAATAAACTAGTTCCTTTATCATCCACTTAACTGAATTGAACTTTTGCAGGCGCGTCAAGGTCTTGGCCTGGATGAAGAAGCTGACCATCGTGCTGATCTGTTTTATTGGCATCGCCCTCATTAGCTACGTGATCATCAGCCTGTGTTTCAGTGGTGAGTATGGGAGATCGGGCAAGGAATAAAGCCAACTACATCCAGCTAACAATTCACTCACCCACTGCAAACTAATACAAAACTCGTTGAAAAAGATTATTGTCTAGATTGTTGATAGATGTATTATATATAGTTATATATACGAACAGACAGACTTTTGGACCATAGTTATATACCCTCTGAAAATGCTTATTATCTGCATGCTTTCGTACCATCTTAACCAAGCACCTGGCATTTAATCTAGTTCAAAATAATTTCTTCTATTGTGGCACCAAAAAGTATTCACATGAACAAAACCCCAACCAAAAACTTTACACCCTAACTCACTAAACAACAACAACAACAACAACGAAGACTGGCCAAAATCGACGCCAAATAGAAACAGCACCACAACAACAACAACAACGACGACGACAACAACAACCACAGAGTCAGCAATAGCAACAACAGCAACAGAAATTGCAATTGCACTTGCAACGGCAACAGAAATTGCAAGTAGCTCAGCACCACCAATAGCACCGGCAACAGCAACAACAATAGCACCATCAGCAACAGCAATTAGCACCAACAACACCACCACAACAGCAACAACAACAAGTACAACACAACAACCACCACCAACAACAACAACAACAAGCAGAACAGAAAGCAATCCCAGCCCCACACTTAAAACATTTCATTTAACAGATGAGCAACAGCAACAGGAAACGGAAACGGAGACCGGAACCGAAAGTATTGACAACCTAAATCTGAGAGTATCAACACCATCAGACGACAACCAGCCCAATGTGGCTGCTTCAACAGCGGCAACCACAGCAGAACCACCCGCCTGGCTGAAAGAACAGATCAGGATCGATACCAGTGAGCACTACGAGTCGGTACTCGGGGCCTATCAGCATGGAGCTGTGAGCTCTGATAATCTCGAGTGCAGCAAGATCGGAAGGTAAGCTCTATAAAAGAGCCTTACTTTTAGTATACTCTAACAAAATGTAACCCTTACCTACAGTGGGATCCTTCAGAAGAATGGCAGTGCTGTGGACGCAGCGATCGCCGCTCTTCTCTGCAATGGACTATTGACCTTGCAGAGCATGGGCATCGGTGGCGGCCACATGATGAACGTTTACCAGCGGGATAAGCGGCATGCCACCGCCATCGATGCTCGGGAAGTAGCTCCATATGATACTGATGAGAATACGTTCGACAAGAATCCGGAGCAGTCGTTCAAGGGACCGTTAAGCATCGCTGTGCCGGGCGAGGTGATGGGCTATTATGTGGCTCATGAGAAATTTGGACAGCTGCCTTGGTCAGATCTGGTGGCACCATCGCTGAACCTGTGCGAGAAGGGTTACCATGTCTCGCAGCACATGGAACGGGCTCTTGATGCCGCTTTGCCGTTCATCAAGAAGCACGAGCAGTACCAGTAAATCTCATCAGGTCTGAAATCACTTCAAAATTGTGTCAATAAGTATTCAACGATTTTTATAGCATACTTATTGGCATGTGTTGAGGAGGTTTCAAGCCTATTATTCTACTTAACGATGCAAGCTTTCATCTAAATTGTGTAATCTTCTTCCACAGAATCTATTTGAATGGGGAAACGGGTAAGCCACATGCGGCCGGAACCGTTGTGAAGCCACCAAAGAATCTCTGCAAGACGTACAAACTTTTGGCCGAAAACGGGCCGTTGGACCTGTACAATGGAACTTTGGCCAAGATGCTGGTTGATGACCTAAAAGATATTGGCAGTGTTATTGTAGCCGATGATTTGGAGGCTTACCAGGCCGATGTGATGAATTCGATCACCATGGATTTGGGTGACGACACACTGTATGTGGTCCCACCAGTCAGTTCCGGTTCGTTGGTGGCCCACACATTGGCCATCCTGCAGGGCTATAATTTTACAGAACAGGATCTGGCCACCGAGGAGTCGAGGGCCCTTACTATCCATCGATTTGTCGAGGCCATGAAGTTTGCCTTTGCTCAGCGCCCGGAATTGGGCGATATGCATTTCATCGATGCTCGAGAAATTGTCAGCCAACTGAATAGTCCGGACTTTGGTGACCAGAACCGTGCCAAGATCAACGACTCCCATGTCCTGCCCGATGCTTATGCGTATGGTGCTACATCTGCGACTAACGAGGATCTCGATGGTACTTCGAATCTGGTTGTTTTGGCACCCAACGGAGATGCCGTCTCTGTGACCAGCTCTATAAATGCCTAGTAAGTTAAATTAATGTACTATACTCATATATAAAAAAAATTAACCATTTTCTACTCACCCAGTTTTGGATCCGGACTGATTGGACCTCGGACAGGCATTGTGCTAAACAACGGGATGAACGACTTTTCGGTGCAGAACAATTACTTTGGATTCCCGGAGGCGCAGACGAATAAGATAGCTGCTCACAAGCGGGCGATGTCCTCGCAATCGCCAGTCCTGCTGGCTGACAGTTCTGGTGATATGCGTATGGTCATCGGAGCAGCCGGTGGCAGCAGGATCATTCCAGCCGTGGTTGAGGTGATCGCCAATGTATTGTGGTTTGGTGATGATCTGCGCAAGGCAGTTGATGCGCCCCGGTTCTATCATCAACTGCTGCCCGATGTCCTGGAATACGAAGACAGTGGATTTCCGGATACATTGCTAAAATTGCTGGCCAAACGGGGTCACAAGTTGAAGGTCGTGTCCAGGACCAAGGGATCGATCGTTACGGCCATTTCAAGGAATGCCACAGCCATCTATGCAAATGCTGATTATCGTAAACGTGGCGGAGTTGCAGGTTTCTAGGGTGTTTAAAGAAGTCCACCCACTCAACCACCCATTCACTCACACACACCCACACACGCCACACACACATACATATACTGCATTGAGATTAGAGCAGATATGCCCAAGAAATAAGAGAAGAATTTCCATGAAAAAAGCAAACAAAGAAAACTATTGGGCCAATCTGGTTTAGAGAGTGGTAAAGCCGATCGATTCGCATCAAGTGAAAGTATTTAAGCTAGCTATGTCTTTTTTACATACTATGTATATCGTACGTTATATAAATTTATATGCTACTACCTAACTACTACCTTATACAATAAAAAAAAAAGAAAACAAAACAGAAAACCAACACGGCGAATGCCATGAAATAGTTTCTATTTTTTTTAACATTTTCACCACAGGTTTCACTTTAACTTTGTTTTTGCGTTTCTATTTTTCATCCAAAAACATTTCTTCTCTTCTAACTCTATTATATACTGTTTTGAGCATACACAGACATATTGGAAATTTCATAACTATAAAAGATCGTAATCTTATAATGATAATCAATTAAATATATACATACATGTCCAGTAGATTATACAGGAAAAATATATAAATAATAACCAGTCTAGATGAGTAAAAAAAGGCTGCTGACAAAGAACATTTGGACTTTCATTGTGCATTTGTATGCAAGATCTGAATATAAAACATATATGTCTGGTCGGTTTTACTGAAATATAATCTAAAATGTAATCAAATACGTACTTACATATATGATGGATTTACTCGATTTTTGTGTGGCATTTACATATACAACAGATCAGAAATTATCATGAGAAAACAAATAAATGGTATTCCCTATAACTTTAAAATATCTATAAAAGAAACAGCACTTTTCCCGTTGTGGAAATTGAAGAATTAACCAAATAAACCGTAAAATATGCACTGGTTTTATTGTTTCACTGGGAATCGATTTCAAGTTTCGCCCAAAAGATGCCACAGAATATGATTGGATTGCAATAAACTTAATAGGAATTCTTTATTTCTTGGAAAGCAACACTGAACGATTTCCGTTGGCAATCGACATCGCTATTACGATATGGCTAAAAAAATATCTTTAATCATAATATACATAATTATATACAGGCATTAAGCTAAGACTAAGACTAAGTGCTACCCTGTAGTTTTGTAGTTTGATTCCCGCCCTGCCGTGGCATTTAATAAGTATATATAATATATATCTTTAAATGTTCCTATGGGCGCATCATGTAGTTTCGTTTTTTTTTTTTTCCTTTTTCGGCTTTATGATATATACAACTTTGGACTAGATGCTGTGTTTCAAAGAACTCTATGTACAATGCGAGAGAAAATATTTGATATTAATGGGCTCTACGAGTTAAAATACTAGCTGCTTAAAATCAAAGTAAATACAATGCCATAATGCTTTTGCCGAGCTACCAGTTAGCCAAACTTTACAATATTCATACGGATAGATATGGCGGTATATAGCTGTATGTTCTAGTTTTTTTTTCTTTCCCTTTTTTCTTTTCTAAAAGCATATCTTTCGTTGTTATAAATACAAAAAAAAAAAAAACACTAGAAAACTAGAGTTGCCAAGTATACCACCTATCGAAATCGTAGGTATAGATTTGTTTTTTAAGTGGGTCAAGTACAGAAATCCGTTGCGCTGCCAGTTGGGAAAAAATCTCTTAATTCTCTCTCCTCCATCTACTGCTCCATTGCCCTAGATGTGAAGGGTGGCTCCGGGTGTGGAGGTCGATCCTCCGCTAGCACCTGGCTTGGCGGAGGTCTGTGGCGGCTCCAGCTCCTTGGACTGATCCATGTCTATAACCAGGCATTCGTAGGCCGGCGGCGGTAATTCAAACTTCACCACACTATCGTAGCTCGGTGGCAGTGAGTCCACAATGCGCAGCACATCGTTCTGGGAGTTGATCTGAAAAATGGGTCAGTATTAGCTAAGAAGTTCCAATATGTTTATTTAAAAATGTACTTGTACTCACATGTGGCATGCCTCCATTGGTGGCACGATTGCCCGCCTCATCGATGGGTCCCGCCCAAATGCATACGCCCATGCGGTGAGTAACATATCCACAGATTATCACACTGATCACCAGCATTCCGATTCCCAAGGCGAAGACCAGCCAACGTGACTCCACAGTATTGTCTCGCAGATTCTTCTCCAGCTGCAGGGCACAAAGGATAAGCACCGGCACGGCCACCATGGCCACTAGGAGGTCCACAATGGGACGCTGGGTGCTGGGTCCGGCATTCAAAGGACTACGTCCAGAGCCCGCTCCATTGGCCGATCCGCCGTGGTGTCCCAACGAGCGGGAACCAAAATTCTGGCTACTGCTATTCGGCGTCAATGTGGAACGGGCCACCACTGTGTTGTGGTTCTGTAGCACCATTCTGGAAGATAAGGCCATAAGTTTAGGGTTAGAAGGGTAAAAATTCATAAGAATGGCTTCGAAATAACATAATTTGTTTTATTTTAAGCTCAATTAAAAATGATTTGTAACTATCAGGAATATATTAACTATGAATTTACAGTGAAAACATATATTACATACTTTTTAAATGATATAAAAAATATTTCCGTTTATTACTTTTCGAAATTATTAAACAATTTCCAGTTCCTTTTGAATAATTTCCTAGTTAAGTTCAAGCCAACTTTCCTTAACTTAAATTTAAATGTACTTATTTTTATTCATATTAATTTAATTAAGCTTAATCTGAGAACACTTGATATTATTATGTTTATTTTTTCACTGTGTGGATTGTAGGGGTTCATGTTTATTCGATGGGAAAGCCGGCTAATTGGTGGGTCTCAATTGTTAATCCCCAATGAATAGGCATGAGATTTTTACAGTGGAAACAGTTCCGATCGTTAACTGTAATCGCTGAGCCAACCAGACAATGGCTAACTATTATTATTCAGCATACGATTAGCTCTGAGCTAATTTCATAATTTTTATAAGAACTATAAGAATGGATAATCAGTATTCGAGAAGTTTGAAAATTAAAACTAGATCATTGGAATACTGGGTAATACTGTAGTATTGCAGTATTTTCCACTTGCTTGGTTAATGGTTGTTTTCCATTTGTTTGGCAAATATTTTGTGTTGATCACATTGGCTTAATAATATAATAAACTTTTGATAAAACGCCCCTCCCTGCGGCAATGGCAATAAAATCAACTGCGTCACTGAAGGCGCAGACGGTGGAAACCAAATATTTGCTAAGCATTTCTCGTTTGGAGTCCAATTAACATTGGTTAGCATTCAATTACCGGGCAAGATGTATCATATTCCAATGTCTACATTTATAGATATGTGTTTGTATTTCCCAGTGATTGTGATTGGGATTGGGATTGTGGTCTATATAGCTATATATACGATTCGTACCTGGGATCAAAGGCGTTGCTTAGCAACAAGTCGTATACGGTGCGCATTTCGATATATGTTTAGTTTTCCCCTTCGATCGCTATCTATACTTTTCGTTTTTTATTGATATCAATTGGTTAATTTATTGTTGCCTCAATATTGTTGTTGTCAGCATATTTATTCAATGATTTGAGTGTCACACATGAGTTGAGTTTCTGCTGCAGTCTTTGGGTTCTGCGGTCATCGATGGTCTAACGATCATTTGTTGAGGGTGGTTATGATTTATAATATTTACAGAAATTATTCCATTTGTAGCTATGACAATAAAAAAACCTAGGAAGCAGTTATAGCCTTGTTAATTGGTTTTATTTAATCATTTTAGCACTTTTTTATTGTTTGTTTTACAGATTAAACGTGTTTAAATCAAATTATACAAAAGCATTTCTCAAACAGCAAAAAAATGAACTCCCAACTGGAAATATTTATTATTTAATTTGCCTCTTATTTGTATTAAATCATTCACTAAACAAAAACCGGCTGCATTGCGATTAATTTATATCTATTTATTTATTTTCTTTATATAGTTTTGTAATTTATGTGCATTTTATTGATGATGTTGTTGTTCTTGTGAACGGAGAACTTTATGATTGTGTTTTTGTATACAACGACCCGAGATAAGACGAAAAAATCAAGATGAAATGCGATTGTCGGCCCACCAGGCGTATACTTGATGTTGCTAAACTAACAGCCAGATCGCTCTTATCAATAATCCAACTGCAAGGGGGATTTCCAGTTCACTGAGAAAGCGATAAGGGCCGGCACGTGATTATCTTTCGTTCTTACACATTTATTTTTTTCAATAATAACATATTATTTGCACATTGGTTACCAAGGCGTCTGTCAATTATCACTTCAACATTGGTCTCGACTTGCACAGAGTAAATAATAAATAAAAAATAAAAAAAAAAAATGAGAATTGAAGCCAGCTTGGTCGGGCTGAAACCGATTCGTGGCGATCTTGGCCGGTCAAATGTTGGCTTCGGACTGGAAAAGCGTCCCTCGAAAATGGCCATATAGCATAATCGATGTCTGTATATGCTGTCAGCTGGGAGAATGATAACTGCGAATAGACTGCGGACATACCCTAATTTAAATAGCTTGGCATTGTTAACTTTTTGATATCAGTGAAACTCTAAAATGGGTTCTGACTTGCCTTTTTCCCATTTACATTTGCCTTGTTCAGTTTAAGCCTTTCTTTTTTTTATTATTTTTGATAGCCTAAACCTGCAATTAGTCCCTTAAATTACATCTGCCAATGCAAAATCTTGTAACGTAGGTATACCCTTTAAAGGGTAGCAGCACGCGTAAATTAAATTGCACGTTTTTTTTAAAAGAAAAGCTAAGCATAAAATTCCATTTCTTTTGTCGATTTCAAAAGAGAAACTATATGGCAAGCAAGCGTGATTGGTAATTGCCCAGGTAGATAACGATAGCGGGCAAGTTAATAGGGTTCTTGTCATCTGACTTCATTTATCTAGAAGTATGAACTTTATCTGGAAGTTGTTTGAACTCTGGAAGAGATATCATATATAGATATATCGTATACCAACCAGATAGCGTGGCGACGACTCTTGATTAACTCTGAAATATTTAAGATCTTCTTTTGCTGAAGAGAATTTCCCGAGAGGGTCGGGGGGAAAACCTCGCTCGATCAGACAATGGAAATTTGCAATTATAATTGCAACTGCGTCTGGTGAATGAATTGTGGAGACCTCGTCGGTTACAATAGATACACTTAATTGCACACCATATAGATTCGGATTGAGATACAGATGCATCATATGACAAATGCAAATATAGAGTATATATATATATATATATATATAGTATATGGAGCGCCATTATCAGTTCATACTGATAAGACAACGCCCCGACTTTACTCAAATATAAACCGGTTGTAAAGTGTTTGTCATTGATTGTCCTCGTTTTGCATTTTGTTTTTGCTTTTAACCGTTTCCCGCCGCCTCATTTGAATGATTTAGTGCTGTTGTTAACTTATAAAGTTTGCTTTCTGGGTGAGGACCCCATTTTTGGGAGGAGGTCTCTGGCTCCGATTTGCGTAAGAAATCGGGGCGCATTAACCTTTCCACCTTTCCCGTTGTGTCTGCATACCCAAAACGATCTCAAAAACAAGCTCCATTTCCATATTTCCAACTAAATTCAGATTGGGTTTATTTTTACACTCCAAGCTATATATTTCCTTGGGAATCAATCTTACTTTAATCTCTAAAATATTCTTCATAATTTCCATAAAACGATATAGCCAAAAGTGCAATCTTTGGCTATGCACTTCCGTAGTCTATATCTGTAAATTTCCGGTCCAGGAATGATATGCGTAGTACTACGTGATGTGATCTGGATTTTTAAATATTTTTCACATATTTCCATTCACAAATTGCATCAGCATCGGGCTGAAAATCGCATCAAGTCATTGACCAGATGTTGAAAGGCGCATTATATATATATATATATGTATATTAAGTATCTTGATATGGGCATATATCTTTATCGGTTGCATGTGCACTTTGTCAGCTGACTAGCAGTAATGAAAAACGAAAATGATTGCCTAAAAATACAAATTAAATTTTAGCTCCGCCCACAAATACTGGGAAAATCGAAAGGAAAGATATATATATATATATATATTTAAGATATAGTAAAAGTAAAAGCCCAGCAATTACATTACCGACTGAGCTTGACTTTGAAAAGAGAGAGAGACTTTGATTGCAAATCGAGCGTCAGCAGTGGCCCAGAAACCCAATTGGAGTGCGAATCAGCCAAGTGCAGAGATTTCCAGAACCTTTATCGGTTCTATGTATATATAATATATATATATTACATATATCGAATTTCTGATGACTCCACTTGGGTTTACTTTCGAAAGAACTGCACTTTTGTTCTAGCTAAATTTGCATTTAGTGATTTTTTTCTTTTTTGTTCTTAAGACCTTCGAATTTCTTTATATCGGATATATATTTTTTGTTCTCCAGTTTTACAAAGAATTTGCTAAGCAGCAAAAACAATAACAAGTCCGTAAAATGGTTCCTAGTAGACGTACGAATTTCCCTATTTGTTTTCTGGAGCAAATGCGTCATATAAAGTACCCATATGATTCAGCCGTGCCCGTGATATCCGTATATATGTATTTCTAGATATATATATATATATATATATCCAGATTTGACTGGTCTGCAGTTGGCCTGGAATCTTCTGAGGGCGCTTATCAACTCCCGATAAAGCGTAGAATGCAGCTTAAGTGCTATAAGAGATATAGATGTAGTAATATCATTTTTTGTCTAGCGCCTATTGCCAAGATTTCCCATTAGTTGCCAGGGGAAAATGATATACGGTTGTTAGCAATACAAAACAAACAGAAAATGCACTTAATTGAGGTAGATTTTCATGGGATTAATTGTAATTGTAATTGCCAGAGTTAGGTCTGTAAGGTACCATGTTTCTGAGATCTTAAGTTTGTTTTTGGGATGTTTAATCTAAATCTGATAAGCAATTGCTTATAACTTCTTAGGAAAATAAAATATTAAAAAGCTTAATTATACCTTCTAAAAATCTTAAATATTTTCTAGGAATTTCCCAAGCTTAACTGAAGACTAAACTTTAGGCAACCCGTATGAGGTACTTAACATTTATTATCAAAGTTTCTTTTGTGGCCCAGAACAATGCACAATTTAATTAAAATTCCTTGGGCGATATTCCCGACCTCCCTCACCATTATCCGATGTGTGGCAATCTATATGGCACATACAAACACACACACACACACAGACACACACCCAACATGGCACAATAATTTCCTTAATTGCCGCGACAAGAAAATCATAAAAACTAAAGCAGAAAAAAAAAGAAAAACTTGACGAAACTGACGCCCACAAAAAGCGAGGCAAGAAATTCTTGGGAATCGTCTGGCCCACTTTGCAAGGGAGTCTGAATCGGATATATCAGACGCAGCACAGCAGAGGGCAATCAAATATAGATTTGACATTGAAAAATAATATATTTTAAAGTTGTATAGATGATTTTCTGATAAGATAATTGGCATTTGAAATATAAATGAAAAATATTTCTAACTTGGGCAAAATCAATTACCATCTTAAGTTCTTAATAGTTTCCTTCATTATTATTCCACTTTCTTATGATGTTTATTTTTTAATTAACTTAAGCACTACTTTTTTACCCTCTGCTGTCAGCATATGTCCCTAAGTGCTTTACATGAACCAGAAGCAAATGAAACCATGGCGGGGCATTATTAATGTATTAATTGATCAGATCTCCGAGTGTCGCTAAATTGTGAATGGGGGAAGAATTAGTTTGTATATACTTTTTGATTGACTGAAATGGGGGAGAACTGCCAGCGGTGAGGGGAGGTTTGTGACCCCCTGTGGAGTGAAAGCTTCCCCAGAAAAAATAGAAAAAAGAACAGATTCCCCACTTGTTCACTTCTTTACTTCTCGATTTCCTGTTTGGTCACGTAGTCAAGTTTTTTTTTTGACAATAATTGGTGGCCATCATAAAGATATATATATATATATATATATATAGGAATAAAAGTGCCTCTGCCCGTTCTGCTAGTTCTTCTTTTATGCTTTTTTCTTTTTATTTCTTCTCATGCTGGACTTTGCAAGAAGTATGTGTATATACAATGATACTATATATAGAAACTAATGATGAAAAAATTGGATTTTTTTTTTGCCTGCTATCAATAAATTTTATTTATCTGCTGTTGTTCTTGACGATTCTTCTCGTTTTCGTGAAACAAAAACATCTCAAAGTGTGGAAACTTATTTTTTGTTTACTTTTTTCCTTGATATTTCGAAATATGACTTTGTTTCATTCGCTGCTGCTGCTGATAAGCATTCGATTTCAGAAGACACCTGTTTTCCAAGCGATAGGATAGTTCAGAGTTTTGCCAAATTGAATGGCCCACATAGGAAAATAAAACAACAAAAACAAAAACAAAATTAGAAAAATACAAATATGCACATCGGCTTTCTGCCGTCCCTTTCGCTCCTTTGGCTTTTCCCATTTTGTGCATTTTATTTATAGCCTTACAAATAGAGGGGCTTTTGGGGGTTACTTGGGGTAAACATGTTCGTCGGCATTTCGTACACTCGCCAAAAGGAGCCTGCCATTAATTCTAACTTCTTGGACCCCAAAATTAACCTCTTTTGATAACAAATCATATTATGGTTTGCAATAAGAGTGATCTGTACTTTTGACCTTTGCGAAACCTTTTAATAATATATAAAATTAAAATACTTAATTAACATTAATAGAAAGTCTTTGAAGAATAGAATCTTAACTTAATCTTATTGAAACTTAAGCATATTTTCTTTCTGTGTACTCACTTGAAAATGTTTTTTGGCCGCTGCTGATGTTCCTCTCGGTTTCCTCTCTTTTCTCACGCACTCTTTCTCTCGCTTTGAGTTTGCAATTCACCAAGTCTCTTCTTCACATTTGTGGAGCACGAAAAAAAACCAAACAATAAAAAATACAAACAAATAGCACTGAATTCTTATTTCTCTTTTTAAATATTAGCAATTATGCACGCGTTTCAATTGTTTTTTATTTTTTCGTAGAGCTTTTTATTTATTTGTTTTTGAAATTGAGAAATTATTTTTGTTTTGTTATGTTTTGATTATTTTTGCGGTTGCAAATGAGATCGTTGGCACAAATAATTGCATCAAGTTGAATGGACTTCTTCTTTGGGGGGGGAGGGAATTTTGAGTTTATCTCGCGATTTAACGGTGCTGGCTTTGGGTATATTCGTAGTGCTCCTTCCTGAAGTTTGGATCCTCGCCGCTCTCACATAAAATCCAGCGCCTGTCAACCATTACAACAAATCTTCCCACGATTCTTTTTTCCCCGCGGAGGCTTCAGTTTTGAATTTTTGGTTTCCGAACTCTCCCACACCCTTGACTCTTCGTCTTCTTTTTTATTTTGTCCACTCACTGAACTTTGGAACTGAGGAACACAACGATGCTACTATGGACGATCTACGAGCAGGAACTGCGTTCATATACACATCTCGATCTCGATGTCGGGCATATAGAATTGAATTTTTGTTATTTTCTGTCTTTCTGTTTCTTTCCCTGTTCCTCGGTCTTTATTTCTTTTATATTGCTTTTTAGGTCTGAACAAATTTCGAACCAGAGGCGAAGAATGCTGAGAAGCGACTGCCAGATCGTAGACATCGCCGCCAGCGCCTCGGTTGCCTCTGCCCACGTCGACAGAGGCGAGGCGTCTACGCCGGCTTTGTTGCTGTTGCTGGGGCTCGGGAAGATGCTCTCCGCTCTCCGTTCTCCATTCTCCGCATCAGAGATGCTGTCACAGTCCAGGAAAAATGTTACTTCTTTACAGACACCAAGTTTTAAGAATTTCCATTATTTAGTCAAGAATTATAGTAGTATCAAAATAATTAATATTTGTATCTAAAAACGAAGAGTGTTTTGATCAAACCTAAACTTGTGGAAATGTGGGAATCCCGTACCTCATTGTGTTCGTTGTTAAATTTCTAACAAAACTGCATTCATAGCTAAAAATCTTAATTTTGATACATTTTTCGCAAAAATATACGATGGTTACCCCTTATAGAAAATGCGAAATTTGGTTTCTCCTTATTTCCTCCTTTAAGTGACAGTATTATGCCCATAACTAAGCTAGTAGTGATCCGAATGTGGAATGACATAGCTCGTTGAATTCGTTATTACATTTACAACAAAACTGTATTCACACCTAAAAATATCAATTTAAGTCCATTTTTTTGAAAAATTACCCCGTATCAAAAATGAGAAATTTTGAAAAAAAATGATTTTTCGAAAATCAATCAAATAATGATAGGGAAAGTTAGTTTTGGTCTTTTGCATGGAAAGACTGTCATCCTTTTAGCTGTGGGTCTCATTTTGACGAAGTTATAATTAAAACCCGGTAAGGCGTATACTTGATTTTCTTTCGAAAATCAGTATTTTTATCACAACAATGCCAAGAATGATCGGAATATAGAATGTCATACCTCGTTGAGCTCGTAATTTAAACAGTTAATCACACAAGTGATCACAGTGACTGAGTAAACATCTCTATTGGGGATATCTGTAGAACTAGCTTAGCTCTCTTTTCCTCTCGCTCACTCTAGGCCAGATACGATGAGTGAATCGTGACGTGAGCCGAAGGAGGCAGTCTTCGCAATACATCAGATTCCATCTCTTTCTTCTAAAACTTCTCTCTCTCCTTCTCGGTAGCCTGATGATAAGCGATGCCGTTATCTGATTGCCAATGTGACACATTGAGGCGACGATGGGCCAACGCTTGTTGTTGTTGTCCCAGCTTTACGATCTGCACACGCACACACAAAAACAATGATAAGAGAAGACACCTCTTCTGTCTGCGGTCTTTGGTCTTCTGCACTCTTATCTTCCTGCTCCTTTATCTTTATCCGCACATTCTTGGCTCGGCAAGTGGTGAAATTTTCGCACTTACCGGTATTTATTTGTGTCTTTTTTTGGATAGTACATAGTAAGTATAGTTAGCTCGCAGAAATGTTTATGAGGCTTACCTTAATCGTGGCTCTAGGATTTACAATCACAGCGGTGAGTTTCAGGAATAGACTGGGATTCAGAACAAGATTACAAGTACATAGACGGAGAGAGCTACTGCACTAATGACCATAAAATGTAATATGAAAATACTTCTGATTATACTGAAGACGCAAAAAGGAGTGATAAAAAATGTGAGCTGTAAAGAACTTTAAGATAAAGAAGTCATTCTACGCATCGTTATAGTTACTTTTAAGACATATGAGTAGAACTAATTATATTTAACTTAATCTTTTTGAATAAAAGTAGTCTTTGAAAGTCTAAAATAAACATTTTTCATTCAGAAAACTTATAAATTTCGGCCCTAAGAATCTTGACTGTAGCTCACCTTTTCCCTTATCAGGCTAATTTTTTGTTTGATCCCTCAAAATTGAACAATAAAACCTGGTTGCGTCATTCAAATATTGTTTTGTTTTGTGTTCTATTGTACGCGTACTCGTGGGATCGCTGGAATTAATTTAAAATAAATGTGGGTCAATGGATTATCAATGCCCCGCATGAGCCGTCAAATGAACACATCACTCTTATGGTTACGATATACCATATAGCCGGGGATACCGTTATTATTATAGGTAGATAGTTCGATGAACACATGGCCAGTGCAATGACTCCGAGATCAGCTCCGTTTTTCCAGGTACGCAGATATCCAGAGAGACCGAAGCACAGAGTTCCATTTAAGGTTTTATAGCAAAAACGTGATCGGTCTCCCCACTTCTTCCCCGTGGCATCCCTCTAGGAAAAGCTTGTGCAAAATGCTAGTCACGTCCCATGTTTCTGTATCTGTATCTGTATCTCAGCCTGCATCCCAACCTCCGCAACCATTCTGTATCTGTATCTGTATCTTGGCTTGGCCAAAAGCCAACAGCCAACAGCCCTGCCAAAGCAAATTAGATAAGTCGTGTCCAACGGATAAATCTCGGCCATATTCATATTCATATTCCGGGAGACAAATTGATAACGGGCAAGCAACAACTTTATTGTCACTTTGCGGGACGGGAAATAGCTGCTGCTTAGGCTTATCTCCAAGACCTCGCTGGTAAAAAATAAATAAAAAAAAAATTAAACCAATGGAAATTAAAACAAAAGGTAAGCAGTGGTGTCATCGCCAACCGATTTGGGTTTGGCACAGCCCAACGGAAACTCAGATTTCCGTCTATTGGTTTTTCCCCCATACTCAACCGAACCACATATTTTCATTTCAGCTTATGAGAAATTACCCCATCTTAGGCAACTTACAAATAATTCCAGAGAAAATATAAAGTCAGCAAATGTGGCCACGGGGATTTAAGGTTTTCCAAAGTAAAATAAAATAAATTTAAATAATAAATAAAGATATTAACAAAGTTAATAAGAAATCCCGAAAGTAAAATCACAAAGCAAAGACACTCATTGGTTTTGTTTTTAAGTTTGTGTTTTAGTTAGTTTTGTGTCACAATTAAATTCATTTATTTTATAGTTTTGTTTTTTGTTGCTTAAATTGCGCTTTTATTTATTTACTTCAGTTTTTGTTTTTTGTTTTTCTTGCTGAACAATTTACAATAAACGCGGCCACTTTTTGTTTTTGAATTTTCCTTGCTTGCAGTTGTTGTTGTTGTAGTTGTTTATTTAATAATTATTGTTTTTGTTGATGTTGTTTTTTTTTTTTGTAATTATTATTTACTTTTGCTGCTGGCTAAACCTAAAAAGTTGTTTGCTGTTGTTTGCTGTGTACACGTACATATATCGAATATTTGTTTTTGATTATTTGATTTAATTAGTTTTTCTCCAAATCTTCCCCTTCGAACCTTCTAGTTTAGTTTCCATCGATTTTTCTTAGAGTTTTTATAGTTTCCGCTACATTTAATCGTTTTTTTTTGTCTTTAGGTGGGGGGCGTTGGAACAGTAAAAGGGGGAGGGGGGTTAAACAGTTAGCCAACAGTTCCTATATGCATATATGGCATTATATATATATAAATATATATATAATCTGGCAAACGATAACAGTGGAAAGCCAAAAAGGAAATGTGTGTGAGACAAAGGGGATTTCCCAGTTCTTCTTCTAGGCTTAAGATTTGGCTATTTTGAAATCGATTTAAATTTGTCACTACCAACACACAGACGCACATCAAGATATATATATGCTATATACCGTAGTTTATAATTTTTACTTTTACTTTTGGATTTGTTTTTCTGAATTCTGTATACTTCATATTGTATAGTTATAGTTATTATTTGCTTGTTAATTTTTAGACATTTACAATTACAATTACAATTACAATTAGATAGACACACACAATGCGATCCTAATTTAAGTACTTTTAATACGCCTCTGATTTCTGTATCCTTTGCTTCTTTTTTAGGCCCAAAAGTAGGCAGCATGAGTGCATGAGTGTGTGTGCAAATTACATGTGTGTGTGTGTGTGTGTGTATGTGTGTGTATATATAGTTCCAAGTTTCAAGTTCCAAGTTCCTTAGTTTAGCTAAGTCTAATTGCTATTCCGAAAGATCCCAGGATCAGTTTGATGTTTCACATAAATATATAGTTGCGCCCACTAAAGTTGCGGTCAAAATGATTGTAGTTTGGGCCATTTAACATCGAATATCAATAAAGTTTAAATATCCTCTTGCAGAGATATCTATTTACAGTAAACAATAACAAAATCAAATACGTTTGATCTAGAAACCTAAAATATAGCAATTATTTTTAACCCATTTTCATATATTTTGTACCAGAATCAAAAATCAAGACTTTTAAAATGCCTTTAGGACAACTTCTAAGACCCATGAACTTACAGATGATTGCTTTTAAGAGTTTTAATATTATACGTTTGTCTTAAAGTTTTTTTTTTCGGCATTATTAATAACTTTTCCCGCACTGCTTTTCTTTTGACCGCAACTACATACTCGTTTATTAGTAATATTTTCGAGGTTTACCCCGTTTGTCCAATCCGAAAATGTTTGGGAGAGATTCCTTTCCTTGAGAGAACCAAGTTCGTTGGGGCTATCAAGTCTCCCTAGTTTTTTTTTAGCCCCTTTATTTGTTTGTAAAGCTCACTTGTTTTTTTTTTTGTTTGTTTGTTCTAACTTCCTATAAGCTATCACACCTTTGACCCTATCTATCCTACTTCAATGCCCTCCGCCCAACGGAACTTGGCTCTCGCACTCTCTTCTCCAGCCCACTTCCACTAGCTGCTATAAATTTAATGTCTATTATTAACATAATTTATTCTAAACATTTACTAGAAACAAAACATATTAGCCCTCTCCTTCTAGCTCACACACAAAAACCCGCACAGTGAGCGGCAAATAAATATTATGATTAAAATCTTAGTTTTCGCTTTTCTTTTCTGGCGCCTTAACGATATGTGAGAGTGTGTGTCTGGGTATGCAGGTGACTGTGCGTGTGTTTATGTGTGCCAGAGGGAGGAGAAATTATGAAAAGATATTCCTTATTACTGTGATAAAGGAACTTAAGTCAACAATATAATTTTTCATATTTTTCAGATGGTTTTTTTGTTTGTTTTGGAGGAATGAGGGACTGTGTCAAAAGCTGTTTAAAATTGTACAGGCTGAAAAGCTGAATGCTATGTCATCACATGTTGACAAAAGTTGCCTGGCTTGTTTGGGTTTCTTTTTCATAATTTTAAATTTACGTAAGATTTCCGCCTTGATTTCCTATTTTCTTTAAGCTAATTCTCTTATTTTGAATATATATGTACCTCTTAAGATCGGAGAGTTACTGCACTTGCGTATTTTTGGTGTTTTTCGGTTACAGTTTGACATTTACTAGTGGTTTTTCTCTTTAGTTTTTTTCTTGGTGTTTTCGATTACGATCGTTTTGCTTTTCGGTTAATAATTAGTAATTCGTATTTGCTTGTATATTATGAGTATGAGAATAAGGTCTCGGCGGTTGTTGGTGTTGTCTTTCGTCTTTAACTTTTCGTTTTAAGTTATTTAAATAAATACATTCCGGATGGTTCAACAGATAATCGCTGGAGATCTTAAAACAACTATTGAGGGCGCCCAAAAGCAGGTTAATAACACTTGTTACATTCTGAAATGTTTTGCTATCTGAAATAATGGAATAACAAATTGAAAATATTGCTAGCAAAGTTTTAGAGATTCTGTTCGGTGGGGGAATTACATAGTTCCCATTTGATATAAAACCAATTCTACTTTCATACGTCATCAAGTAATTGTTTTAAAATATCCGACGATTCGGGCAAAACCTCCAGTGATCGATTTTGTTTTGTTCTTATACAAGCCTTTGGCAGTTTCTTATTTTCATCTTAAGTGGTGTTTTTCTTTCATCTGATTAAGAGTGAGATAGCTAGAGAGTGAGATGGATGCTATTATGGAAGTTTGTGGGGGGCTAAAGGGGCACTTTGAGGTAACTCATAATCAATCAACAAACATTCAAATATATCTAAAAAAAAAAATGGCAATAAAAACACTTCAAAATCTCGAGAGAACACGCGATACAGTGGCAGACAATTAAATGATTAACAACGTTAAAGTACATACAAACTAGGTAAATGAGTACCGAGTAGAGTACCTAGTATATATATATATATACATATATATACTCCTATATATGGTAATTCCCCTTGCCTAAGGATCTTGTAGAGACTTACGGATCCTAGCCGACTGCGATGACGGGGAATCCCCGCAGCGTATCTCAACGTTTCACCCCGAACAAATTCGGTATGGACTTGATCTTCTTGCGCGAGCAGTTCAGGTAATCCTTGTACATATCGGATCGCAGATAACGGGAGTAGGAATCGCTCTTCATCAGGTGATAAACATGCGAGGCGGCCACATCGAAACACCATCGATTCGGGCCACTCGGTGAGTTGACCGCCTCGCGTGCCAGCTCCACCGACTTCGAGTCCACGTTCACTGGGCAGGGGGCGTCGGGTGCTAGGAACTCCTGCCAGATCTTCTGGATGGCCTCCTTGATCTCGGACTGCGGCAAAGCCTTCATCTCCTGCACCGATTCCCAGAATCTAAAAGAATTCGAAAATAAATAATAATAAAAGCTTATTTCTCACATATTTTCTTGGCACTCACTTGAGATTCTCGCCACTGTACTCCTTCTCCAAGAACTTGGTGAACTGTTCGCGTCCGATGGCATCGTTGAGCAACTCCCTCAAACTGAATGCCCAGCGCTTCACGCGCCGCACAGGAACTTCTTTGCTATAGTGCAAAATGATAAGACAATATAATAATAACATATTATATTCTTCAATATAAATATCAATTAAGATTCCTTCTTTTTCAACAACTTACCTATTTTTCTCCGTATCCCACATTTCGGTGCTGTCCGTTTGCCAAGGATTCGGTAGCTCCGGCGAGGTTATAAAGTAATCGAACTCATTGTACTGATCATAGTATGCAACCAGACTATGGGAAAAATAATTAATAATTTAATCAGTAAATAATAATAATATATAACATACGCCTCGGCCGCCTTTGACACTTTGATTGTGCGCCGCTCGAGCTTCTGTTTGCGCAGGGCAATGATTCGGGTCAGCTGCTCGACGGGATTCTTGGCCAAGGAGGCTCCGGCAGATCCGGTTCCATGGCTCGATCCACCCCTTCTATACGCCTTCTTTATGTCAATCTCAGTGGTGTTCACGCAGCCCGGCATTGGCCGATGGACATCCCAAAAGGCCCGCTCCTGCGAGTCCAGAACCTTCCGCTCCAGCTTGTCCCGCTTCTTGGCCACCTTGCTCTGTGATTCAGCCTGGAAAAACAAAAAAAAATTTTCAAGTACACTTTGTAGTGCTACTAATAGCATTGCTTTAACTAATTAAACTACCTGCATAAATATAAACTCCCACTTCCTGGAGAACATTTTCTGCAGTTTTGCTAGATTCTCGGCCTCGTAGTCGGCCAATTCGAGTCGCGTTTTGTTCTGCATGGTGCGTTTGCAAAGGTAGACGGCATAGTCCGTATTCTCGGGTTCCCAGCAATTTGAGGGCCAAAAGTAGGGTGTCTGAAATCTGTCCAAGAATAACTTAAAGTTTCAGAAAAATCCAAATAAATGTTTTTGATGGAAGCCTACCTATAGAAGGTGCCGTCGTTCTTAACGGTCAACGCATGATCGTCGATGGGAAAAATGTAGCCATGTGAGCTGAGCAGGTGGGCAAAGTGGAGGGCTTCCGTCACGTCCTCCACGTCGAAGTTCTTCAGAATCCAGGCCACCAAGTCCGCTCCAGTGAACACCGATGGCACCTTGCTCATGAACGCCTTCACCGTGCGCACGGCCACGCCCGTCGACTCCGCCTGCATCTTCTCGATAATGGCCTCCATCTGTGAAAAGAATCGAGATAATCATAGAGGATTAATATTTTTTTTTTAATTTTTTGAATATTTATATAAAGTGTATTATACTTATGTTATTTATAAAGAATTTAATTACTCGTTTTAACCAAAAATGAAACTTTTACCTTTTTGTACACTAATATATTGGGTGCATCTTCGTTTTTACCGCCGCGCTGATGATGCGACGCCGATGGAACCGCCAATGCAGAGGCAGTGGGTGGTTGTGGCGGCTGGGCGGCCAACTGACCTGCCGACTGTTGCGAGTGGGCGTGGTGATGGTGATGATGATTTCCACTGACAGTTAGCAGACCGCCACTACTGCCGCTCTGCTTGCTGCCGGCCGCCGCCGTTGATGATGAAGTGGCGGAGGAGGAGGACGTGGTTGTGGCGGCAGCTGTCTTGACTCCCGATGTTGTGGATGTGGGTGCTGTGGTTGCTGGCGAGGAAGCCACAGTTGCTGCTGGGCCAGCAGGTGTTACAGCTGCTACTGTTGATTCTGCTGTGGCCAGTGTTGATGATCCTTCGATTTCCGGGAAACTGCCATTAGGCAGCGGCGTTGGTGATGGAGTGGCACCTCCACCATCGGCGGCGGTAGAGTGCGGCTCCGGTATAGCCACCGCCAGCGGATCGCTGCTGCTGTTGCTGCTGCTGCAGTCCGTCTTCGCCGGCGCTGCGGTGCTGCTGGCATTGGTGGCTTGTGTTTTGTCCGCCTCCGAATTCATCGTTACCATTTTCTCGAACGGCGCTCCAGGGATATTTGATTTCCAGAGCTGTGGCTATTTTTAAACGCTATGTGCAGGGGCGTGGGTGCCGGCTGCTAGTCGAGAGGCGGGTCTTGGAGGGTGGTGGTTGTTCTGGTTATGCTGCTGGTGGTTCTGGTGGTGCTCCTACTACTCCTTCTGCTTCTGTTGCTGCTATTGCTCCTTCAATAAAAATGGGGTGGTGTTTTCCCAGCTCTCCTATGTGCGCGTGTGTGTGTGTGTGAATCAATTTGATGGCTAAAAGAATTTGTATTTAGCTTCTAGGGGTCATTTAGCCTTTTTTAATGCCATTTTTCCAGCGTTTTCCACCCGCTACTCCACGATTTTTCACTCGGCTTTCCTTTCCTTTTTCTGCTATTCCGTTTTCTTTTTTTTCCTGTATGCTTGAAATTTATAGGAGTTATGGCACACACACACACACGCACACAGGGCGATGGATTGTTTATAATTATGGCCCAGCAGTTTTCCTTGTTTTATTATTGTTTTATAGATTTTTTCGTTTCCTTTTTAATTTAATATTTGTTATATTTTTAGCAGGGATTTTTTTCGAAAGTTTTCGCTTGCTGTTGCTGTTGCTCCTTGTTCCCTGTCTCTTTCTCTCTTGCTCTCTTACTCGCCCTCGCTCGCTCTTGCGCGACGTGTTTTTTAGCTTTTAGCCCGTAATCATTTTACGGCCCAAAGTCAATCGGCTCCTTAGAGCTTCCTGCTGATAGTCCTTCATCGATTTTTCGTCCTTCCTACCCCAAAAACTCTCTCTCGGCTCGCTCTTCCGCTCTCTTTTAAGCCTGCGCCTGCGCGAATACCGTTGTTTACATCCAGCCAGCTGTTGTATATATCGATAGCACGTACCGGAAGTGGTATCGAGAATTATTTATATCGAAATGATTACATAAAACTTAAAAACTTTCGAAACTTTCTTTGATATGTTTTATATTTTAATCACAAAACACACTATATTTTCAGTTTGCTTTATTTCGATAATAAGAATTTGCGTCTACAAATTATTTTATTCGTTTACAATTAACAAAAAAAAATAAGTATACATTTAAGTATGGTATACGAACTAAAGATTTAATTAACGCATAGTGTTCATTAGTTGCATAGCGTGATTTTTTAACTTATAGTGACCTTAGTTGTTATGGCTTTTATACAAAGTTTTGCAATGATTTTGGAAAACATTCAAAAACAGATTATAATAAATAGAAAAAAATAATACATATAGTGTGTTTACGTGTGTGTGTGTGTGCAGGATAAAACAGAATAGTTAAGGCTAAACGAAGAAGCCTTCGTTCCTACAGATATCGATAAAGTATATATGTATTTTACTGCCCCTAAGACTATGTGGTGTCTATAGCGCCTAAACTTGTTTATTATTTACATAGGTTTGTGAATATATATATATATATATCCGATTTGGGGATATAGGTACTTATATATTGTATAAATGTGTATAAGTGTGCGTTTGTTGCAACTCTGTCAGCGATTGGCGATATATACCATACATCGATTGTCGAGAGGTTGGCAGCATCGCCATCGAGAGGTTGGCAGCAGGACCAAATAGGGGTTTATCTCTTATATGACCAGCTCTATATAATGTATGTAACTATTTGTTAGTGGTAGCAAAGAATGTGAAATAAACTTGAATTGAGCTTGATTTTCGATTGATTATGATGATGATTACAAGGAGTATTCATCTAGAAAACACAAAGATATCAATCACAAACTAAAGAAATGTTGAAATAGCAAAAATGAGACCATTAGCAGGGTTGTGGATTATTGCTGATCCAAAGTTTACACACATTGGGGGGAATAATGAAATTGTATGAAATGAAGAAGAAATATTATATGGAATCATTAGAATTTTTCTATTAAAAGTTCACGGCTTTCCATTTCGTATCGTCTAGGATTTCGTCTGGGATTCGATAGCGGATTGGCCTCCCTATAGATCACATTTTGACACTACGTTTATCAATGACATAGAACCATCATTATCGACATGATTACTCAGATTATGATATATGTAAATATATTTAGTATTACTTCTGTTGTTCTCTTGACTGTCTTACCGATCTCTCCCTGTCCCGATCCCGTTCCCTTTCGGACCACAAGGGCTGGCCACTTTGGGCCTGATAGGACAGAGGAGGAGGCGGCGGTGGTGCCGCCAACTGAGCCTGAGGCACCAGTTCCGCCTGCGGATTGAACTGATTGTTTGTGTTGTAGTTGACGAGTATATCGCCAGCCAGGCTGTGACCAATATTCACACTCCGATCGGGATAGCCCTGATTCTGAGCTTGCACTTGAATGGGCTGCGATTGAACCTGCTGCGGTTGCTGCTGCTTGTTCCTCCAGTGTTTGTGCTGGGCCACGGGCACCAGGCGATATAGGGGTTCCGCCGACGGAGCACTCGGATATCCCGGCACATAGTAGGGAGGATAGTGTGGATGCGAATGGGGATGACCCTGTTTGCTACTGGGTCGCACTCTCTTGAATTGTGGTGGGGGTCGCTGCCAGAATTGCAGAGGACTCGACTGGACGGGAGATGGCGGCCTCAATTGCTGTGGATCTTCCAAAAACTGAGGAACTGGCGTGCTGTATATTTGAGGCTCATAGATCTGCTGCTGCTGTTTGCCAACCCGGTAATGACGCCCCGGCAGATAGGAATCTGGTGGAGCAGCCTCCAGATTTGGATCCAGCTGCAGCTGCTGTTTGCCCACCCGCAAGTGACGCTGACGCTGGCCAGGAGGCTGGTAAACTATGGCCTTGAAAGCGTTTTGATCATGCTCATCCGCACTGTAGTTCACCATGGGCAGGAAGGGCTGCTTGTCAAAGTCGGGGGCCTGAAATTATAAACAAGTCATATATATAAAGCTTCTAATTTCCGTTTTAACAATTCCGCCAAAAAAGAAAACAACCTAAAGGTGTGCAGCACTTTTGAGCTCAAAATGTATCTTGAAGTTTTAAGCTTTTCGTCTTAAATTCAAAAGCTCAATGACTTGGCTCACAGATGGCGCTTAACGAATATTATATTGCCTACATTTCAGCGCTAAATTTTATTTGCGGATTGAATAGTTAACCTACCTGGAATCGTCCCGAATTAGATCCTCCCGGAGGTGAGATGAGGTTGCTCCTTAGCAGCTGACCCAGGGATGCCTCGTACTCTGCGTGTAACTGCAACTGGGCAGTCCTGGGCTTTGGCGTGATGTTGACCACTTCGGGAGCCACATCGTTCGCCGGACTTGGCGATGCCTTGTAGTGTTGCAGATGTTCTCGCTGATGGTGATTGTTATTATGATGATGCCGCTTGGGCGGTTTAGTGGCCAGGAAGTCATCAATGACATTGGATTTGATTGATCCCGGCTGCCGCTTGGCCTCGAAATACTCATAGTAAATGGGATTGGACTTGGACAGCGGAGGATCCAGTGACTGATCCTGGCGACTGCCCTCCGTGGAACTAGACACAAAGACCAGCTGGGGTCGAGGTGTATAGTTGACAGGATAAATGGGTATGGGCACGGCCACCGGAACGGGCACACGCTCCACATATTTCGGTGAACTCTGCCTGGGCGGTGGTGGCAGATAGGTAATCCCATTGTATTTGGGTTTGTACGATGTCCGCACGGGTGGCAATTGCGCTGGAGGCCTCGACGTGGTAGTTGTTGTGCTTGTCGTTGTAGTACTGGTCGTACTAGTAGTGGTGCTACTGGAAGACTGAGGTCTCCTGGTCGAGACACTACCCTCCAGCCGGCTGAAGTGATCAGGTGGCGGGGGAAGGACTATGCCCGGCACCAAAGGACCTGGTGGCACCGGATTCGAGTAGTTGCTTTTGTAAACAAACGTATATGCCGGTGGATAGTACAGCGATGGATCGTCCTCATCGAAATCGCTGACATTACCGGGAAGTTGGGAATCACCGACCAATGAACCATTGCCATTCAATCCGTTGATTAACCAAGGACCCAAGAGCGGTGGAGTCCTTAGCAGACCCTTGGACGCCACCGTGTCGTTGGGGTAGAGCAACCAGGGGGCATAGGGCGCCGGATAGACGTAGGCCGGGGCATCCGGGCTATCACGGGCATCCGTGGACTTAGCTGCCGGAGATGCTGCAGTCGCTCCCGTCCGGGCAACAGGATGCGATGCGCTATTTTCACCGGCGGCGCTTTGGTGGCTCTGGTAGTTGGCGGTTTTAGAGGATATCGTTGCATTGCCAGACGCCGGACGGAGGATCTCGAGTTGATTATCTCGGATAAGCTGCAGCGGCCCGTGCGGTTCGAGCTGCACAGGAAATGGAGGCGGCACCGCCGGATTTGCTGGTAATTTAATCTGTCTTCCTGGTGCATCATAGTCATCAATGGCCGGCCAAGGACCATGCTGATTGTCTTCCGATTCCTCATTTAGTGCTCCGCCCTTGATTACCAGCAGGTGATCCTCGGCCAGCCAGATGTCTTCCTCGTTCAATCCACCATAGTTCCGTTCGTTGTCTAGCGGAACCTCCGAATTGCGGGCATAGCTCAGCACTCCGGGCCGCTTGGGAACGCGTCGAAAGAGCTCCTTCTCGATCAAACCATACTTTCCATCCCTCACCTGATCCGCCAGCGTCTTCTTTTGGTCTTCCTTTGGCTGTTTCTTGGCTGGAGCCTCCGCTTCCTTGCCAGAACCGGCGCTCAGCCGCAAGATGCCATTGTCCCAGTTATCAAAGTCATCCGGTTCGTTGAGCAGGGCCTCATCATCGTCGGATTCCACCTGTCTATACGAATTCGGCGTATTGGATCTCGGGGGAGGCAGTGGAGTCGTTGATCGCGAGGTGCTCGGAGGATTACTAAACCGCGTGTTGGCCACAGTACTGGTTAATCTCGGCCTAGACGAGGGTTTGGCCAGTCGGTAACTGCTGCTCGCTTTGCTCCTCGAAGGAGGCTTTTTTGTAGTCGTCGATGTCGTTGTCGACGGCGTCGTAGTCGTCGTAGAAGTACTAGTACTCCTAGCCGTCGTCGAAGGAATATACGTGGATGAGGAGCTGTTGGCGCTCACCGCCGACACCTCGTAGGTGGAGTGGCCCTGGGCATTCTGGATGTGTCCGGCCACCAGCCGTTGGATCATTCGGGGTCTGACAATGAAATGGAATTTGAAAAGGGATATAAAACCAAGAATTTTCACCTTAGTACTGGAAAAAACAAATGCACAGAAATTCCCTATCCTGATTTTTAACACAAAAGAATCAGAATTTTGATCATAACGAAGCCAGAAATTGTCCAAATGTGGAGTGCCATACCCCGTTGAATTAGTAATTAAATTTCCAACAGAACTGCATTCACACCTAAAAATCTGTAATTACTACCATTTTTCTCAAAAAAGACGATGTTACTTCTTATCGAAAATCCGAAATTAGGTTTCTCCTGATCTCCACACTTAAATGAGTATTATGCCCAACACATAACTAATAGTAGTCCGACTCTAGAATGGCATACCTCGTTGAATTCCTTATTAAATGTACAACAAAACTGCGTTCACACCTAAAATTGTTAATTTATATCCATTTCTAGCAAAAAAAAGACGATGTTTTCCCTTATCAAAAATGCGAAAAATTACGAAAATAATTTTTCGAAAATCAACTAAAAAATGATAAGGAAAGTTAGTATTGATCTTCAGTATGATAAAACAGTCATTCTTTTAGCTGTGGGTCTTATTTTGACAAAGTTATAACTCAAACCCGCAACAAAGTGGGAAAATTTTCTGTCAAAAAGCGTATACTTGATTTTCCATCAAAAATCAGTTTTGAATCCTTAAATATCCCATCCTAAGTAACTTATCCTAAGTATCCTATTCAAACTATAAATATCACTCACGTTTTCAGTGCTCCTCGACTGGAAGTGGTGCTGGGAGTGGAACTGAAACTGTAACTGGAAGTGGGCGCGTGGGCCTGGTAGGGGGAGGCAGTCGGTGAGGCGGACTGCCAGCTGCGTCTTATACTGGTATCCCCGCCCAGTTCCGGTGTGTCACGCGGTTGACGCGGCCCCCGCACACTTCCTCGATCCCTGGAAGATCTTCCAGCTTTGGCAGTTGCTTCTGTTGTTGTTGTTGTTGTGCTGGACGTGCTACTGCGTCGTCGCTGCAACACTCTGCCATTTGTTGTTGCCGCTGTAGTTGTTGTTGGTGTTGCTAAACTGCCACTGCTGCGACTGCGACTGCGAATCGGGGTCACCGTCACCGTTAAATCAATTGATTGCGTCGTAGGCGGACGACGCTGGCGTGGCGCCCTCAACGTTGGCGCCTCTGTGCTCGTTGTCGATACCGGCACGCCCCCCGTTACCCTGCCGCCCAGTCCTAGCCCCTCCACGCCCTGGGCGGCAAAGCCTCTGCCGCGCTGTCGCGTCGCTGCTGTTGTCGTAGTGGCTGTTGGTGTCGTTTGTGACGCCGCCGTCGACGCCAACAGAGCTATCACTATCAAGTGCAAGGTTAACGATGCCATCTGCAAGAGGTAACAAAAACACAAAGGTTAAATGGGTGTTATTAAATCAGAGGTAGATAAATGATTTTCAACCTGTACCGTGGGTTGGAAGTTATTGAATGAAGTTTGCCTAAAACTAACTTAAACTTAGTCTTTTGATATGATTATGTAATCTATACTCGTGCATAACATACTGTGTTGTAATAAAACAATAATAATAAAATTAAACATATAATAGACTTCAATTACACTTTTCTTATTAAGTACATCCCTTTCGATATACTCTCAGATGAGATCTCCTAAAATCCCTGACTACAATGGCTTAAAGCAGTCTCATTCAGCCGTTAAATTGGAAACAGCAAAAAAAAAAATAGGCGAGAAATGGCCAAACCGCTCACAATCGTTTTTGCCGCTGCTGTTGTTGTTGTTGCGAGCGGTTAATTAACATGAATGAGCAGATAACAATAACAAAAACATGCCGTAAAGTTTTCAGCACGCGTCGCTTGCAAAAAGCAGCAAAAGCAAAAAAAAGTGAAGACAAACGAAAAACCTGAAGCCAAAATCGTTTTTTTTCCGATGCACTTGAGCGCATCGTTTGGGAGAGAGAAGAGGTGCGACTTGAAGTTGTAAATACGTGATTTTTAAACCATTCGATTGCATAATTAAAAATAACAAAATGTCAGATATATGTATTATTATTTATATTTATATTATATTATACTTTTTATTTAGTTTTCAAGAGATAACCCCATTATTTTAGCAATCTCAACTCAATTTTGAAAGATTGGCAAATCCTTTGGTTAATATCTAAAGTATAAGGGAAACCCCACAGCAGACATTCTATCAAAAGTGTACTTGCAATTACGCCTTTATGGCTGTGCTTTTTACGCCACTTGAATGGCCGAGAGAACCTAGGCTTGTCCGCCCATCAATTTAATAACACAATCCAATTCGATGGCAGCGTGGCCCGTCACTTTCGACGCCCCGAAAATGCCAAAAGCGAAATCAAGGACAAAGTCTTTGAAGAAATCGAATCATAAATAACATTTTACTTTTTGTATTTTTGTATTTTTCTGGGCATTACTCATACGCGCCGTGGCTAATTGACCAAAAAGCGCGACAGGTTGAAGACTTTTTCTATTCCATTTTTGTATATAGTTACATATATATATATGAACATATAGCTGGCGCCCACAAGTGCAGGCGCCAAGCTTAAAGCATTTTTGTTGTTGGGCGCAGTTGCCAAACCCCCAAAAAAAAAAAACAATGCAAAGTGCACTAACAAAAACAAAAACAAAAAAAAGACTGAAACCAAAAAATAGAAACAATCAAATGGAACGTGATTCGAAGCCGAAACTGAAACTAAAACTAAGACTGAAAATGAAACTGAAACTGAGACCGAGTCTGTAGCTAAGAAAAAAATAAAAACTAAAGCCCAAAAACTGGACTTGGACTGGACTTCGGTAGGAATGCGTTGGATCGTGTGCCTTGCGCCTGTCCACTGCGCTCCAATTTCAGCCTTTATTTTGGTTTTATTTCGCTTTTATTTTATTCCGTAGAATAAGCCAGCAACTGCTGCCAAATTGTTGTTTGGCAATCAAAAAAGAAGTTAAGACAAAAAGCCAGCCAAGTAAATAGGCTTGGTAAGACAGCCACAAGGAAATACTCTCTAGGTTTGACATTTTCCCTTAATTATGTGCTAATTTAGAAGCTTTTTCCTTTAAATTTAATTTCTAATCAAAATTCCAGTAAAATCTCATCATAGAAGTTTAGGAACTTCCTTCCATAACATCTTTTTCTATTAAATAAACTTAAGCCACACTTTTAATTCACTAACTTTATCACTTAGCTAAAATACTCTTGCTGTATAGTTCGCTTTGGGCGTAGAGTATCATAAACAGTAAATAATGAAAACTGTTCGCGTGCGCAGTGGTCGGTGCCGAACCTAACGGTGCCTGTAGTGCCATTGCCTGCCCGATCCCCTCGGACCTCCTGATCACCACGATCTACGATCTGCACCACCGCCAGAGAGATTCGTCATAGAGGCGACCACGTTCCTGGCCAAGCCTTGGTGTAGCCGCCAGCCAGTTTGAGGCATTTTTCATAACCGCAACGAGGGTACTACAAAGTGGCTTAATTTTCAAATTCGCCATTATTCGGACTAAGATCATGGTTTTTATTTTCCCAAAAAAAAAAACTATAAGAGAGCTAAGAAAAATGTAGAATAGCTAGTCAAAGAGGTTTAAAGTTAGTTCTTGGTTAGTTTATAGGAAAACGAAAATGTAAAACACATTTATTTAGATTTTTAAAAAGGGATTTGGAATTAAAAGGATATTTTTGTAGGCAAAAGGAAAAAGTAGTTTAAAAATATCCTATAATTTATCAGGCAGTCTTCTAATTCAGAAAATCATGTAAAAAAAAATATACATAAATTATATATATTACTTTCTCAGCACTTAATTTAGCCACAAATCTTCAACTTAAATCCCAATTCAAGAGTATCCCAGTTCGGTTCGATTAAAAGCACAGAAAACCTGCCTTTCCTATACATTTTTTGTATCTCGTAGGCTTTTGTGTTTTGAATGAAAGGCAACGTCGTTGTCTTTGGCTATTGGCAATAAATAATTCTTTGTTGTTGCTGCGCCTGTTGCTTTACTTAAATTTAATTAGTTTATTTGAAAGCAGTTTGGGGCGATGGTGTCATAGATTAAATTGGACTCAATTCATTTTTTTCTGACCGCTGTTCGTGTTTCTTTTTTCTGCTTCAAAATTATCTAATTGTTCTTGTTATTTCGTTGAATTATATCCCAGACATTCCTTTTGCCTGTTCTCGATTTACAGTATAGTTTTTAGCCAACTTTAACTTATTTCCGCAACACTTCGTAACGCGGCACAATTCGAACGAGAACTGCTGGTAGAATTATGTTTTCGTGGGTGGCTAATATGATTTTTAGAATAATTATTTTTGATTTTAGAATAAGTCAACGAACGCTGTGCTCTAATTAGTAGCTGACCAAAGAACAATAGAAGTACCAGACCAAGTCGAATGACAATAAGCCCTAAAATTATAATTGAAATGCTAATCAAAAATATGTACAAAATTCATACAGGGATTTAGAGCGGAGAAAGAGATTTTCCATCGTACATCGTGTGTTATATAAATAAATGATCAAAATTAATATGTTGTAACTTTGGCTGGGGCGTAACTGCCCAATCGAATTGGAATTGAAGTGAAGGTTAATCGGCGGCGATGGTCGATGATTGATAGGAATGGAAGGGGCAATGGTTTATAATAATTTATAATGTTTAAATACGAGTACAGCATATAAAATATGATTAACTAGATTGTTATATTTGGTTTGTTATTTTCACAATTTTACAGGTTTGAAAACTTCACCTGAGGCTGGGACAAAATGAAAATCCGTATCGAGGTCTTAACATGGCCAAAAGTAAGTCACTTGGCTATCGCAGACCAAAATCAGAGACGGGAAAATACAGGCCACAAAATGAAAACAGCCACGAGGCTTCACTGTGGGGGCGAACTACCCTGGATATCGTGTGGACCCCTCAAGACTCCCCCACCCCCCTCCACCAATGTTGGGACATGAGCTGCTGGTTAACCTACCTCCCTCCCTGCCCCTCAAAATCTTTCAGTTTGCATACATATTTATTTTGCCGCCAAAGCAAAATATTTTGTGCTGTTGTTTCACGTTGATACCTTTCGTTGAACGTCGCTCGCAATGGTCTGGAATTTTAAATAAATGCGATTTAGTTGTGCAACAATTTGCCTCGCTTTGCCTTACTTTACTTTACTTTTTTCCTATTTTCTTGGACGCCACTTGCTCTCTGTGAATTTATGGTAAATAATTAAAGTAACAAAAAAAAAAATAAAAGTGGCTTGTAGACAAGACAATAACAACAAAATAGAAGGCAACAATATCAGGGGCAATGCAACGCCGAAATACCCCATAAATACTGGGATGTTAGATAAGAAAATAATTGAAAACATTTTTAAATTATATTGCTAATATCTGTAAGTATTTAATTGCCGTTATCATTTCGGACTTATCTGTGGCATTTGGGTTTACATTTGAACATTTTGTTGCCTATTTCTTGCTAACTCATTAACTAGGGGATAAGCTTTTAAGGTATTTATCCCTTAATTGACTGTTAAATTACCATTAAATTGGAGGTGTATTAATAATTCCGATCTGTTAAGAAGTCTTCCTGTTTTCATCCGAAGATTTGATATAAAAAGGAATTTCAATGATTGTTTTTAAAGGCTTCTTTTAAAGATGTTTAAGTAGTCAAGAGTTCTTAAGTTGTACAATGTATAGGAATCCCTTTAATCCAATGTAACTTTCTTTAGCTCGAACTACATCCCACTGATTTCTGCAGGGTATCAAGTGTGCCTGTCACTTCCTGGCTTTGCGTAAGCTCTAAACAATTTTTTATGAAGTATTATCGTTGGTCTTTCGTTGGTTTCTGTTTCTGTTTATTGGCAACGAATATCAAGAGGTAGTCGGGGCATTAACCAACCCAAGTTAACAGCTATGATAAACACCTGTGGCCAAAATAATATATACTTTTTTATAAAAAATTAAAATGAAATATACAAATTATGAAGTAAGGCAGAAAATTATATTAAAATTACTTGCTTAAAAACACTTGCTTATTGGTTTATATTCCTTGCTTCTTCTAGACCCACAACTATTTTTCCGACCCTGTCTGTTTTATATATATTTCATTCTGTATTCCGTCGGGTCTGGTGTGAAAGCGAGAGTCCGTCGTCGTTGTTATTATGGGTAAAGTTATGCTCGACGCGTAACTGGGCCACCAACAACAACAACAACAACAACAGTAACAACGAGAAATGTTTACAAAATATTCATTGATTTAAAATGTGGTATTTCTGACTTTATTGCCGAGCTTTTTTTTCGGGTGAATTTTTTATTGTTGTTGCGGGTTGATTGATCAGGCTGCAGTGTGATGCAATTATGAGGGAGTTGTGTTTTTTTTTCGTTTCATTTTTGTTTTTTGTTACATTTTAAAGTGGAAATTTTCCCCCAGCAACGTCCAATGGGGCGTATGCGTAATCTTGGGCACATACATTCCACGGATTGCGCATACGCCGCATGGTCGGCTAGCAAGAAAAACCATTGAACCCTCAATTAAACGGAATCTTGTGTCATTTTCGATACCAATATATATAACTTGGGCGTGTCTCTGAAACCCCAGTTGAAATTGCAGTTCCAGCGCGAAACAAGCAATAAAAAAATCACTTGATTAGGGGGGCAAATCGGTGGAATTTGGACTGGCAGGGGGCGCTGGGTTGTAACTAGGGGAACTGGGCGTGGGAAGCGTGCAACAGCAAGAGCCAAACCAAACAACTTTATTATGCAAAGTGCCCAGAATGCCCCTTGTCGTGGCCAGATATTCCTCCATTCCCCTATTTACCATTCCCATCATGATTTTGCCCTAATGACAAGCTGCCTACTTAGCTCTCCACCTCTACATGTATATATATATATATATATATATATATATAAATATATATAGTTTACTAACTTTAGTTCCCACTTATAGAGCCGTTCGATTCGTGTGCCAGTGTTTAAGCGAAAAGGGCGACAGCATTTACTTTTCCTTTACGTAATCATGGAAATCTTGTAAGTTTGGTATTTAAAATCTTTCAATTTGCTAACAAACTTATCAAATACGCTTAAATAAACCTACTTCCATACCGGTCGGCTAGTCTTATTGATGTGACACCTAGACCCATAATGCCAAAACTCCTTTTTGGAACCACAAGTGCAGCCACTCTGTGAAATGTTCCCACCTAAAACCGCAAATGAATCACGTAGTTTTGAGCTCCCCTCCCTCAAAGACGAAGAAATCGAATTGCCTGCGGTGCGGAGACATGCAACATATATTGCATGTTGCATGCTGCTGCTGGTCGTCGTCGGCATGCCCGGTGATTGACACCTTTTAACTACCGTGACGCAATGGGGCGACAACAGCCGGGCCAAGTGACACATTTCCACAGGTTTTCTTCTTGTTGTTGGTGTTTCTTTTACCACCCGACGACTGGCCACCCACCGGCTTCTTTTCCCAGGGGGAAAATAAATGTGGCCTATGTTAGAAACTTGAATTTTCGTACCGAATTTTCACCCGATAATCTATAATTATAATTGCCAGTCAGTTGGCGGCGGTTCAGCAAAAGCTAATGAAAATTGCCCAACAGCACTTATGCAACATCGATCTGGAATGGTTTTGGATTGGATCAATCCGCTATATAGCCACGCCTCGATCTCGAGGCCCTCCCGTCGCGTCGGAGTGTGTGTGTTTTGCGTGATTTAGTTTTGCCCGTCGCACATTTAGTTAGCATAATTCACTCTCTAATTGTCAACGACAGGCGAAGAATGTGGTTTCCACACAGCGAAAATATACTTGAAATTATTTTAATTTAAACTTTAAAAAATATATAATAAAGAGTTAACTTTCTGGCAAGATAAAACCTATAGGTCATGCAGAGAATATAATAAATTTATCAATTATTTAAAATTCGTTTTATTAGTAAATTATATAGACAAGTGTTTAGCTATCAACTAAGATTTCCTTACAGTGCATCTACATGGCTGTCATTGTCAATATGGTTGGGTTCCCATTTCCAATTACAAAAGCGAGCTACACCCACCGCCAGGCTGGGAGGCTGCATGATCGACTAATTACTATATATATTTATATAGATATATCTCTGGCAAGTAGAACTGATCAAAAGGCGATCATGTCGTATGAGGGACAACCAGTGCGATAAAATCTAAGCAGGAAACTTATGGGAGAAAAAATGGATGGAAAAATGGGATTGGCTATGGAGCTATGGAATACATATATATGTATATGAAAGTTGAAATTATAAAGCCATAAGATTAGGTGTTTGTGGCAAAATGTATCATTTGTTACTAACTATTGGTAATGAAGTCATAAACACGATCATTATTTGTAATTCGAGATGATTAATTGGCTTTAGTTTAAGATTAAGTTTTATACTTTAAGTTTAAGTATTGCAGATACTAAGTTAAGCTTCATTCTAACTTGGAGTTTTCAATCTTTGAGCTCCCCCCTTTGAACACCTTGATAACCAAAGGTTAATGCATTTCCGTTTCCGCAGGCCAAGTGTTTTTATTTCCATCATTGATTTCCTTTTGGAAACTAACTATTTCTTTTTCTGTTTTCCGTTTGCCGTGAAAATTGTTTTATGCAACTCACCTTTGGGTCTTGAGATATCACAGAATGGTTTTTGTGCATTAGAAAACGGCGACACTTGCTGTTGGTCGTTGCTCTGGTTTGTTCCTAAACTTGTCGTTCTTGAGTTCTTGTTTTTGTTATTATTACTTCTTGTGCTGTTGTTGTTGTTTTTTTGGTGTGAACCAAAAGATTTCCAGCAATTTTCTGGCTATTTTCGCGCTTGGCCTTTGTGCTTTTCGCTTTTTGCCCCACTTGGGAGATCTGGTAGTGCCGGGAGTTATTTACGCTACTTTTTTATGATTTTCGCAAATTACTTTTCGTTGGGCAACTTTTGGTGTTGTTTATTGTGGTTGTTATTGTAGTTGTTGTTGTTGCTGCTGGACACATTTCCGTTGGCAGCAACAACATGACGCAGCGTTCTGACCGTCAATCAACGAACTGCAAGAAATTAAAAAAAAATACTTATTATTATCCAATAAAAAGACGTTGTGGTTATTAAACTTCGTTGATAAATGCAATTAGCAATAAATAAGAATGGGTTTTCCAAACATTCAAGTTAATAAAAGCATAGGCATGGGTATAAATGTAAATATCATAACATATAATCCGATATTATACAACAATTCTTGGTTATAAAATAGTTACAGCCTGGAGATTTGCAACTCTACTCATAAATCAAATTAGTTTGAATCAAAAAGAGGTAAGAAAAATTGTAAGCTAACTATTATTGAAAGACATATATGATAATTAATGATTGTTGTGAAGTATTAACAACCTGAAGTCCTGAAACTTTGCTCATAAAACCAATTAGTTATGATCTCAGAATGCCACAAAATTCAATCAACTTGAACCACTGAAAGTTGAGAAACTGGAGATTGAACTGATTTACAGATCTCAAACACTTAATATGAGCAACAAGAATGGTAATGAAACCGCTGGCAGCAAAAAAGCAAAGCCGATTCAAAGTTTAATTACGCTTTTAATTAGGGGATTTATAAGCGGAGGCAGCGGTTCTACGATTTCCACTATTTCCACAGGCGAAAGGCGGAAGTCCATAGTTTCGCCAGCTTTTTTTTTTTTTGGCTTTAGCTTCAGCTTTAACTCTTTCTTTGGTTGTGGATGCAACACCTGGCGGTGGATTGTCACCGGCCATTTGGATGAGTGTCCATCCAGCACCTCTGCCTTCCGTTCCATTTTCCCCTGAATAATTGCCACATCAAGAAGTGAAATGATAAATAAGCAACAATATTTTCCAAAGTACATCAAAACTACATTAGGCCGAGCAACCGAGCAACCGAGCAGCCAACCAACCAACCAAGCAACGTGTGAGCATCGGACTGACCCATTTATCGAGTGCTGCCCGTCGTCTCACCCAGTTGACTGTGATGTGTTAATTAGTCAAATGTTGGTCAACACTCTCAGCTGTCTGTTTGGCTTGGATTCCAAGTGGTCTTGGCATTTTCTTGCCATCAGAGAGGCCGAAGTACTACTTTAAAATATATATTTTTTGAGTTGCCCAAACAGATTACTCTGTCAATGACAAATTTTTAAGTGTGTTTTTGTAACTTGACTTAAGTGGTAAGATTATCAATGGAGAGTAAAATCCTTAAGCTTTTCCTATGCTATGTGAGTTTACATATCAACTCCTTGTAAACAGTTAATCAATCTCCCGTAATAAATCTCCCTTCTTCCTTGCCTCATTTCCTTTACATTATTTTTGAAGTTTATTGGGATTTTGCAACATTATTTCTGGCATCTGCGTACATCGTTTTGGCTTTTTCCTGCGTGCAGTGCTTTTGTATGCCAGGCACAAAAATTAACAACAAAACTTAAAAAAAAAAAAAGAGAAATAAAATCGGCAAAAATGATTTAATAAGTCGCCGGACGGCGGAGCACGGCAACAACAAAACCCATAGGCAACCGGATATCGGAGTCGAAGTTGAAGTTGGAACTGAGTAAATGTTTTGCAATTTCCCTAAAAGATCTGCAAGAGCCGGCTGGTATCTGTATCTGTATCTGATTCACTATATATGTGTATATATATGAGTATGTGGCATGTTGCAATTTGCACATGTGCGTGTGCCACGATCTGCAGTTCCTCAATTAAACAGCACTTGCATATGCAACTTTATTTGTTTTTACCATCCATCGTTAAGCTCCCGAAAATTAAGTCCAGCCAGAGCCGATTAATGGTTAAGCGTTTTAATGCCCCGCACTCGAAGTGTTGATCATCATGAGAGCAGCATGCGGACACCAAACACTGCACTTGCCGAAAAATATTACAGAAATTAAACGAAAGAAGATATTACAAGGAATATTACAGAGCTATTTTAGTGCTTCTTAAGCTATAATACTTCAAGTTTTTATAATACTTTTTAATATAGTTAATAAAACACTTTTCTTATCTTAGATTTAAATCACAAATCTTTTGATAAGTAAAGTAAACTACAAACAAATACCCCAAAATTTATTTCCAATGCAGCCAAACAACGATCGACGGGCAAACAACAAACACTTGATTTACGAGTTCCGTCCGCAGAAGCTGCAACTTGCAGTCGCGGAGATGTGGATGTGGATGCCACTTGACTCATTTGCCGCACTCATCCACTCATCGAATTCATTCATTACGGGACAGCACTAGCTCTGCCGGCAATAATTGTTATTTTATTGTTTAATCGCCGACAACGTAGCCGCTCGCTTTGATTTTCGCCGTCAATTGAGCCCATGAATAATAGAGTTGTTTTTTTGAGCTGCGAACGGAAGGCATAACGATTGCGGGATTCGAACATGATTCGACAGCAGATTCGTTTGTCTGGCCAAGTGCTACCTATCCCCCTTCTGATTTTCCCTTATACGCAAAACGAAACCACATCGATTTGATCTCGTTTTCATGGTGTTTGATGGCTACAAGGTTTCTACCGCAAGGTCGTCTTGAATGGGTTGGAAAAGTTAGGGAAATATGTGACAGATTCACATCACAACTTAACTTTTTCATTTTAGTATATACTCATACTCTTAGCCCTTGGTTTTCCCATAAATTTCCCACATCTTACTTCTGATTAATAGCAATTAGAATAAGTACTCCATTTACCGGCACTGATATTATGCTGCAGCCCATATCGAATTAATGAACACCTCCCTTCGGCATGGCGGTTCCCAGCCAAGTAAAGACCCGAAATTAGAATAAACCCCCAATAATTATGCAAATGTGGGTAATGAGCGGCATCCCATCTCGCTTTTGTGGGTCGACAATTGCTGTTCGCTTTTACTAATTCGTTTTAATTAAGGCGTTGCGGCGTTAATGAACCGTAAAACAAAGACCAGGCTAAAAAGTCGGCACAGTGGGCCTAATACTTGCAGTTTCCAGCTACCCACTTTTATAGTTTTTATTTCTCTTACTAGCCGAGTGAAAGAAGGGCAAAAGTCAAGACGCTAAAAAACAAACGGCAGACAAAGAGCCAACTTTCCCGCTGTCAACAATGGGCAGTTGGCTGTCAGGTGGGCGTGGCACCCGACGAGCTGTTCACATGTGTCTGTTTTCGAGTGTCTACTGTCTACAGTATATGCCACTTGCTAATGACAATGACTGGGCGGTGGGTAAAAGTGCCGTGCCGTGCCGCGACGTGCAGTGAAATCCTCTGATTTGACTTCAGATTCGCATGGCACTCTGTGAAAGCTGCGAAAAGTGAGCGACTTTGGCCCTAGAATCAAGTTATTATATGCACATGCAATGGCATATAAACGATCTAGAAAGTGGCGGAAAGTTTGCAGTTTTGTAGGAAAGTTTACAGCCATTGTTTTGGGTGTGCGATTAGAAAAGGTATAGGGCAGCTCTCTAAGGAAATTTAAGATAATTATTAGATAAAGATCATAATAAGTAATTTATATGCAGAAAATGTAGAAGTCCTTTAAATGTAAAATGAAAGTTCTAACCTTAAGATTGTTTTTTTTTTTTGCCAAGTTTGTTGCCTAAGTCTTTTGATATTTTTCGGTCCATTCTATGGTCTAGAATTTTTGTGCTGATTCAGCGGCAGCTTAAAGCAACCTGACACCCTTCTAAAATTGTGAAAGGAACCAATGACAGATCATAAAATTTGCAGAAAATGTGGAGTTTTTTTTTTTTTTTTCGTTTGTCTTGGCCAAATCAACCCACACACCATCACACACACTTTGCACGATTAACGTTAAATGAGCTAACGCACTAACGGGCTGCGACATGATCATTATGCAGATTTATGACTTCAACACTTGGAACTGATAGTCCGGCCAGCCCCCTTCTGGGTGACCCCCCTTTCGCACCTACACCCCTACTACTGGTCATTTCGTTGTTAACAAAGTTGTTTGTTTATGAGGCGCTTGGCTTGAAATATGGCTAGAAATTAACAACAATTTAGCGGCTCAGACTTGTCGCCAGCTTCCACAACCATTAGCAACGACACTTGGCTGGATCGGATCGACTCCGATAAGTACCAGGTTATAGTATAAATATAATAGAGATCGTAGCATATGCTGAGAGAGCCCATATCTATGTAGGCCCCAAGTGGGCGTCTCAAATTGCCTTTAATTAATCATTTTGTCATAGTACTTAGCTCTAATTAAATTCAATTTCAAGAATCGATCACTCGATCGGTCATGTTGAAAAATGATTATTAAACTATTGCGAAATCTCGTCTGGGCCCAAGCGCTCTAATTGGTTTTACTTCACTCTACCGATACTATTTTATGCACCATTTTTTAACGGCCTTATAATGTCCCCGATAACTGTTTAATTGCCAAAACGTTAACGTTAACAAGGAACCCACTGAAAACTCTCAAAATTGTTGCATGCAACATAGTATCTCTCTTTTCAGTTCGACTTTGTTGGCTATGGCATCGCAGCTGTCCTGTAGTGCCACGCCCCCCCGCGTCGATAAGATGGGGGCACTGGGGCGTTGCAATCTGTCGGTCAGCAAAATGTTTGTTTAAACTGCGCTTTGGCAGCCAACGAAATGGAAACACCAAAGGTTACAGTGGGGCAAAGTGTTTCGAAATTAAAGTTATTAAGAAATTACAAAAATATTTATTGAAAATTGAAACTGTTTCAGGGGAAAGATCTAGTTTATAATATACCTAAATGTGGCAAGACTTTACAATAATTTCTGTTTAGTTTAGGAAACTTATGGTGGACACTGTTTTACTGCGTGCGTGAGATACTGAATCTCTCACCTCCACCTTGTTTCTATACCATTTTTTTGGTACACAGAAAACAATCTTAAAATGTTTACTGCTTAGAAAATGGATTACTTCAGTTTTAAAGATTAAAAACTAAACCAAATTAACAAATATAAACTCTAAAATATAAAAGTCTACTAATATTTCTTCGAGTACTTGTTCTTACCAAGCTAGATGGCATGTGTGTTGATTGCAATTAACTAGCTGGCAATATGATCGGGCCAAGAACCAGACCAAATCCCCTCCTGCTCACCTGCCACTCCCCTTTGACCCGTTGGCTTTCTGTTTTGCATTTGTCGCTTGTCGTTCGTCTGGTTTATTGCACTTTTGGCAGCTAATATTTATTAACCATAATTATCGGTTGCCGCCGGCCATTCTAACTGTACACGATCTTTTGGGCACGGCTTCCGGGCCAGACCAACTTGCCTTAATTGCCAACAAAAGCAGCAGCAGCAGCAGCAACAGCAACAGCAGCAGCAGCAACATCATGCAAATTACTTGACTTGGCTCTGGATCGAGTGGGCTGGAAAAATTGAATTCAAATTGATAGATGGGCCGAGGTGAGGACAGGCCAGCATTGTGGCCATAACAAAAAGCACAGAAAAAACAAAATCGCCGACTCATCTTTCACCACAAATCCATTTCCCAAACGTGGAAAAGCGGCACGGAAATTATGAGGCGCTTTTCTTTTTTTGGCATTGAATGAAAATGCGAAGGTAGCCAAAGTGAATGTCTGTTGTTGATGTTGATGTTGCCACTTGCCACTGTTAGTGTTGCTGGTTGCCAGTTGCCAGTTGCTAGTTACTACTGCTACTGTTGCAGGTGGGCCAACGAAATCTTTTGGCCGGAAGCATCGACAAATTTGCACTAAATGGCGCCATGGCACGCGCATCATCATCATCAACTTAATCATCGTCTTTTGGCTATTCAGCAGATTATGCTGATGGTTTTATTATTTCTTCGGTTTTTTCGGGTTTTTTTTTTTTTTTTTTTTGGCTATTGCTTGCGCTTCGTGATTTAATTTTTTTTTCATCTGGCTTCAGGGTTTTTTCTCTCTTCGTGGCTTAAATTAAAAGGCGCTCGTTCGGATGTAGTTGGTTGGAAAATTAAAAAGTACCAAATTGATAGATAAACCGATTTAATGGGCAGATAATAAACGAGTATTAAAATCCCCCAAAAAATAGTTAAATTATATATGTGTATAGAGAAAGATGGATGAGTGTTGAAGGGGTAAACATTTTGCCAAACATCTTTTGACTGTGATAAGTAAATTTGAAGAGGTCATTATAGGTAAGACATGAGTTAAATTCGTTAAACTATTTGATAAAACTTACATTATAGCGAAGGAAATTACAGTTTGTTTATGCTAAAATAATAAAATTTACAACTCACCTTGAAACACATCCAAATTAAAGTGCATTCATTCCGAGTTTGCAAGAAATAATGTGTTGAAGGTATGCGACTAACAGATGCTCCTAAAAAGATAATAAAATACAGAATTAGTTTATTATTAATAATAAATCATATATAATATAAGCTATTTAAAAACTGTGTTTAGACACAACATCCCTTTTCTACAGAATTTTCCACATAAAAAACTTCAAATGCCGAAAACACAAAAGACTTAGGACACAAACTTGTCAGATATTTAAGCTTACACGCAATTGGAATGACAAATGCCACAATGCATATATCCAGATGACGCAAGTGGCCGCAAGAGCCGCGCTCCTTCTTAACTATAATTTTAACCACTTGGTCTGGTTTGTTTTTGTTCAGCTTTTTGGTCCCTCTATAATTTACTTGGTATGCGTGCGCGTTCAATGCATTTTTCCTTTATTTCTCTGGTCGGCGGCACGATAATTTTCATTTTTTTCCATTTCTTGCACCGTCGCCGTCGTTGCTGCCACTGCCGTTTGTTGCCTGCCAATAAAAGTCTTTGTCAACGATTTTGTTGTTGTAATCAAGTCACACGCATGCGCAACGAAGTCAGCTATTTGAAATATTTCAGCGGCTGCTGGCACTCTTCATTTGCATTTAATTCCAGCGAAAGAAATAAAACATATACTATATCCATTTCCCCACCTCACATCCCTACTTCTTAGCCACCAAACGGCTGATAATTAAATCGCATTTAATTGCCCTCAACCGTAATAGAAAAACAATGTGTGGCAATTGTGAGAACCCGCAGAAGCCATTGACATATGGCATCGACATCGCCGTCAGCATCGGAATCGGAATACGGAATACGGAATACGGAATAAGGCATATGGAAGTGTATGGCAACGATTGCAAAATATATTGCCAACCATTTGTCCAACCTGATATTGTTCGGTCTGAGTTATTTGCCTTTGCCGTGGCACAAGACAAACGATATGCATTCATTGCTTATGACAGCAATGAATGCATATTCCAATGGCCCTTGAATTAATGGCTTGCCGATTGCTTTTTCGCTCAGAATATCACTGATTTATGTCTTTATTTGGCAGGGAAAACCAATTTAAGGTCTCCTTGGTTTATGGGTTTTTATATAGGTTTTAGCTTTCCTCTTTGTAATCATAGTTAAACGCGAATTTCCAAAAAATTATCCACACGTAACATTTTCCCAAGGGCCTTTCCAGCCTAAAATAAAAACAGACTTGGACATTTTCATTGTCAACCTAAGCTAAGCGGCTACTTATCGCATTTAATTGTGATTATAATTTGTCTGTTTATGGCAGAGACCAGAGCCGCAATTAGCCGGCAGTTGATTAACAATAATTGCGATGTGAAACACTTTAAAATGCCATAAAAGAGACTTATGAGCAGCATGCCAAACGGAGTTGGTTTTTTTTGGCTAGGGGGGGGATTTTTATTGGTGTTGCCTGAGATCGCAGAGAATGCCCCACATTTGGCCAGATAGCCCCAAAAGTGGTCGAAAAATGTGTGTTCAACAGGATGCAATCAATGTCATCCGACCAAAGACAGCCGGCGATATAATTAAGTCGAGAATGCCAAATAATTGATGCCAATTGATTGGACAGGAAGCGCATAAATTCAACCGAAACGAAAATCGAACAATTGTCAATACGAAAAATAACAGAAACGAGAGCATAGAACTTATGACAGCTTCATTGTAGGAAAATGTGGAAAAACGCTGGACCAAACGGTGGTATGTTGGAAAAAACAGATGGCGATTCGATCTTATCGCTGGACATGCGACAACTTGATCGATCGATGGGACCACACATCGGGGGCTGTGCTTGTCGAACCTATCGTTATCGATTGCCAATCGCCACGATTCGGACAGTCGACATGTGCCCAATAAATCGAACATTGACAGACACAACACTTGGGCGGTAGTTGGGTATAAATTATCTTTTCAGCCTCCATAATTTTTCCCACTACTGTTTTTTTTCTTTTTTCTTTTTGGCCAAAAACAATTTCCTTATTTGCTGCGGCAAATAAATTAAGATATTGCTAACATAATTGTGATCTTAAATAATATTTTTGGAGGCAAAGGAAAAACGGGAATGAAAGTAATGAAAACTGGGCAAATATAAAATGATGAATGTGGCCAAGATAAAGTCAGCGAATTATTAAGTGAAAGAAAAATTGCATTAAACCCGAAATATAGCGGCAAATAAAGCTTAATTGTGTATGAAATGATAGAGTGTTTAAACGCTTAAACAAAATGGCTTAAACGGTGTGTGCCTAATGATAATACGCAGTTTTTCCCAGTCTTTAATTATATGTTTTTAATGTCTAAGGAGATTATAAGCCAATTTACTAAACGAATTACTTTTACTTTGCTTTTACTTTTCTTTATATAAATTTTCATTTTAAACTTCAAATTTGGTAGTCACTTTGTTTTGGGGCTAAAAATATGAGTTCTTAAAATACGATTTCAGCAACTCCTTGGCATACCATGGCTACTGATTAATTGCCTCGATCTGCGGACTCCTCGATTCCGTGATTCATTCTGATCTTGGTGGCCCCCATCCAGATATTTGCATTTTACAGATCGCCTGACAGCGGGGAGCGTTCGCTGCCAATCGAAGGAAAAACACCAGATTTGCACTCGAATATAGAGTTATATATATATACGAGTATGTTACATATATGCTGATGGCGATTGTACATAAATATTTGCTTATGGTAACCTTGGGTGCGTGGCTTAAACCCGTTATGACCGGACGGGCGGGCATTATCTCGCATTGGGTGCGCATTTTCCGAGACTTGCCTGCGGGGCATAATTGGGTTTTAATTGATACCAAAACGAAAACCGAATGAAAAACCCCACAAAAGGCGGCCGAACTCAAAATCGAAAGTCTCAACTCTGAAGTCTGCATGCAAATTCTAGTAAAGGGAAGTGATTAATTTTGACGTTGCGGAGGCTTGGTTTAGTTTTTTTTTTTTCATTTTCGTTTTTCTTACTTACCAGCCACATATCACTTCATATCGAATTACCAAGAGCGGCCTTAACAACACAATTAAGACCCGTTTACATTTTTGGATTTTTATTACCATTTTTCCCCGCAGCCACAGTCATAGCCAATTGAATTGGCCTAATGAGTGCAACGAATTTGACAGCATGGATATCTATGGATATATGTGGTCATATATAGCGGCCCATTCGGATCTGTCGATGCAGCTAATCCGCGGCCACTGATTGTTCATTCCAAAAATACAAAAAATACAAAAAAAAAAAAAAAAGAAATATGTGAAAGGGCCGTCGCCGGGTTGTCAACGCGATTCGAATACACAAATATAGCCACGCCGATATGCGATATGCAGATCGACGCTTATATAGCCACAGACTACAAATCATTGAGTCACGCCTATGAAATTTACATAAATATGAGCAAACAAAATAAAAGAAAGAAAAACGTTTAAGCCAGCCGAAGAAAGCTAGCCAAACAATAGATGCTCTTTAGCTAAGGAAAATGCATTCATAAAATCAAACAAAATTGATTTTCAAAGAAAAACTCAACAGAAAAAAGAGTTAATAAAAAAGAAATTCAATTTGAAATTAAGATATTCAAGCAAGTACAAAACCATTTAGGAAATTATACCTTCAGACTAAGAAATATCTTTAAAAATCTTTATCTAGCCCTAACCTAATCTCTCACCATATTTAATGGACCCTTCAATGTTGCCAATTTAGTTAGGGTATCCAAAATGCAATTCATCAGCTGGCAATAAGCACAAAGCCATAAAACCATCGACTGACTTAATGGAGTCGTTTGAGCGACAAAATTGTTTAGTGCAGCTGAAAAAAAAAAAAAAAATCAAAAGACCACCTCCCCGCTGCCCCTTCGATTGAGCCACGCCCCTGGCATTTTTTCATGGGGCAGCCAGTGGATAAGAAAATCCGCAAAAGAAGCCGGAGCGGAGGCAGAAAAAATGCTAAAGTTCGTTTCTTAAGTCTTTCGTTTGGCGGCGCTAAAGATTGCGCAAAAAATTTGGGGAACACAAGAAGAAGCAGAAAAAACAAAAACCGAAACAACTCCCGTAAATCCCAGAAATCCAACTTCGTGCAACAACTTAAGCAGTTTTACAACAACGGAAAAAACACAAAATAAAGCCAGTAAATAATATGACCAGCGGCTGGTCGGATAATTGTTTGGTTATCTCAAATATGTTTCTTGTTTTTTCTTTTTTTTCTTCTTTGTCTCGATTATTGCTCCAATTTACAATATTGCTCGAAAAAAAAGAGATATCGCAAAGAAACCAATCCCAAAATCAAATCAAATCAAAAAATTGCCAAATGTTGCAGCGGTAATTATTGTTTCCAGGCTATATTGTGTATGTGGGCGTGGCTGGCTCAGCCTTAGAATGCGGTAGAGAAAGCAATAACAAAAAGTAGGGGGCAGCTTAGACAGCTGGTAAACAAAGTACCTACCAACTTGGGCAAAGTAAAGTAAAGCAAACAAATTGGTGCCAAGGTTGCCGCGGGACAAACAAATAGGGTCCAAAGCCATAATTAGATCAAAAGTCATAATTTTTCTCTAGTTTTTTTAAGTTGCCTTTTCGTTGCTGTAACAACAAACAAACACAACCACAAAAGGTGCACAAACTACAAAATACAAAATACAGAAGAAAAAAAATAAACAGAAAATGCGCCAAGCTATAAAGAAGCAAAGCCAAAGCCCCGACCAAAAAATCACTTTAATTTGAGCGCATTTCATTTTGTCAAGTCGCCGGCCTGGCTTTTATAGAAAGAAAAAACGAAAAACGAAAAAATAACAAAATTAAAACAACCAACAATAGAGCACGTTTTGTAGGGCGGTCAGAAAAAAAAAAAAGGAAGGAAAAATTCGTAGCCAATTTAAATGTCATTGCGACATTTTGATCCCCACCCCCAGCCACCCTTTCGCCTGGGCCAGCTTTTAATTTGAAATTGAAAACCCAAAAAGTACAAATCTTATCAATAGATTATCTACAAGAGCCAAACAGCATCGCGAAAATCATTGCAAGGCAAAGGCGAGTAGAGGAG